GCGAAGCGCCTGTTTACAGCCTCTAGGAGTGTGCTCTTCATTGTCTTGATGCCACTGTCATTCTCTTCTTTGGAGAGAACACGTTTGAGCGCTGTGATGGCAGGTATCACATCAGCACATGTTGCAGTCTCTCCACTTATTGCCCTGGTGACCTCTTCAAATGGTGCCAACACAAACGCAGTCTTGTCGGCCAACATCCACTGGTTTGCAGTGAGAGTAGAGGGAAGGTTGTGCTCACTAGCATATACACTGAGGGGACGTCTTTGCTCTAGGAGGCTTTGCAGCATATAGAGAGTGCTATTCCATCTTACTTGAACATCCTGTTTCAGGCGTTTTATTGGCATTTTCAGCTCAGTCTGAATGTCTTCAAGGCGTGAGTAGGCCAAGGGGGAATGTTTAAAGTGACTTACAATTTTGCGTGAAATCACTAAAGTGTCACTCACGCTCCGTTGTGATAGTAGACCCTCGTTTACGATAAGGTGAAGAGTGTGGGCAAAGCAACCCAGGCTCTGTACTCCCATGTCATCCATGGCTTTACGCATGTTGCTGGCATTATCTCTCAAAATGACATGGACTTTTTGTTTGTCAATGTGCCATCCCTCCAACATTTCGTCGATAGCTTGTCTCACATGTTCAGCCGTATGAGAGCCACGGAACTCGCTGGCGTGCAGTACAACATTTACTAGGTTGTACGTTTTATCAATCCAGTGGGCAGTAAGGCTAAGGAGCGACATTGGGCAGACACCAGAGCTCCATATGTCCGTTGTAAAAGAAATAGCAGTTGCATTGGCCAAAATACTACCAACATGCTCGCGAATCTTACTGTAGAGCTCGGGGACTGCGGTTTGTGAAATGTAGCGTCGAGAAGGAAGTTCGTACCTCGGCTCTAAAAACTTCATCAAACGACAAAATCCCACGTTTTCCACGACAGAAATAGGCTGATCATCCAATGCAATGTATTCAACAACCCTTTGCGTTATTTTCCGTGACTTGTCACTGTTTCGAGGTAATAGTTCATGCCTTCGAAAAGCCTCTGCCAAAGTTTGTTGTTGTGGCTTCGCAGTCTTGCTCTTGTAAAGGTCGTACTCCGCTGCGTGGTTCCTTTCCAAGTGACGGATTAAGTTTGTAGTGTTGAAGTGAGCCTTTTTGTTCCCTCCTCGTGAAACTGCTACTTTACAAATATTGCAAGTAGCCGTTTGACTATCACTATTTACCAGTGAAAAATAGTCCCAGATAGCAGACATGTTCGCAACTTATCAACGCGTTTACGACAGCCGTAAAGCGTGAGCATGCTGAAAAGTGACGTAAATCGGCTCGATATTCGTAACAAATCCGATACAATCCGATCCTTACAAAATAGCCATATCGGCCCCGATACCGATACTGAATATCGGATCGGTACATCCCTAAGTATAATACTTCAATTATTGCTATTATCTTATGTATATCCTTATAGATTATTACACACACGCCATCTGAACTCCACAACCCCACACAACTAGATTTATTGTCAAGCTATGCCCTTGTGTTAAAACCAGAAACACAGTGTTATATCTGAATCATTAAATTGTCTTCCAGATGAAACAAACATGTGCTCAAACCCACACTGACCAGTAAGTAATAAACAACACCTAATAATAGAATGTCAGACGTGTTATACCATGCGGGTCCTGGCGCTCTCACGTGCCTCAGAGCAGCACATTCTGATAACAGCCTGCGGTCTCTGTGGACGCGGCGCTGAGGTCGGCCACCGGAATCACAATCATCGTGTTTATGGTCAATGGGGAGAGGTCTGTCATCGTACACAGCACAAATGACACACAGACACGTTAACTGCTACAAGCTACTCCTCTGTTGGACATTAATGATAGGTTTGAATTACAAGATATATTCTGTTCTGTGGCAGATCATGTATTTTTGTCTATTTTGTCTAATTTGGCTTCTGTATGGCTTTAATTAAACTACTACAAACATGTGGCAAGACACTTTACCCACATTGTATAGAATGAGTCTGGTGTGTGTGTGAATGGTTGGTGTTGGTCGGAGGGGCTGATGGCACATACTGGTTGCATCGCTCCTGTCAGTGTGCCCCAGGGCAGCTGTGGCTAAAGTAGTAGCGTGAAGCATCTTTGAGGGTCCAAAAAAGCACTACATAAAACTGATGCATTGATATTAATATTTGTGGCCATGCTGTGGATTTATAAATAACTATAATATCAGTCAAATCAGCAATACTAGATAATAAATGTGGACTGGGAATATAATCCTGCAATTTTTGTACAGCTGAAAACAGTCTATTATAAAAAGTATTTAAATTAATATATATTTTCTACATATTTTTCGGCCAGATAATTCCATGCAATATCTAACCTGTCAACTTTATCTTACCCGCGACCCGGCAACGGATGAAGGGGAAGAAAATGGAATGGAATGGAACCTTACTTGTCCAGCACAACCCTAACCCTGTTCTATCAGTTAGAAATCAACCGGACCATTCCTAGTTAAAAGTTCTTCAAAAGACAAAAAGAAACTTCACCCTTTTCTACAAACTTTCATTCCAGTCTTGTAAGTCCAATACAGCAGAGCGACAATAGAAAGTGAAGGAGCCACATGAAATACAATGGGGGAAAATCCCTAAAGAAGCTTAAGAGCACAGGGTTTCATTAACTAGTGGCCTCCATGCTTTTTGTCCCGCCGCCTATTGAACCAGTGGGGTCTGCTCCAGAGCAGAGGGTGGGGGCACAGTGGCAGGGGCGTGACTAATGCTCTGAGACTGGTGCTGCTGTTGCATGCTGGTTATGGGAGGACCCCAAGCTCTCTGTCCCGCCGATGTATGGCACGGAGCACTGTGGAGGTACGGCAACACAAAACACCCTACCCCACCCCCGTCCATCCATTCAGGGGATCCCTTTTCACCGGGTCATTTAAAGGGCTGGCTCATATGCAATCTGCACAGTCAAGAGAGAGAGGAGATACATGGAATCCAAAAACACATCCGTTGCATTGATATGAAGTGGGGACACTACCAAATCTATCAACATATGCCTTGAGGGCAGCTCATGTCAACATGGTCGCCGTATCTCTCTGCCCATGTGTGTTTTAGTGTGGCGAGCAAAGAGGCGGATGGCAGTTTGATAGATGAGAAGCGGTGCACTGGAGCCGGAGATGTCAATATCACTATAAGTCACTGTTGTAGCAGCTTTCTACACAATAATAAGCATCGAGCATTACTTACATGGCAAAATCACAGTTTGTTATTATGATTATTGCATTATAACATGGTAGTAATTAGTCACAACAGCATGAATCCTATGCAAAACTGTGTTATGACAAACCAAATCTTTATTAATTTGAATTGAAATATGGATTTTTAGTCACAGGCTAGCCATACTGTTTAGGGAAGAGTATACGAACCCTAAAGCCATGTCATTCCACACAAAACCATATCATCTTAGCACATTATCAGCCCACAGCGCACACACTTAAATCAAACCACACCATTTAAACTCAGTAGACGTTTTTTTCTCTCTCATGTTCCCTCCCTCCTCCGCTGCTTTCATTCCTATCACACAAGCAGACGCACTCTAGACTCCAGTGGAACATCTCTTTTTCCAGTCTGTGAATAGCCCAGAGTGCAAATTAACCCCAAAATCAGACTCTATTTTGTGTGAGTGCGCCACGGCTCCCACTAAGTGTCTCAGTGGGCGAACATCTCACAGCCACACAGTACAAACTTTGAGCTCACAGGATGTTGTGTAATTTTGCCCAGATGTGCTCATCTAACTAATAAATGCAAGCACGGAAATGAAGGCTTCAGCGAGATTTATAGGCAACTCTTTACTTTTAAGACACATTCAGACAGTTTGAGAGCTTTCGAGGCAGCGATGGAAGATTTATACACTGTATTTCCCCAAGACACATTTACTGACTGAGTAAAAAGAGACTACCTGCTCAAACAATAAAAGTCCAAGCACTATATGGGGCTGGTCTCCACAGCCACAAGAGAACAGGTCAGTCAGAAAGCCCTCACCTACAAGTCTAAAAATATTGTCCTATATACTGCAAAGTATCTTGCTCCTCACAGAGAAATGTGTCCCGTAAATGCAACAAGACAATATAAAGCATGCAGCTGATTTCCACGAAAGAGACAAAGCTTTAAAGCCAGCACGCAACAGATTTATTGAATCCAAATTATTCTTAAAAAAACAGTAAGCTTGTGCACGAGCCACTATGACATTTTATCCGATGTCATCTCCTTCCAAGACAAAGCTGCACATTCCACACACACTCACACAGGCTTTCAATTTACAGTCCCTGTCAACAGCCCAGCGTTTCTCTAACCGATGTCTGATGAAAATGCATGCTGGCTATGCGACCATGGGAAACCAGAGCTGGCCTGTGAGGATACAGCCACTGTTATGAACTTATTCCACTGTCTCAGAGCAGCGCAGGGCTCCAGGAGAGATTAGGAGGACTTTAGCACACACACAACAAACATACATTTTCAGTAGAGCCATCTCCTCATGCAAACATCTACAGGGCAACTCCAGATACCCGAAAGATGGCACCTGCTCTTTCCGCTATAACAACACAATTACCTGGGACCATATGTAGCTGCAAAAGCCTGACACAACCAGGTTACACATGATGAAAAGCTCAGGGGGATCTGTGTTAAAATACTTAAGAGGAGAAACACCACTTAAACTCATGCTGTATCAGAAGAATATTCAAGAATCTGCATGCATCACTGAAGATATCAAAGCTGCACTGATTAAACTAATCAGCATCAGATACATTTATATTGGATCACATCTCATTGATATTGATACAAACTGAAAACACAGAGAGGATAAATATGGTCTTAAATGATGAGGAGAAAACTATCCTGTATTTGCATGAAGTGAAAAAGTTGTTTTGATGCTGGAATTAAATCGTACAGATGTTTTTTTTTTTTTTCAATTGTTAATGCATGTTTTGTAGAGTGATATGCTTCTTCTTACCATTGAGGGCTGCGATCTCGGTTTGGACAATCCCCACATATTGTAAAAGTAAAACCACTCCAACGAGCCTCACGAGTGTCGCCATATCCAGGTCTAATCCTCTGTGAAGAAGAGCGTGTTAGAACTCATGAGCCGTGGTATCCCTTGTTCAGCCCGGGCTCCTCCAGCTCCTTCAGCTCCTACCTCCGCTGCACCGGGCTGTTGTTGTCCCCAGCACCGTGCGTCGTACCAGGACTTTGTGCCAAGATGTGCACTGGCTGCGCGCTTCAGCTGGACACGCACCCCGCGGAACAGGTTGTAGCTCTATGAAGAATAACACACGGGAAGTGAAAGTGAAGGCAGGGCACAGACCAAACATCTCCCCCTCACTCTCTTATTCCACTGAAGTGATCATATACTGGGTGCGCGCAGAGGGAGAGTGCGCTCTGGGCGTCATCCGCTCCGGAGCCAATGGCACCTCGGCTCATCACGGACCTCAACACAGACACTACGACTAATATGTTCATTTACTGCCATGCTGGATGTCATATGATGGTATCTGAAAAAAAAAACAATTACACAAGACTAATAATAATGATCATAATAACTATTTCATGTACTTCACTTTGCCACGTGTTGTTAGCATCATGCTAACGTTAATAGTCAGTAGTGAGTGTGTAACAGGGGCGCCAAAGTCAATTCAACCTGGAAACTGGATGTTCTTAATGATTTTCAGACACTTACCTGAGTTCTGTGGTTCTTACACGTGTTGCAGTCATCTTCCAAACATTTTTCATTATTATTGCTTTATTTACAGGTTAGTGCAGCTTGTGTTTGTCACAGGCAGGTGTTTGCTCTCGGGAGCGCCCTCTGTCGGTGCACTTGGGACAGTTCACAGAGTGTTCAGATTTACAGTCTGTGGTTCAGACAATATTTAGCGATAATTTCGTGAGAGAGTGCAGGGAGTGCATTGGAAAAAACGACACATCATAGCAGCATGGTGTTATCAGAGGTGGAACTTTAACTTTGAATATTTCTACTGTATATGTGTATATCTTTACAGTCTATGATATCTACTTGAGGATTACCCAAGTATTTGAACATTTGTGATCCATGCACTGCTCTGTCAAATATAAATATTTTCTGTAATCCTTTTTGTACTGTGGTTGATAAGGTTTTGTCCGTCCAACATACAACTATATGCTTCCACACCCATAGCAATAATAACAAAAAAGAAGCATTTGTCATCTGAAACACAATAATGTCCTTTCCCTGTGTATGTATGTAAAGGGAATGGGATGATTCTCCGACGGGTGGCTCAATCACATCCTTGTCTGCCTGTGATGTATTCATCTTATATATCATTATTTATACAGGTGTTTTAATACAGTGTTTGAACAGTGTCTCTCCAAAGGCATAGTGCAGTCACCATGTGTCACTGACTATAAGCCCACACACACACACACAAACACAGCCCCTATGCGTGGAAATATGAAACTTTTTCTTCTTTAAAATGCAGTTGTTATGATTATACGACTTGGTGCTGACAGCCTCATATGTGATGGGGTCACATTGAGTTTCCCACATAAATCTGCATCAGCTCCCACACACACCTCCAAAAACCACAGGGTCTGGATCAACTGTCTGTTCAGCAAATGGACAAAGCCACAGTAAAAGTACACTTCTCAGTAATTTATGTTATTCATGTAAAAACAACTTCATCCTTGTGGTTTGGTGGTAGCTGACAGACAGAGAAGTGGGGAGGCCTTCTGTTAAAGTCCTCTTACAATGGCACGCTCGCTCCTTATCCAAACTTTCATCATCACCATTTCATCTGTTTTTTGTTTTGGTTTTTGTTTCTTATCTGTTCCAAGTTCCCAGAATAATCCCAAATAGCTTTACTTGCAATTTCTGTATCAAAATGTTCTGTACATCTATGGATATTTTCAAAAGTGCAAGTAAAGGCTTGAGGAAAGTTATTTATTTGAGCAGGACATTCTGAGGTTGGTGATGGGGAAGGTGACGGTGAATTTTCCATGGCAGTCATGTGTTTGGAGCCGCTCCACCTGTGCAGTTGTGCTGTTTATGACCCGGCCACACCAGACTGTGAAACATGCACCTCTGTTTTGTTTTCCACCAAGTCTTGGGCATGATAGGTTTTTCCACTGCTACTGAAATACATACAGTGTTGGAGCTAAATATGAGTAATTACAAATATGTGATGTATAATGGCAGTGTTTGCTTGTTGTTGAAAATGTGCTGTTTTCTGGATGTAAGGAGCAGCTCAAGCCAAGTACAAGATGGAGGAAGATTTTAAGTGTCCACAAAATATGCTACAACTAGTGTGCCAATAACACCATTTTATATTTCATATACAGAAATAATAAAATGTTTATTTTTTATTTTTTTTCAAATGATCTGTATTGAGTTGGGAAAAAAGTGACTGAACAAATAAACTACTACTACTACTATAATCTACTTGGTAATTACTTGGTCATTTGAGTTTTCCATGGATATTTCTGGTTCAAAGCTGAGATGGTAAAAATATGTCTTAAAATACACAAGAAAAAACAGTACAAGTAATTATTGTTGAATAATTGATAAAATAATATGTTTGAGACTTTTTAAACACATTAGACACTATCGTTCTCAGAGCAAATATGACAAACAAAACATGTAGAACTCAAGCCGAATTGTCTGAACTTTGAAGCAATGCTAACCACAATGAATTAATTCACTTGGAAGCATAGCTAACCACTTCAAACCTGTTTTGTCGCCATCTGTAAAGTAACTAGTGATTTTTAAATGTACAGAGTAGAAAGAACAGATATTTGAGTTTAAAATAAGGAGTAAAAGTTGTAAATTAAGTAGTTAAGAAAGTACTGATACAGTACCAGGAAAAGTACAGTAGAAATACAGTTTTTTAGCCACATCTGGTTCCAAGATTATTTGGAAAGTAAAACGACAACAGCACGTCAAATATTAGCACGTTTTCCTACCATAGATTCTCAATTGGAATTCATGTTTGCGTCTAGCCGGCTTTTAAACTCCCAGAAAGCATTCCTTAATATTCACTTATTTTTCCGAGAGTTTAGCAGTAAGATAATGAAGCAATAGTGCAGAAAAGCGCTCGGCTTTGATGCGAACGAGCAGGTGCTAACCCGTGGAACAATTTGCATCACAAACATTTTGAAGTCCTGATCAATCTTTATGGTGCAACAGACAGGAAGGAATAGGCAGAGATAAAACAGTTTTACAGCTCGAAACACAAAGAACACATCAGAAAGTCAGTGAAGCGGCGACGTGAACTTTCTCCTCACTTAAAGAAGAAATCTGTGCTTCAGACTCGGAGTACAGGTGCCATCACAGAATTACAACCAAACTGAAAACATATGGTCGGTGTTGAGAAGGAAAGAGGTTTAAAAAAGGCAATTCAACTCCACAGGATTCAGTTATTTCATTATCTTTTCTGAATCAAACACTGGCCTCTACATGGTCTCAGTCACAAACAACAAAAGCTGTGTGAAAAGCTGACATGTTACTGAAAGACAAAAAGACCAGAGCTCTACACAGTATTCAGCAGCTGCAGTGATGAAGCTCCCAGAAACACCTTTGTGCGCCACCAAAACATCAGAGAGAGAATTATGTTTAGTCAAGAGCTCAAGCAAGCTCAGCAGAATAACATGGAAACAAATGATTGATTGTCTAAGCCACTGTTTCCCAACCAGGGGCGAGCGGACCCCTGGGGGTACGTGGGTTTATTGCAGATGATTTTCTAAGTGATATTATGAACTTGGAAACATTGATAGAATGAGCTTGGGCAACACAGCACGTTGAAGCCAATTCTTGAGAAAACCACTGCATTCGTTTTATTAACACAAACATAGAACACATGATGCAATCAATAATAACACTTGTTATTGCAAACTGATTTTGCAGTTTAACTTTTGGTCCAGTTTTGGTTCAGTCCAAGCATATTCCCATTTTGTTCAGGAAAATCTAAAACTGCAAGCTAAATAAAAATAATTATTTAATCTTGATACGTGCATAATGTATTAAAGAAATACAAAAGATGCAAAAGAGGAGAAGAATACTACACTCTCGTTAAAGTAAGTAGTAGTATCCAATAAATGTTTGTTAATACGGCCTCTGACCTAAATGAGTGACACAGCTGAGGTATCTATATATATTTCAATAATCATGTAATGTTTTGTACATGCTACAAGTTGTTTTTTTCATCCCTGACAGTTTGGACTGCTGTCTTCCTCAGAGTGGTCACATGATGATCCTGTGTCTTGTCAGCTGCTTTTGGGGTTGTCTCACCTCCAGAGTCAGAACGACAACACCAGCTGTTGTCCTCAGCCCCCATGACATCGACTCTGGACATCAAACACTGACTCTGGACCAAAGACGCAATATAGATACGGAAACATACCCCCAGGACCATAGACCGGGACGAGGGGGCTCTTTCACTCTTACACACCTGGGATTCTGTCCTGATGTCGGACTGCAGATGGCGCTGTCGTCCTGCCTCTGGTGGTTGGAGGACAGTGCTAACCAACACAAGACATCCCATGCCCCAATTAGAGGTTAGCATTCTTGCTATAGCAAGAAGGTCCTGGTTTGAATCTCGGTCGTAACAGGGTTTTTCTGAGTGGTGTAGTTTGCATGTTCTCCCTGTGTCTGTATAGGTTTCTTAAGGGTACTCCGGTGTCCCCTACCACAATGTGCAATAGATCAAATCCTCCAGCTCATGGGCCCCAGCCGCTGCACTACGTCGACCATTATTCCTGACAAAGGCCCCAGTGGCTAACACAAAAAAGGACAAAAAAAGACTGGTCTGAGAAAATAATGAACTTGTAGAATCTGATGACCAAATGTGAACCTCGTTTGGGCTGTTTTACATGCATTATAAAATGTTAGTTTGTCCGAGGTGGAAGCGAACAAGAGAGAAGTCAGTTAACAACAAAAGCCACAATTGAAACCCTCACAGATGGTATAACTGTGTAATAAATCACCAACTCCAGACTCAGCAAAGACACGCGATGATGGAGGACGAGGCTAAACTGCAATGGCACTGGTGAATGTGGTCATCTAAGTCTAAAAAGTCTCCAAATTAAAGATTCATAACCTGAACTTTGGCCACAATGGAGGACAAGAAGAGTGTTTTGAAGACTTTTTCATTAAGTGCAAGGGCTAAAAGGACTGGAGGGCTGCACCATGATTCACTTTCCAATTATCATAAATGACAGCGCTTCAATGAACTTTACAGAGGTTAAACGATGTGCATTTCAAATTATACATTTTATTTTTGGGTATGGAAATGGATTTTTTTGCATTAAATGCGTTGGAAAGATGTAATATGTGATTTAGCAAAAGAAAATAATACAGGTGTAATCCAAAGAAATATGAGGAGCCATTTTAATGCATCTGGACTTTAAAAATAACTTTTAATTTGCAAATAAAACAGAGTCAAACAATTTTTATTGCACTTGTGGGAATTAATCAAATCTAACAAACTGAAATTAAATTAAAATAAATTAAAACAAGTGCTATATTTGTCATCTCGCCTATGTACTGTAGCTTGAATGATTTTGATTGCACACTTTTATGCATGAATGTTTAGGGTTACTGTTTAAATATTATTTTCCAACCTCCAATTATCGTTTATGTTAGTAATTTATATTTTCTGTGTCACTCTGAAACCCATAGAGTATCAATATACCTTGTAAGGCGTCATATAAATAAAATGTATTATTATATGACTTGGACCGTACGCGCGCTCTGATTGGTTGATTTGCGGTCTGATATTTTCCTATCTCGGACCGTTACCATGACAATTGGTCCGAACAGCGCGTATCACATTTGATATCTTTCCACGGACCGTTATCATGACAATCGGTCCACGGCCCGTATCACACAAGTATCAGTATCAGTCGGACATGAACATACTTCACAAATATCTCAAATTCATTGGTAAAGACACAGACGAGAGTCATATAATAAAACATTTATTAACCTTCCTTGCTCGGTCTGTACAGAGAAATATCAGACCGCGGCCTTAATGTACAGACCGAGCCGTGGCGAGGTCTGTGCAAAAAGGCCAAGGTTCTCCATACAGACCTCGCGCTCGGTTAATAAGCCGTTATTATTATTATTATTATTACCAAAATAAGTATGCAAAATCCATCTACGTAGTTACCATAGAATCAGAATCATCAGAATCATTTTTATTGCCACTTAAGTAACAGGAAGTCACAGATTTGTGTAGTTACCATTACACAAAACAATTTGGTTCTATAACACCTCACACCTTTTTGATGGATTTTAAGAAAAATTTAAATGAGAGAGCCACCCTTTCTCAGCTCTCTGCCCAAACCAACCAAAAGCCCCATTTCCACCAGCCTTACTTGGCCCTTCTCTATTCCAAACTTTTCTTCTCTATTCTACCCTGATTGGGAGAATTTCCACCAGCCCTGCTCAACTGGTACCAGGTACTTTTTTGTCCCTGCTTGGCCCTGGGTCTAATCAGGTACCAAGCAGGTTCTAACCAGGCCGAGCTGGTACTAAAGTGTTCTACAGTAAGTGCCTGTGATTGGCCAGAGTGCAGCTGGACGCCATGATTACCAAGGAATCACCCTGAATACTGCTTTGTTGTGGGTATGTTGCACGGATACGGTAGATACTAAAGAGTAATGGAAACACAACCAGGTAGAGAAGAACCGAGTAGAGTAGGGCCAAGTAGAGCTGGTGGAAACAGGTCTATATATAGTGACTTAGGGGGCTCTTTCTTACATGAATAAAAAATAAAAAATATGTATGAATAATGAGTTAGCAGTAAGAAGATGTCTATCATATGTTCAACACTTGTCTGAAAAATACCTGCGCATTGTTAAAGTAAAAAGAAGGCGAGGGTCTAGACAAATGGCCCCTCTGACCAACATGGAGCTATATGCAAAGTCTGTGGTGGTTATGCTTCAGAGCTCGTGCAGCCTGGACCATTAGCATCAGCGGGGCACTTGTACAGCGGGTTTGAAAAGGACAGATTGGAAAGATCCCAGCTTCGATTCTGGAAAAACACAATAACACATAGATCACGGCGATGGCTTTACACAGATAATTAGAGCCGAGGAGCGTGCGTCTCACCTCAGGCTCGCTCTTCCAGGGGTACACACTGATGGAAAGCCCAGGTCCAGAGCTCTTCATCTTGGACTTCACGCTGCTATTTTCCAGTGATGGTGACTGCAAGACAGACGACATGTACACAGTGCTAAAAGGAAATGAGTCTTGATGGGTTACAGCACATAAAGCGCAGGTGCAATCAGAAGGAAATTGCCCCGTTAAACGTTTTTAATCACCCGTCTAACCTTCGTAAAACATCTCCCCATCTTTCAAAGGAGAAATGTGATCAAAAAACACATCCACAGACACTACAATGTCTGTGTAGATTAAATCTCGATTTAGTAAATAGTGCAGAGAATTTTGTGCTGAGAAATTATTGATTGCTGAATATGAAAATTATCAATAGGAATAACTTTACAATGACACTATCAATATCATGTTGTGAGACTTTGTGACAGAGTAAATTCTAATTAGACTTAGTACTTAGACTTTTATTTTTCGGAGTGTAGTTATTTTTGAAGAATCTGATGGAAAACCAAACATTTCATTGGTTTGAATGGAAGCAGTCAAAATGAAAGCATCCTAAGACCTTAGCCTTTAAGATTGGACCAAAACTCGTCAGAACAGCTTGATAATCCACTTCATGCCGTTTTTTAACCTACTCTGTATGCTAATACTTTGTAAATGCACTGATAGAGCAGAAAACTTCACTTGAAACATTACATAGAGCGATCATTCTTTGAAACTTGTCGTACATTCATTCTTTATCCTGGCCTCACTTTTTATAGTTAGTCATATTTATAACCACTAAATACGAAACACTGAATTGTATGACTAAGCAGCCGCTGCCCAAGAACCTGGAGTAATTTCTTGTCTGTTGAATATATATGGTATAAATCGAATCAAAAGTCCCCAAAGGCAGAGGCTACAGAATCAATTCTCTTAAATCAGGAATATCTCACCGCAAACAATTTGAATGATTGATTTTATGTTTGCGTCCACCAACCTCTGCTTTCCAGTCACAGGCGGGGCCATCCATCACCCCATAGTCCGGCAGCTTAGGCTTTCTGTAAGGCGAGCAAATGGGAGTCATTAGCTTTATCTCCAGAACATCATAATCAACACAGAGCACCGGGGCGTTTCAGCCATTGCCAATACTCACATTAAAAATCCCTTTTTCTTCAGAACAGCGAATACACACACAGCAATGCCGAGCACAAGCAGCAGGATCCCGATGCCGATGCCAGTGTACACAGGGTCTGATAACAGTAACAGGGGAGTTTGTTTGTTTGGAACAGCCATAGCTCATATCAGTCTACTTTTGAGAGACGAGAAGCTAAAGTGGGGGACACCATTACAGTCTATGAGTATACCTCTAACTTTTGTTGCTTTTTCTTAAGGACAGAAAAACAACTGAGGGATTTTATCTTGACTCTTTTTAATGTACAGTGGTTGTGTATAATTTTATTGCCATTGTTTCTTGTTGTCTTGCCAAGCCTTGTTTCATGAATGCATCATGAATACACACAGATCCCAACAGGCGGCTGTCTTCATCTTCATAGAAACATATTATTTTTTGCATACTGAGAGGTGACATCGGCCAGATAAGTATACAGTACATGTTAAAATAGAGAGCTATGAACTATATATGGATTTATTATACATATTTTAGTTGTTTATAGTTTCAAAGTGAGGTACCACAGCTTATATAAAAACAGGAAGAAAAAAGGACTAATTTATTACCTAAGTTGATGTCCTCCAGAGTGGGGGAGGGGGTGGACGTGGAGGGCTTTTTCTTAATGTGACAACGGTTACCAGTCCAACCAGCTCCACACCTGTGAGACAAATATGGGACGTCAAATACTGCAATTAACACAAGATTTAATGTGTGTATTTGTTGTATATTCAAACATTTTCTCTACATTCAACCACACAAATACATGTTTTTTCTCCCCGTGATGCCAACACTTGCAGCTGTCATGAAAGTAAACATTTATAGTCTGTAATAAATAAAGCTTTTAGTAACATATTGTACTTGTAAAATTCATTGTTTACTATCAACATTATTAGACACAATAAAACGCACCGTGTGAAGTCAAATCCTGCATACAATGGATTCTGCGCGCATTTCCTCTGGTAATATTTCAAAAAACAATCTGGCAAAGCTCGTACGCCAAAGAACAAAAACAGTGTGCGCTTGTAAATAGCTTGTCTGATTTGGTACACTGCTACTCCGGATCTGAGTGTGCGCTCCAAGACAACATCTGGTCAAAATCAGTCTGGTTCCTCGGCACAAAACTCGGCTTCTAATGTGAAACACGCAGCCGAGAGAGACTTAGGGCAGGGCTGTTAACATTCAGGGGCTGAGAGCGAGATCGTGGTGTGGTGTTTGGGGCTGGGCTGGGCTGGGCTGGGTAGGGAGGGAGAGAGACGTGGGGGCCATGCAGAAGCAGAGGTGGCCCCAGGTCCTGCATCAGCACTGGGCCAGAGGAGAGTGACAGCCTCCTGCACGGTACATAATAAGAGGAGGCAAAGGCAGCCACAGCGCTCTCCGGAATGTTGGACTCAAGGACAAAATGGGAAGCAGATCCAACATCAATGTAGAAATATATGGACTAATGAATGCAGGGGGAGAGTGCAGGTTTTAGTTTAATTTCAGATTGCGTTGCATTTATTTGTGACGTTGAATACGGCATGAGGCTGTACAGCAGTGGACTTAGCTGGAACTCATGCTTCAGGACCCACTATTAACATCTATCGCCAAGCCGCCTCTCAAATAAGAACAGAATTTAGTATATAAAAAATATACTAAAATACTTTATAGTTTCACAAATTATTGTTTAATAAGCATTGAATAATACTACAAAGCTGAGATCAAGGAAATATATGCTTTTAGTATTTTTAATAAACGTTTTAATAAATGTTTTAGTTATTATTATTATGTTATTATTACTATTATTATGTTTTTAGAATGATACATTTATTTTTTGCTGCTACTGGACACTTGAATTTCTCCTACGGGGGATCAATTTAGTATCAATCTATCTATCTAGTAAATGTTGAAATATTTCTTATCTAGTTTTTTTCTTTTTTTCCATTACATACATATTTCTCAATATTACTTTCTTATATCAAGGACATTTTTAAAGAACATTTTACAGATTTGTTTTGCATTGTAGACGACATCAATGACTAGTTGAGAATCACTGCTGTACGAAGATGAAAATGTCCTTTGCATTTCAGATTCAGATTCAAATTCAGATTCAGATTCATTTATTTGCCATTTGCAGTAAAACCACATAGGAAAAACTGTGCAAGAGTAGCACAGTTTTACAATCCACACAAATAACCCCTATTAGCTTTTTTATAGTTCGATAAAAATAGTAGACTAAGGAATTCTAAGGAATTTGGGGATAATAGAAATAAAACTATTGCCATAACTACAAGGTTTACTACTACTAACCCAAACCCTATCACGTGTATATAAAAGGATTAGTCATAAAACAAAAGAAACCGATTATTTATACAAATGTGTAGTGTATTTTGAGGTACAAGCCACATTCTGCTCATGTGAAACTCGTGATATTTTGACTGAGAAGATCTATCACAGGGGATGAGCAGATTCCCACATGCTTCATGGAGCGTGTCTTTTCCACAGAGAGCAACAACACTGATGGGATTTCCACGTTTTTAAGACTCAAATAAACGGCGAACAGTAGACGGGATGGTTATCTGTTTGTGTGTGTTTGTGTCAGCAGAAATGTGCGGCTAAAAAACTCACATGCAAACAGGACCATGCCTTCCAACGTGACACAGACCGTGGGGAGAGCAGTATCTTGGAGGACACTCTGTAAAAAGATAAGATAAGAGAACCTGTAATCGTCCTACAGTGGGGAAATTTCAATGTTGCAGCACACAGACAGGACTGTGGTAAGAGCACACAGAATATACAAAATAGGTAGCAGCTATTTCTCTTAGCTAGCTGTGAATGCTTCATTATCTCTATATACTGTATCTCTATCCATCTATATGTATAGTGCAAAGTTATATACATACAGGGCAGGATAATGATTCTAACTGAATTATTTTTTTATCTTTACTCGTTTTTATGCACTGTGGCTATTTATGACTTTAATCCAATGTGTGATATTAAGGTTTTAAGTTTTTTAATTACCTGTGTGGTACTATTTTTTGTATGTTTGTAATATGTCTTGTGATCTTATTGTGTGTTTTTAATGCCCTGTGGGATTTTAATTGTATGTTTTAATGTTTGTGATTTATGCTTGATGTGATATGGGTTATGAGGCGCTTTGTGTTGCCTTGTGTAGGGTAGGCGCTCTACAAATAAAAGTTGATTGATTGATTGATAAGTAGAGTAGATGAAGTGACATTCTGTGGACATTCTGAAATTGCAGTATTGCACATGATTACAGTAATTACTACTGGGCACAGGCTCAACAGTTCCAATAATGAACAGGAATATTGTAAACAACCTGTAAGCATCCCAATCATAAACATTTATTTTCTCTGTGAACGGGCTTTATTATCCGTCAAGTGTTTTTGTAGGAATGCTGTTGCCTTGGAGAACAGTGAACCTCTGAATGTCAAGCATTAGTCTACGTGATTTACTACGTACAATGGAGCATCTATAGCTCCATTTTTCATCTCTTGAATGTGTGGGTGAATTATGTGTCTGTAGCCTCGTCCAGGTTAAGAGTATTTTGTTTGAAATGGCATTATAGATCTCTGGCAACTGGCTCCGCATTTTTGATAAAGTGACTGTGGGCTGGCACTTCATTCGGACCAAATGTGGCCTGGTTGTATTCATCAATTCCAAAAGTTTTTAATGGGTTTTGGCAGTTGGCGAGGACCTTTTGAGGAGCGTTTGAGAATGACCTGGGAGTCAGAGCTTTTGGGAGTCATGCAAATGGTATTCTGGCACGGGTTTAAGTTGGCGCTGACTAAGTGACGCGAGATGGTAATGGACTAATGGAGTAACAATAAAAGCGGTGCCTGCGGTGACAAATATCGGGAACGTTTGACGGCGTGAGTAGAGAGCGGTTACCATGGCAGCTGGACTCGTCCGGGTGGAAAGGCTTACAGTCGGCAGAGCGGTCGCAGCGCTGGTGGAATGGGATACAGGCGGACACACCTTCACACACCAGCTCCCCCGGGTCACACTGCAACACGGCTGGAGGGGAGGGGGAGAGACATGAGATGAACACGAGCCCGGTGACGTATGACCAGGTGTAAAGGCCGCAAACAGGATTAAGCAACTCAAAAGCGGCGTTTACTACTTTGATCGCCGTCTGTAAAATTGTCTCCACACACACATATCCGTGATGGGGCTAATCCAGCTCACATGTTGGGCCTTTAAAGGACGTGATTTCCCTGGGGCCATGACTTACACACTTCAGAACACCTTGTCTCACATGACTCCAGGCAAGGTGAAAGGAATGTAGGCACAACATATAACAAGATTGTAATCATAATAGGTTAGTTTTGACATTTTTCTTACTTCTTTTCTTACTTTTTTCATAATTGATACATGTTTGGCCCAAAAAAGTATATTTATTGTATTGGAAAACGTTATTTTGCATACTGGTGCACACTGGGGTAGTCTTGCACAGTTTTTCCAATGTGGTTTTACTGCAAATGGCAAAAAATGTCTCTAATCTTGAATACTTGTAAGAAAGAGCCCTGTGTGATTCTTTGGGCTGAGTGAGCTGGATATTGGTAATGGAGTACCCTCTCTTTTTCACTTTTCTGTCTGAAAATGCTGATCTATAGATTTCATTTTCAATAGTGTCCACATATAGGCCGCACTTGAATATAAGCTCTTCATGTTGTTTTAACTGGTCCCAACATGATTTAATGACAAGGTGTTAGCTTCTATTCCATATTCATTCACCAGTCATTCACATTTTGATAATAAACAAGTGTCCTGTAGCTACTAAAACTTGATGGAGTCAAAATATTAAGTCCATGAACTTTGACAACTCTACCACAAAAAAACACACATATTCACCGCATCACTATATAATCCACCAGCGTCCAAAGAACTATTTTGATATTGAGGAGCTAGTTAGAACGATTTTACTTAATTGTTGCATTAATTCTGGTTTAAAACTCAGGTACCCCCAGTTTTAAAGAAACAAGTGTCTACTATGCATTAAATAAACATACGGCAATTGTACTCATCCTCTCCGTGGGGGCAGTCTGGGACTTCATCACAGCGCAGGATAGAGGGCAGGCACATACTGTCGGAGCATTGGAAGTACCCCACGGGACAGCGGCCCTGAGGGGGGAGTGTCCCTGGGACCACAGTAGCACAGTCCTCTTCATCGGAGCGGTCGGCACAGTCCGGCTCTCCATCACACCTCCAGCTGTCGGAGATGCACTCAAAAGAATAGGCGCACTGGAACTGGTCCGCAGCACAGGTCGTGGGCTGAGGGGTCACTGGTCCTGCAACAGATCAAATCCACTCCATCAGTTTTGCAGTCAACAGCACGAATGAACACACCTGGTCTCGAGAGGTTTGAGAGCTGTTAGTTCAGAGGTGAAGGAACAATGCAGGTCTGAGGTGAAGACAAAAACAATATAAATGTAATTGGGTTCCACCTGCCTGCCCTCAGCGCTGAATTTATATGTTCCACAGGCCAAAACGGTCCATTACTTTCCACTGGCCTCACTTCATTGAGAAAGGCAAAAGTGCTGCAAATGCAAGCTGGCAGCGGAGCAGGTGGAAATACGAGGAAATTGACAAATCAAAAATGACTCTACCCCCAACGACACATTCCTCAGTGAAGGAGATGTCGTCCAGAGTGATGTCTGTCCTCACGTCGCCCCCCACTTCTCCCTGGAAGGTCACTCGGAAAGCCCTGGGGTTGGACAGGACGATGTTAACGTAGTTCCACTGGGGGCCATGGTTCCCGGTAGTGGCCCACATAAGTAGAGGAGTCCCAGTCTCTCCAACAGTGTACACCTGAGAACAAGAGTTACACCGTCTAGACACAATTACTACACTGATGCATTATTATCCCTGTAGAGAAATGGGTTCTTTGCATTTGACCCATCCTGTAATGCCACTAGGGCTGAACTTTACCTATCGTACATGTTTTTAGTGATAGGGGAAACCAAAAGACATAGAGAAAACCTACACAGACCCAGGGAGAACATGCAAACTCCACTCAGAAAGGCCCTGTTCTGACTGGGATTCGAACTGAGAATTGCTGAGAATTGAAAATGCTAACTATTCTATAGTTTGAGCTCCTTGTAATCCATTGAATAATTTCAAATACTCAAAGAATCTCAGACTGTTTTTGTCATGAACTGTAATCTTATTTTTCATCATTCTTTGTAATGCTCGTGGGGTAGTTATTTGGAATTTTTAGCACCTGTCAAATTCAATTCAAGGTTTTGATTTGTTTTTATAATCATCTTTAAGACAAATGAATACAATTCTTTGTTTCAATGGTCCTAGAGCCCTTTAATGTATTGTGCCTGTACAAAGCATATGTACCTATGTCCCAAGACCTTATATTTCATCTTTTATCTAAATGCCTAAATGCCCCCAGAGAGAAGCTAAAAGGACCTTGAGAGTTCCCATCCTGTGCGAGCCGTACATGTAGAACCAGAAACGCAGGCGACACAGGCCGATGCTGGCGGGGTATGTGGCCTTGGTCGTCACCGTGGCAACATCGCCCTCTCTGTGGATTGCTGAGTAGATGAAAAGGTAGCTCCCATCTCCGCCTGACGTATCCACAAGAAAACATTTGAATGAGTGTAAAGCATGAAAAGAAACCTGCATAGCTATCAAGATTGTCAAAAATCCTTCACTATTTTCTAATCTGCTTAACAACAAACAATAGAGTAAAAGTGTATAAATATAAAATAAAAATAAAAAATAAAACAGTACATACATTAATTGCCATCATATACAGATAAGGCATCGATCAATTACAGTTGTGTTGGGATTATACCAACTAATTATGGATTTAACACACTACTTTTTGCTTTAACTGTCACAACATGCAGTCAAATAATATACTGTATAATCCAAGCAACAAACCAATTCCATCTGAAATTCTAGTCCTGTAGCCCAACCCAAATATGATTATACAGTTATTTTTGATTTCACACACAATTTACTGCAGTGCACTTGGGCAGACAGAGGGGTTATTGCGTTGGTTTGAAAAATAGTCTCTTGGGAGGAAAAACTGTGAACATTTTTCAACTTCTGCGATGAGACGGCATCAGAAAATATGGCAGAACAAAGTGGGAGTTTTCCACTTGAGTTAGAGGGGATTTAAGGCCATAACAATCCACAGCGCGCACCAAGCCCAGCCCTAAACCCACGGCTATACATGTATCTGATTTTTACTTCTTTGAGAACATATTTTTCCTTTTGTAATCTAGCCAATAAAAAGCTTGTCTATTGTATTCTTTGTGCACTGAGTAGTAGCTATTCTGTATTCAATGGCCTTCTTATATACTACAGGAGAGCTTGTTGGCCATTTTTATTGATTGCTTTGCCGGTATTGTAAGTTTAAAGCATGACGCAGCAGCCAAGGCCCACATTCTTCTCACGGATCAATAAAGTTAACTGGACACAATCAGGAAAGATTTGTGGACTCAGGGCCATGAACAGGAGCTACAGCAGGACGACCGGGGCATGTGTGAGGGAAGCTTCAACACCGCAGCAGTAGTTATGAACAGAAAAGTGGCACGAGATTCCACTTTCAGTCATAATTTTTCTTTTTTTCAAATGATCTGTATTGTTTGAGTTGTGAAAAAAAAGTGACTGAACAAATAAACTACTGCTACAAGAAAACAACCTGCTAAATCCATAGTACTGTTGTTGGAACGCAGGCCAATCCGCACTTAAAGTCATTATCGATAAATAAAAGTAGATTGTGGTGGAGCTCGCCTTGCGTTTTTGAGGAGGATACATTAATAGTTTTTAGTCGCTAGAAGTTCATAAGCACAGTTGAAAGTGTATGTGTATGTGTCATGTGTATTTGTTAAATGGTGTACGCCTCTAGATTGATGCCCAAAGCCATCGGGGTAACGTACTTCTGTGCACTCTGCAAAAATGTTCATTGGTTCTCTTCATACAGAGGCAACTCTTCTCATTAATAAGACCTGTACCAGAGACACGCAGCACCAGAATCAAAGCTGTATTGGCGCGAAGGGGGTCTAATCTCTAAACTATAATTTTGTTAGAGATGATGAAGCTATCCTAACCCTATGGAGTATTATGAAAGCTGGGAAATATTGAAATTTGTGTTTGTTGTATGTTTTTAGCTCTTTTCAATCTTTGGCAATGTTTTTTTTTCCACTTGTTTATGGGAGGTACTTTGAGCAAATTATTTTATAGCATATCGGTTTGGAAATTCTTTATTAGTTCTTTTGTTCTCAACAAAATCTGTGCCGTTTTGCTTGGACTGAGCTAAAACGATGGTGTGGAGTGTTGCATATAAGTGTTGAGATAATTTCATACGAATTTTGTTTCGGTTTTGTTGTTAGAGAAACATTAATGATGATTAGGTATAACATGCCATTGTAGCACATATGAGTAGCACATATGATTTTGCCAGCCTTCATTGGTATATATGAGTATGTATTAGAGGCAAAATAGACCAGAATTTGCTAAAAAAAATAATAAAAATAGTAATGCATCTTTTTTATATAGCTTTTATATAGATTTTATTTAGCTTTTTTGGACTCTGTTACAGCATGCACAGACCTGGAGAGTGGTCAGCTGGAGGCCCTGTTCCTGGGGTGAGACTCTGCTGACTGATGGCCCAATCAAAGTCATCGCCGGTGTCCTGTGAAAGCTGGCAGCGCTCTTCCCACTGGCTGGACTCCATGTTGAAATTGCAGGAGCCTGGCAAAGTGGCTATATGATCTGCATGCAAGGGGAGAGCAGAGGAAGGAGGGAAGGGTAAGGGAGGGCAATCTTGATTTCATGCTGCAAAAGAAGATTGATTCACAGCGATTTTCACTTTCTCCTCACCACAGTACTTCTCATCTGATCCGTCGGGGCAGTCGGGTTTGCTGTCACATTCCAGGTGAGACTCGACGCAGTGGCCGCTGAGGCACACAAAGTCTGTCACCGCAGGGCAACTGACTGGTACAGGATCTGTCGCACAAATACACACATTTTTCAGGCTTTACTGCCGCATAACTTTGCATTTAGTTCCCTTATTTTACTCATACGAACTGTATTGATCCACAAGGGAAAGCTAAGTCAACACAGTAGCTCACACACAATGCAATAACAAACAGAAGTTGAAAATCAAGTAGAAATATGGCAAACATGCAGGTATAAACACAGGATTACATTAGTAACTTATAGTGACATATAGAAAGAGCAGAAGGAGAAGTACAGAGCACAAAGGAAAATAATAACAGAGATTTCTCTTTCTACAAAAGGGGAGAGTTAAGCCAGTAAAATTACCTAAACAAAGAGTACATTGTTGACTGGGTCGAATTATAGCATTAAACCAGTTCTTATTTTTTAGGGGCGCAAAGTCTTGGCCAGATCATTCCATATTTTCAACTTGAGATATTATTTCACATTCAAAAACAAGTCTCATAATTTTTTAAGGTTAAAATTCATGCCAACCAGATACAGTATATACCACCACTGACCCAAAATTATGTTAAACTACTAACTGCTCCCACTAATGTCTGCTGGCGTTGTGTCCTTGGGTAAGACACTTAACCCGACATTGCCTGAAGCTCTCGATGAAACACCAAGGCTGTGGCACCACTGATGTAGCAGCCATTTTCCTGCGGACTCACCCCCTGCAGAGGATCAGGTAGGGACTGGTGCTATGAGCGTTGGGTGGCAGCTCTCATTGTCACCCCCCGACCCAGAAATAGACTAATACAGGGGCAGAAAATGAATGAATGAATACTACTGGACACAGCAAACCAGATATGAACCCAAAATCAAACCAGAATTAACCAATTTAAGTATTCTTTCTTCTCTATATTAGTGAAATGGAGGCAGGGCAGTCCACATAACAGGCCTAATTTGAATACGCCTGCCTTACACCTAAATTCAACCATCATTGTAATTTCCACCAATTCAAGAACAACATCTGTTTATTTTAGTTACAGATGACAATTCTATTTAGGTATGGGGAGATGGTAAACAAGTGTGTTCAAAGGCCTGTCAGGGGAATAAAAGCTGCTCCTTGATTCAGTGCATCCAGAGGACAGGAGAAGAGAAGTGGATGAGGTGGATCAGAGAGAGCTCACAGTAGCTCCACAGTGAAAGTTGTGTGAGGGTTTGAATATGAATGTACAGTACAGTTCAAAGACATCACATGGAAAAGGAAATGTGCAAAGACACCAGTGTGTTTGTGAGTTTCAGCAGAACATGCATTTCAGTGTGTTTAAGAGCATTTCATGTGATTGAAGTGAAATCAATTTAAATAGTTTTGAAGAGACTATTTGCCAGTCGGGGCACGCACGCCATTTCCTTTTTTATTGATTATGTGCGTGTCTCTCCACATACAGTATAACCTGTGTTTGGGTTCAGTCCTGCCCAATCCTCTGCAGGCCCTGTTGGATGTGGATTCTTATGCATGCACTTGTTTGCAGTAGGTAAGACTTCTGTAATGCCCTGGGCTCTCCAAATGAGCAAAACAACAGCTTCAAGATAATTCAAAACGCGGCAGCTCGAGTTCTGACTAGAACCAGGAAGTACCATCACATTAGTCCAGTTCTCAGGTCTCTGCACTGGCTTCCTGTGGCTCAGAGACTATTCTTCAAAGCTTGTTACAAGTCTCTCCAAAGCCTCGCACCAAAGTACATCTGTGACATGTTAGTGCCAAATGAACCAATTTAGACTCTGAGAACACGGGGACTGACCTCCTGCTGGAGCCCGGAGTCCTTTTAAACAGCTGGTTGGGGCATGGTCTGTTTCGGCTGAAGCAGATTATGATCTGTTTTATGTATTTTGTACTGAATTTTTCACCTTTTTTGTATTGTATATCAAATCCTGTGTCTCTATGTTTTTTATGGGTCCCCACGGGAGCTCCTTCTGCAAACGAAGTTTCTCACGGATTAATAAAAATTTTGAATTGAATTGAATTATACTGAGCACTGTGACACAAATCTATTTCATACTTTGAACTATAAGGCCTTTTTTGCAGAATGACATCTGTGCTCTGCAAGATAATCTAAGAGTAATATGAAAAACTTTGACTCCACTCAACACTAGAAAAGCAGACAGCAGCAGAGTTGACCTTATTATCTAACATAACCACAAGCCGTGACCATTTTCCACAATGTTACAGTCAGTTTATTTCTTGTGTATTAGAAAACCAGTGATGACTTTGCCAGGTGGACTTCTGGCATTGATAATATTTTACAGCTCTCTCCTCTGAAACAATAAAATGGTTATACACTATTCTGACCTCCTCATTATTATGTTATGGATAAAGTCTGAAAAGTCGTTTGATGCCTACGGGACACTGGGGTATTGTTTGAAACTGTATATCTCGACAAAACCTTTTCTCAGATGTTGATAGAATGATAGAATGAACTTACCTGGAGCACACTCGATGTACTCTATATCATCCACAGCAGCGCCTCCACCTAAGTCCATGGTGCGGATCCCCTCAAAGATGACCTCAAAGTTCCTCAGTTTCCTTAGTGGGATCTCGGCATGGTTCCAGAAATTCCCCTGGTGTCCTGTCTTGTTCCATAGCTCCACCAAATTATTTTCAGTCTGGAAATGAATAAAAAAATAGACAGTTGGAATGTACGCTAAGACTATTTCAGAAGAACAGTTTCCATTGTATTGTAATTAAGACAAAAATAAAATCTCCCTTCTTTGACCTGCCACATATGGGCTGTGTTAGACCAAGAGCAGCCACTAAAGGAGTCATCTTAAAAGGAAATCTCTGACTGGAGGATTTTAATGTCACGGAACATTTACAAAGTAATATTGAACCTGAGTTTGTGACCATGGGAAAAGCATAAAAAGCGCTCTACAATGAGGCCTACCTGCATACGTGTCTTTGTCTGTGGATTTCTATGTAGCCACTCAAACTCATGCTTTTGAATTTTGTTTGGATATTATTTTCTAGTAGGTTTGGATTCAATCACAGCCTAGCTAAATACCAAAAAAGATGTAATTGAAGATTCATAATTACAGATAGAAACAAAAATCTTTGACCTAACTTTTAATTAACTAACATCTAACTACATGTTAGTTAATTATATAACAGATTAACTCATATGGTCGTTTCCTGTAGAACATGTGCGTTTTCTAAGCTGCAAGTTGCTGTATTAATGATAATTGCAAATCACTACAATTGTCTCGCCCGCGCTAAAACATGTGAACTTTTGCTTATCTATATAAAAACCAATACTTCACTTTAATCAATTATAAGCCCCAACTAGCACCACAGCTGTCCTCGCCGACAAACATGTAGCGTCAAATCTGTGAGAGCGGCATGTGACCTTTGCTCATTCAATGTTCCCGAGCAGCAGCGATATCTCTTTCCTGATGTGATAGAAGTGCATTCTTGATTTCCCCGACAGTTTTGCCTCCAGTGAAAACCCACTTTTGAACACTGTAGATGTGGGAACCCAGCAAAACGCCACATTTCTTCGGACCCTTTAAGAGTTGTGGTTCAGTGTACTCCAAACCATAGGACGAGCAATGTCACTTTCACCCACTGCAGTTAGAAAGCCTATTAAGTGCACCCTTGGGTGAGGCAGGCACAGACTGTATCTTCTGCTTTACGCCATCAGAGCTCTGGCTTGAAATAATCTTGTTACTGCGAGAGGAGAGCATAGATTAATAGGCACCGTTACAGCCCGAGTTATCCAGATTTATGTCATTGTGTAAAGGCTCAATCTATAACTGCATTTGATGGCAGAGAATGTGGTTAGGGCTGGAGGTCTCTGCAGCGGATCTATCCCAGCATTTAATTACACATTTATAGCTACGTCTACTATACACTCCAGCAGGTTAACGACAAATGAACTGATGTGACGTTGAATACATATCACTTTAGCTACAATTGACAAGAAGGAGGTGAAAGTCCGTTAGAGTAAGTATCAACAAAGCAGGTTTTATCACCGTCTTAACATCCTGAAGTGACACATTAAACTTGTGTTTCAGAATCTGCTTTATATTCATGGCCTCTTTGGTTTCAACCATGGTGCAAGTTTACTGTAGGTATATTTGCTGACTACACTTATACATTAATGATAATAATCACAAAATGTTTGTAATTTTAATAATAATATCTTTGTTAATGTTAAGAGAACATATTTAAAACATTAACATTATCTCAGTTTATAGATTTTGTGTTTTCAAGGTTTCATCTGAGCTCTTAAGGTATATAGGAGGACTTTCTACTTCCAGGTGGATCATCAAGACTATTGGTCATCCTAATTGTCAATCATTCTGAGGATACGTGCTCGTCAAATTAGTCTAGAAAGTTTTGTTCAAAAAGTGGTGAGGGCGGTTCTTTCCTAAAGTTTGGGAAAATCCTCCTATCGGTACGTACCTTTAAGCTTCTGTGATAGAATCAAACATTGACGCTGTGGAAAAAGGCTGCTCTCTCTCAGGGCAAGAAATGAGAAACTAAAAAGAGCCTCAGGATGTCATGGTGTAGATTTTGTGTTTTTTTGTACTTTAGCTTAATTTTGACATCAGTGCCCCGCCTTCATGTGTTTCACCTGTGTCTATATGTACCTGTGCTCCTCTCCCCTGGTTGCTGGTCCATTGTCTTTGCTTTCGTTTGGATTCTTGGTAAGTTTATTCATTCATGAAATAATTATTTTTTTGCTTTGATGCTTTTGGGGTTCTTCCTTAATTTTAGCACGTCACACATGGGAACTTTGAAACTCTAGTTATTATTATTTATTTCTTTTGACTGCTTAAACCAAACTATAGATGTATTCTGTATTCTAGTCATTTCTCTACATGTTATTGACCGTGTTGTAAACATCGTATATGACAAATAAATCTAGTCTCTGATCTAAGCAAAACAGCCCAAGTGCTTAGACTTTACAGAAACATAATTACTTTCTGAATCTAAACTGCTTTGATTCTGTTGATATAAAAGGGACAGTGAACTCTCTTCACAGGGGAAATGCTTGACAGGTAAATATTTCCTCCTCCTCCTCCTCCTCCTCAGCCTCCTGCCTCCAGCATCATTACCATAAGTCCCTTTGTTCTTCAATCAGCCTCTAAACGCTGTGTTTGCACTCAGCCCACACATTGTGCAGTTTAAAGTGGTGTATACATTTTTATCAGCATACATATAAGTGCAAGCTTCCTTTAGTAGAAAAGGTGCAAAATAACTGCACATAAATTACAAATCGTTTTGAATACAATTGCGCGATCCAGTAAAACGGGCGACCTTCGAGCTGCTAGAATCAGGCCGTACATGCATTTAATGTTATTTTCATGACTCTGAGCCAGTAGCAAAGCTGAACAAAGACTCCTCATGTCACAGAGAGATTACGAAAGGTCTGGATGTGTGTGTAAAGGGAAAACACACGCACCATCTCTGACCTTCAGATACAGTTTACATACATGAAAAGACAAATCATTATTACTGTAACCTTGTTTTTACCAACATTATTTCTATATAATATTATTTATGGTTCCACAAAGTTAGAAGACAGGTCAATAAAACGTGTATTTTTACACAGTAAGTAAGTAGGTAATATCAATAAGTAGGTTTACAATGTTCATAGGCAGATATTGTTCTATTCACTCCACACACAGAAACCGGAGCACCCAGAGGAAACCTACACAGGCACAGGGAGAACCTGCAAACTCTTCTCAGAAAGGCTCTGTTCCAACCGGGATTCAAACCCAGGACCTTATAGCTGAGAAGCGAAAGTGCTAACCACTCAGCCACCAGGTGTGCAGAACCTAACCCTAACCCACACAAGAACAAACATGTGTAGGAGAAGATAGTAGAAAGTAGTAATAAGTATTGCATAATTGGATACAGTATAATTTCTGGAGCAAACTCTATGGTGGTGCTCTGGACAAGGGCTAGACAAACCCATGTCATTTCTGAATTAGAGTTCAATCGATCTCAAGCTTGAGTAGATTTTGTGCAAATTTCATAATTGGATATTTATTTGACCAGAGCCAGGCCAGTGGGATTAAGACCTGAAAGTTCAATCAATAGTCCAGTCTGCGGGGAGTAGAAATGCTAAACAGCACCAAAAGTCAAAGCAGAATTTCAATGTCATTATGCTGCAACAATAATCTTAAGTTATCTCCCAGGATCCAGAACGCAAACTCGGGACGGGGATAAACACACAAAGATGAGAGTGCAGATGGGTAGGCTACAAGAACATGACCCCACATTAACCTACGGCTCATAGTTCAAGCGAATGACAACATTTCATCAGAGGCAATTTTGTTAAAGGCAAATAAAAATAAAATATCACCAGCGCTGACAGCGAGGCCTAATGCTGTACATCTGTTGTGAGATTTATTTCACATTTCAGAGTTCAATGCTGCGTTTACCTTGATCAGTAGGCGAATTGTTCCTGTGGCCTTATGGGAAATGTAGTACCAAAAAGAGAGCTTGCACACAGCGCTTGACTCTTTCCACATGGAGCTCCTGATATGTGCTTTATCGCCCCTCAGTCCCACTGGCGTTGCTTCAAGATACACAAAATGACCTGCAGAGGACAGAAGGAGAAGAGATGAAAGATTGTAATTGATAACTGTTCTGAATGGGCTGTTGTGGCAGCCAGGGGCAAATAAAACACAGGGGTGGGGGACAGGGGCAAAAGGTCAGACCAATCTACTAATGCTCAGCTGTGGTGGGACTTTTACAAGACATTTGTCTCGTAGTAGCACAAGAAATGTATGGTGTCATTTTTCTGATTCTACACAGAGGACACACTTAACAAAATTGACTTTTTTGAGCTTTTAGTGATGTTACAACATTGGTCTTCATCAAAAACACTAATATCACCTCTGGCACAAACATGCAACTCTGCCTCTTCTAACTAAAAGCTCCAGTCACACTATGATGTCATTGTATCAGTATGATGTCATCGTATCACTATGACGTCATGCCCAAGAGCAGTTCTCTGCCTTTTAAAACAAAAGTATTGCCTAAATTAGTTCTGATATTTGTTAAGCTGATGATATTTCTATTGATTCAATGGTTTAGTCAGGTGAAATGAGAAGCAATACAATCACATGGCAGTGTTTGCAGCTGGTAATTTCCAACTTAAGAAAAAAACAAGACGAATTCAACTCCTCTGGTGGTAGAATAGGGCGTTACAGGCAGAAAGCATTTTTGACTCTTGATTCTTCACTTCACACTTCACCATACATTTACCATATATTATTCCACAGTCTAAACATTATACCACATGATACATTCTCATTTTCAAAGTTTGTGAAGTGAAAAAAATTAAACAAACTGCTTAAACCCACCGTTTTCATTCTGCATGGTGTGGTCGTACGGAGGCCGTATCTTCTGGAAAGAACCTGTGCCCACCGACCAATCAAAACTATCAGCCAGGGAGCGTTTCCATCCGCAGCGACCACTTTCAAAAGCGCAAGAAGTGCCACAATCTTTTTCATCTGTGCCATCGCCGCAGTCATCTCTGAAGTCACAACTTTGCCCCGAGGAAAAGCAGCGGCCATTTTCACACAGCAGACTGCCTGGAGGACAAGGCTCTGAGAAAAGACATTAAAATTCATATGCCTCAAACTATATAAGATAAGATTACAATATCAACTACACTTTCTTTATTACCCGCAGACCGATAAATCAGATTATAATTCGGAAACATTGTTAAAAAGGGGGCTGGAATCTGTTTTTTTTTTATCAGTGGACATTCCATTTGCAAGCTCAGTGAAGTGTTGGTGAGGGAGATGAGCCGTGATGAAGAGGGGTGGTCTCTCAAGTTAGGGGAGAGAAAAGGCTTTAAGTCCCAGCTAATCCTTTGTTCCTCTTCGGAGTCACAGGAGCGAAAGCAAAGTGCCTCAACAAAGCAAAGCGGAAGCCAGGAAACCTCGGCTGAGAGTGAATACCATTGTGTAAAAAAGATTTGATCCCACTATATAGAGAAAACAGGGTATACATTACAGCTGCTCACAATGCAAAAGGCCATGGGTCAGGCTCTGCACAATGAAAAGGAAAAAGGGAAAAATATTTAAGCGATATTAAGCTTTTTGTGGTCAACAATCAACCAGAGTTTTTCAGAAATTTGATGTGACACAGACAAAAGCTGGAGCTCTGAAAAATCATAAGAGATCAGGGACAACTAAACTCAATAACAGAAATAAATAAAAGAAAATATGTCAGAAAAGTTTGGGGCCAGGTCATTGTGTCCTGGATTCTGGAACAATTGTGCTACTTCGGCGCCAAAAGGGGTGTACTTTATCTAAACTAGCCAAAAATGCAGATTGACAAAAATGTATTCCCAATGTCGATGCAAAACGGATTCATAGTGATAAGTCATGCCCTTTTACCCCTTCAATCAAATATGGTGTGCATTGTTTAAAGTAACATATAGAGAATTATGAATTGAATTTATTGAAATAAATTACCCACTTCCTGTATGGGGTCGCCATATGGGAGGCGGGTGCCAGACCTACTGTATATGTTTTTAGTGGTAGGGGGAAACCGGTGCACATGGAGGAAACCAGAGCAGACAAAGGGAGAACATGCAAACTCAATACACAGAAAGGCCTGGAAATGGAATCGAAAGTACGAGTATTAACTATTGCTTCCATATTAATTAAAGTACATAACATATGACTTAGCTTAATTACACTTTCTATAATTTCTTCTATGTAATACTTTCTCTCTGGTATTGAGGATACTACACCGTCTGTTCACCTTAAGGAGCACAAGATTTTATCACAGGGCTTCTGTATTTCCTTTGACATTTGCAAAAAAAATACAATCTCAAAACAAAAGCAAAAGAAACCATCTGCAAAGTCACAGAGATAATTTCATGAGAACGTAGCATGATGAATAGTCCTGTTGGAAGCAGAGTCCCAAGACTAATGGAGCGAAGTGTTTCTGCTGTACTTTAAAACAGTGGAGGAGGCAATGGAGAAAAGCCGTTCTAAAAGTAATTGTCCTGGGCTCAAGTTTTTCGACAGTTCAGCTCAAAACAAGAAGATGCTCTTTCTTCCAGGAAGCACAACACGAAAAGGGCTCAAATGGGCTCAAATGTGGAGGAACAAAGGCTATTAATCAAATCTTGTTGTTGTGAATCATTTTTAAAAGTTTCCTCATAAAGAATGCAGGGCTCCGCAATTCCTTTAGTCAGTTTGGGAGTAATTAGCATTTTGGGTTTGCGGATTAAGTACCAATCATTATCTGATCTTTTTTTCAGCAGCCAATTAATTAGTTAGTGGTATTTTTCTCCCCAATGTATTTAAAACACAAAACAAATGACATAATAAAATACCTGAATTGTAACAGAGGTGAAGAGGTTATGATAGATACACTGGATGTTTATAAGTAACAGAAACAGAGGAAACATACTTTCAGATGGTGGAGGTGTTGTGTCCTCTACTTCAGCTGAGGAGGCCATGAGGCATCCAGGAGAGAAGGTGATGTCATCAAGGCAGATGTCGGCTTTGGGGTTTCGTCCCACTTTCCCCTCCATCATGACCTGAAAGTCCTGGACTGAGCTCAGCAAGACTTCCCTGAGCTGCCAGTAGTTTCCCTGATCCCCCGTCAGGTTCATCTGGAGAGACGTTTGTCCTTCAGTGAGGACGGACACACTCAGAGTCCCGATACCGTCTCCAGACATGTGCACATAGAAGCGCATCTACACACAACACAAAACAACTGTCAAATGCTAGGATTTCACATTTATAAAACAATAGCTGTAGTGATGTGTGTACACATCTGGGTCAACAATGTTTGAGAATAAACACACATTAAAAGTCATTCCTTCCTTCCAAGCTGGCTCACAAAGCCAGATGTCTAATTGGGTTTCAGCGGACTGAGTGATAGATGGACAGGTCTGCAGAGGGACACACACAATACAAACACACGCACACACACAGGTCTGCAGAGGGATAAGACACACACAATACCCACAACAAACCAGCTGTCAATCAACTGATTGTACCCAGTGGGCTGTGAGCCTGACAGCTGGCTGTGTGCACACACATACACACACACACACACGCACACAAACACACATACTGTACACGCTCACACATACACGCACGCAAACACACATACACGCTCACACACACCCATGCACACACATACACGCACGCAAACACACATACTCGCTCACACACACCCATGCACACACATACACGCACACAAACACTCACACACACAAACATGCAAACTCACACATACACGCACACAAACACACAACCACATACACACAAACAAACACACACCCTCACACCCAACACACACACAAACAGGTGAGAGACCTCTGGGAAAATCAGGTGCCACAGTGGGGTGGCTGTAAAGTGCCAAACTGTTGTTGTGTCCTTAGGCAAGACACATCACATGCTGTCGGCTGGGTGCATGAATGATTGGTGGTGCTGGGAGAGGCTGATGGCACAGACTGATTGCCTTGCTTCTGTCAGTGTGCCCCAGGGCAGCTGTAGCTACAGCAGTAGTTCATCATCACAGTGTATGGAATGAACGAATAATGTCTTTGTGTATCTTGAAAAGCACTAAATAAAGTACTTTCCATAGTTACATCTATACTGCACCTTGCAGTGTTTGCTCCTGTGACTGAACACTGGGCCGACGATACGGGCCACGTCTCCAGCCGCCTGTGGGAAAGAGCCCTCCAGGTAAAGGTAGTGCCCACTGGGGAACCTCAGCGTATGGTCACTGGATGGACCTGTGCCTGTTGTGGAAGTCCTTCCAGTTTTGATCAACCAATCAAAGTCATCCCTGCTGCTCTGACGCCAGGAGCACATGTCAAACTCAAAATTGCAATGTCCACTAAAGCCTTCTGGAAGACAAGAGGAAATTAAAATATGTCCCACCCATTTTAATTTGATGAAAATACCTGAATTAAATGAAAGTATGTCTCATGAATGTTAAATCCTTTCAGGGGCTTACTGCAGATAAAGGTGTTCTCGTCAGAGCTGTCCCCACAGTGGTTGATGAAGTCACAGAGGTGGTCCTGGGGGATGCAGTGGCCATTGGAGCAGCTGTACTCCTCAGATGAACACGGTGTGTTTGAGGACACAGGAGGAGAGCACTGCAGGAAGTGCACGTCGTCTATCACCACATCCCCCATGTAGCTGATGCCTCTTTGAGCTCGGAAGACGACCTGATAAGGAACACAGTCAGTGTTCATTCAGACAGCATCACAGTCTCATCAATTGTTTTGTTAATGTTTTACACAGGACAAGGCAGTAATGACTACAGATGTACTGTATTACATAACTTTAAGGGATATTATATATTAATATACAGTATATGCTTGGATTAAACCAAAACACTACCAGGGGTTTAGATACACTGAATAAATAACTTTTAAACATTCAGTTACCTGAAAAGTGGTTGCCAATCCTAAAAACACCTCCCCTTGTCGCCATTTGTTTCCTTGTGTGCCTGACTGAGACCACACCTCATGGGTGACATTTCCAAACTTCAGCAGCACCTGTAGTGGATGACACATTAGTTCCCACACTTAACTCTGTTTTCATTTTCCACACTGCACTTTTTTCCAGCTCCCAAGCAGCTCTCACCTGCAGTGACCCCACAGTAAACCCACTCATGTGGTACCAGAAGACCAGGGTACAGCGAGGCCCTGTGTTGGAGATGACAGGGGTCTGGAGGTCACTGGTTTGGCCATAACCTCCATTTGAGCTGTCTGCATACATGTACCAGCCCTGTGCACTGCCCCTGCACATGACAGAAGCAGCATAGACACACGAAAGATTATAGTTACAGTATATGATTATGCTGTATTATAAACTCAAACTAAAAGTGCAGTTGTATGGCTGAGGACAAATACTCTTTCCACAACTGGCTAAAAGTTTCCTAATCTCATCCCATCAATGAAAATCCACACAAAGACTCTACTTACAGCGTATGGTCCTTGACAGGGCGATGATATCGCTCTCCATCGTGGATACTTTCTCCTTGATCCAAAGACCAGTGATACGCATGTGGTGACACCAGCTCTGCGGTCTGCCAGCCACAAGAGTCTTGACCTTCAAAGTTGCACTGTTCTTTTACTAGAAGAGGAAAGAGGATATTTTTTCACACACACTGACATATGCACAGACTGACTGGTCTGAACAAGTAAATGTGATGTGAAATCTCAGGGAAAGGTGAAATGTTTACCACAGTGTGTTTCATCTGAACTGTCAGAGCAGTCCCTCTTAAAGTTACACACTGCGCTCAGAGGAACACACTCCTGCTGCGTCTCACACACAAACTGTCCTGAGGGACAAGTGTGCGGCTGCACTGTGGGGGCAACTGTGGTCACTGCTGGAATGGTTGAGTTTGCTGAAGGAAGCTCGCCTAAGGAGATACAACAGAGATCATAATGAAAAAACCACTGAGGTAAACTGCCATGTAATGTACAGTAGGTCCAACATTAACGTCTACCTGAATATGGAACACAGTGCAAGAATGAGAGGTCATCAATACCAATATCTCCATTGAAATCATCTCCAACAGTTCCTTCAATCACGATCTAGAAATAAAATATACTGCCTTAAATAATAAAAAGGATCAGACCATACGCAGGCTCTGCCTATGTGTGTGTTAGTAATAGCATAGTGGTCTGTATTGCAAAACTATCTCAAAGAAAAAGATTCTTTGCCCTCTCCAGGTGGTGGAGAGGTCCTTCCTCAAGTGATCACTGTATCAGACATATGTGGTGAAGAGGGAGCTGAGTCTAAAGGCAAAGCTATCATCCTGGAGTTTTTTTTTCTTTTGAAATCCGTCGGTTTTCTATAAATCCACCCTTTTGTGCAACAAACTCGGCTCGTACATTTCCGCAAATTTTTGGCACGTCCCATGGCACGGTGTGTGCATTCACCAATCAGCACAAGCCATTGATTTATATGGGCCGAAATCTTGGAGGAAACCTACAAAGAATAGGGGAGAACCTGCAAACTCCACTCAGAAAGGTCAAGTGCTGACCATGGATGGAAAACAGATAAATTGAATATGCGTAAAGCACTTGCTTAATGGAGATTTAGAAGTTTAACATCAACACAGTCTCACCTGAAAAGGCCGAGCACTGTTGAGATACAGAGTCTTTCGGTGCCACATATTCCCCTGGTTCCCGTAGCGCACCCACAGCATGTGTCCACGGCCCGTGGAGGTGGTCCTCAGGTACACGGCCAGACTGAACACTTGGGCACCAAACATGTGGAAGTGAAAGCGGAACACACAGGGGTGCCACTGTTCGCCTGGGGCCGTTATGCGTTTGGGGGTGGGATGCAGCACTGGGCCCAGAAGAACAGCAATGTCTTTGAACTCCTGAGGGAAGGACGACTCGATGTAGAGGTACTGCCCAGAGCTCGTGCCCAGCGTGTGGTCTTTCATTGGGCCAGTGTTGAAGGTGGGAGTGGGGCCTCGGATGAGTGACCAGTCAAACATATCTCCACCGCTCTGCTCTTGTCTCCAGGAGCAGAGGCCATGCTCAAAGTTACACTGAAGATCTGGGGCTATAAAGGTATATGGTAATTACTCATCAATTCATCCATCCATCCATTTTCTACCCTTTAATCCATTTCTGGGTCAGGGGGGTGGCAATCAGAGATGCCACCCAAGTCTCATCAATTCATATTATGTGTAAAAGAAAAAGAGGAAATATTACAGTATGTATTGCACTAACTCTAACTAGCCATAACAATAACTAGTCCATACATGTTAAACTTTTTTTTAAATGAATTTTTCTAATCTGCTAAATCAACAAGTATGTGAAGTCCTTTGAGACGACTGCTGTTGTGATTTCAGGCTAAACAATAATAAATTGAGCTGAAAATGACAAGAACTGAATTACAAGTCATGCTAAATTATGAATGGCTATATTATGAGTTCAGAATGATAACCTTCGAGTACGTGAATGTAAAATAATAAGTAATCAATTATTCCAACCTTGAAATAAACCCTTAAAGATACACAAATAAATATTTATGACGACAGAGGTCCTTACAGCATCCCTCCTCATCGGAGCCATCTCCACAGTCGTCCACAAGGTCACAGAGCTGCATGAGCTCGATGCACGCCCTGCTGTGCACGCAATGGAAATGTGTGTTTGACGGACACACTTCTACTGCTGGAGGCATGGAGCAGTTATTGAAGGTGATATCGTCCAAGGCCGAAACACCATCAAAAACGCCCAGGCTGCCTTTAGCCACGGAGATCTGGAAGGGCTGAGTGATGCGGCCCAGCTGAACCGTCACATGGTTCCACCGTGGACCCTGGTCGTACAGAGATCTCCAGACCACGGTATTATTTTGGACATCTTTCATGCGCAGGTACATGTCCGCAGCACCCACCGAGATGCCAGAATTGTAATGCCTGTGCAAAAATTGTAAATACAAGAAACATGTAATAAACATCAGGCCTATTATGGATTTTATGAGATTTTGTTTCTTTTGATATTTTATGTGTACTGATGATTTTGTTTGTTTGCTTGTTTGCTGTACTGTATTATTATTATTAAAAATGTGATTAACCCTTTAATGGTTTCCTCTGCTATTTGGTGGATCACTTTTTGAGTCACTTCATTTATTTGGAACTGAAATCTCCCTCATTTGGCCATCGCTATCACTTTGTTTTTTAGCACTTTTACCATCGAATTGCATCTCAACCATTTGGTAAAGGCCTATCATTAAAAAAGTATGGGTTCAAAAAAGGGTTAGCCATTACATCGTGCTCCTACATTTTAGAAAATAAAGTTAAAAAGACATCCACATTACATTTACCTTAAAGGGTTAAAACTGTCATGTGTATGGAGGTCATGTTGAGTAGTGTGGTCCTCACCAAAACGACAAGGAGCATCCAGAGGCTGACTGTTGGAACCAGGGTCCTCTGAGAACCGCCCGGGGATGAAGGCTGCTACTGTTTTTGTGTATAAACATGAACTGCCCTGTCATAAGCCAAAATACTTTACATTAGAGGTGGCACTTTCCATCACATCATGTTTTGGTTCATTAAGACAACTCATTTACTTTTCTATATCCTTGATTGCTTTCTTGCTCCATTTACAAGCCATGACAAAATTGACCAAAATAAAGAAATAAATAAATCCTTTTGCAAACACTATACCTGTGGTACTATTGGTAGTGTGGTCCAGAGGAGGGGGGCAACCATAGTAATCCGGGGGAACTTGCGGAGAGGAGCCTCGGACCCAATCGAAGCCATCTCCTAGAGTCAGCTCATACCAGCCACACGACCCGTCCTCAAAGTCACACCTAGAGGCTGAACAGAGACACAGTGAGACACAACAAAAGGAAGAATCAGTAGAATTAGCCCTGAGTTGGAGGTTCTTACGGCAGCTGGCTTCATCTTCTCCATCGGGACAGTCTGGACTAAAGTCACAAACTTTGCTCTCTGCTAAACATCGTCCATTATGGCAGGAAAACTCGGTTGGGAGGCACTCAGCAACCAAAGACATTCTGTTATCTGGAAAAGCAGAACAACAGTATATCAGAAAATCACATAAAGGCTTTTGAATATATGGGTGAAACTCGGAAAATTAAAATATTGCTCAGAAGTCCATTCCAAAAACAGTCGTCCTGTAATCAAATTAAGTACATTAAAATTATACTGCTGATTTTAGTTAAGCACATAAATATTCTTTGTTTTTCATTAATTTATTTATTGATTTGAATTTAGGACAGTACATATTTATCAATGTGTCTGCAAACAGTGTCATCATAAATACGCTGGAATAAGCACAATAGCTACATTGCATCCATTGTCCTTATAACTGCATACATTTATAACATGCAGATAGTCCTTGTATGCTGTTTGATGTCATGCCAAAAGATTTTTTTTTTTAATTCAGGGTACACTTCGACTTGCTCTGTTGGAAGCAGGGCACAGATGCGTAAAGGTGACATTTGACTTGTATGGGTCAGTGCTTTCTTAGACACGCTGAACTAGACATGGTGAAGTCTCAGTGGTGCTTTTAACTACATCATTTCTATCATTCTGCAGAAGAAACTTGCAATAACAACAAACATTATTTTTGACTGTATACTATGCATTGTGCTGATTTTACTATTAACTACATTAGCTTTCTTAATAACTTGTCCTACAAATGTCAGTATCACAGATTTTGTTTGCTTCAAGAAATATATTTGGGGGGAAAATATAGAAAGAAACAAATTGTGGAACGACTGCTGAGTATTTGTAGTATTTGTAAATCATGATATTGTTTGTGTAGTGATATTTGGAAAGGTCAGGGTCTAACTCACTCCATGTGTGCAGCGATAGGGTCTGCATCGTGGTGTTAAGTGGCACAGTCTGACATCCAGGACCGAAGGAGACGTCATCTATGGCCAGGATTTCAGAGTCAGCTCCAAGATCACCCTGAATTATCACCTAAAAACATAATACTTATGTTTGTCAGCAGCAGGATTCTTAAATTTATTATTTAGTACAACAAAACATCGATGATAAATATATGAAAATAATCTGTAGTATGAAAGATAATTTTATTGTGCAGTATTTTTTCAACCATGTGAGTGTTTGGTGTGACTTTGGAAATGATCCAATGAAAAATAACTGGTCAAACTAAATGCATATAACATTGTTTTTTTTACAAAGGTCAAACATAAAAAAATATATTGAAAGTGAAATGAGAAGTGTTTCACTCTTGATGGCTTGATGCATTGGTTTTCAAACAACGAAGCACCTGAGTGATTACCATAATATCTAAAAAATGGGTTTTCTATGTACTAACAGATGAAAGCTAGGTAACAGAGCTGCGCTGAACCATGTCTCAAGTAGAACTATACATTTTACAGTGGGTCAAAAATGGAGGACAAAACCTGGGGAATTAAATGACTCAAGTATTTTCTGTACTCTACAAGAAGGTATGAGCCTACATCAGAAGTAAATCTATGCAGTTTGAGAAAAGTAATGATCAAAAACTCATCTTTTTACCTGAAACATGCTCTTGGCGTCAAACTGCACCAGAACCCGTTGCCAGGTTTCTGTTCTGTGCTGTGGAGCGCTGTTGGCCCAGACCAGAGTCCTTTGACCCATTTGAAGGGTCTGGAGCAGGACCTGCAGGTGTCCACGCTCTGCCTCCATCTTATAATAGAATCTCATCTGTCAGGAGAAACGCAGAGGACGGCATCGGTGTCATGAAGGGGTTGATGGATGCTGAGAACCGTAAATCAGAGGCCTTTATACCTGGCATGTTTGACTGGGCCGGAAGACTGGACTCACTAAATCAGCTGCGTGGCTTTTGCTTCTCAACGACAGGAAGTGTGCTTGATGTGACAAATCAATAGGATATGTTTAACAACTTTTAGGCAAGCCAGATATTGTACGATGTAAAAAAATATATATATTGGGCATACATTTAATAATCATAAATCATTATTTTACTGCTCTACTCAACAGAAGACGGGTAAAATCTACAGAAAATAAATGTCTTTAGATGATTCAAAGTACATATAGCTGGAAACCAAAACATAACCTAGTTTCATCTTTAGACTTTACCCACCAATCTCAGGATTTTACCTACAATCTTCTGAAAGTGAGCGTTACAAAATATCCTAGTTATGATTAAAATTAGCCGCTTATAATAATGAAGAGGACAACATTCTGACAATGAGGGTTTACCAGATGTTTTCCTGTGGTCGTGATTAAACTCTGTTGCTCTGGTCCAGTCAGAGGATCCTGGTGATGGACTGAAGTCACAAAGGTCCTTCTCAAAATCACAGCGTGTGTATTTGGAACCTTCAAACAGGAAAAGGTTGAAAATGTTAAAATTTCTGGATGGCATTTCTTTCATTGAGGACTTTTTGCGTAATAATGATCATTGTGAAGTAAGAATTTTCCATATTATGCGTCACATGATAGTAGTTGGACTTTGGGGTGTGAGGGGAAGGCACAAGTTTCTTTTAACATTAACTCTGGTCCATTTCCGCATATGAAATGTACACAGATGTGAGATTATTTGTACTCACATTGTGTTTCGTCGCTGCCATCTTCACAGTCGTCAGTAAAGTCACACACACGGTCCATCCGCACACACGCTCCAGAGGCACAGGTGAAGTCCAGGACAGAACAGCTCTGGGCAGATGCACTTCTCCAGAGAAGCAGACATGAGGCCAGCAGGCTCCACACTGACTCTACCTCCAGCTTCATCAGTGCTGAATACAGTTTAGTCTTGTATCACAGCAGATTGTACTTCAGCCCTTGAGGTGGCCACCATATTGTAACAATGAAGGAAGACTGAGGAGCAGTTGTGTTAGCTCTAGATAGGCCCAGGCTCTACAGCTCTCAGTGTGTTGTAAAAGGTAATAAATAGCTTTTATAGCCCTACGACAATCTCAGTTTCTCGGTTCATAATATCAACTTTGGATAGGGGTCCCGGGCCTAAATAGATAGACAGTTAGATAGATAGATACAGTAGATAGATAGAGACTTTATTGATCCCCTGAAGGAGAAATTCAGGTGTCCAGCAGCAGAAGACTTTTTTGTTGTTTTACAGTCTGTCAGATTTGTTGTACAGTCTGACAGCCGAAGGAACAAAGGATAGTTCAATTGTTATTAAGAGATATATTAAGAGAATACATATATAAAGTTATTTATAAGATATAAATAATAACAAAGCTACCATAGAACTAGTTTATCTAGCTTCAGGCATGTATACTTTTTCAGTATTTCTGATACACAAGTTGAAGGCACTGTGATTTAATATGAAAGATCAGGTGATCAGGCTGAACTGTAGGGCAATTGAAGCCTAAACTGTAATGGACTTGAAAACATGTATTGGATACAGAAGATGATAAAAACAACTATCTTAGCAAAGCACAATCCATTAGCGACACCTAGTGGAAAGTAAAATATATGTTCTACAAGCTACGTTTGAAACAGAGTTTGTAAAAACTAGTAAGTGTAATTAGAGACAATAACAAGACAGAACACACATATAACTACGAATACAATGATATTTACAGTCTATGAGCAGAACAACAGGCGTGTGTACTTTTACAGTCTATGGTGGAACCTTTACGCCTCGTAACTTCCTTTGTATCGATCAGTACAGAATATTGCTTCCACCAGTTTTAAATTCCCTTTTAATTTAAAGCTACGGCTCTATTTTATTTTAATTTATAAAAGTTTTACTGATTTCAGAGGTGAGCTGCGTCCTACGTCACCGGAAGTGTCCGCGCCAGTCCCGTTTGTAAACACAGCAGTCCCTCGCTCCGTGGATCTGTTCTCTGATCTCAGCTCTCATACAGATGTGGTGAACATGACACACTCATGTTTCACTGCACTTTCCATCTGAACCTGAGCCGTTCATATCGTGCGATGATCTTTGGTCTTTCACATTTACGGGGTAGTTTGTAATACGGTATGGATACTTTTTACGTGACGTCAAATCTAGCTAACGTTAGCTGTTCTTTCATGTGGTAGTTTAGCTTAGCTGACTCTCACTCCTGCATTTAGTAGTCAACTCCTCCTGCATAGTTTATGTGTGCCTTAAACTGAGCTGTAATGGTGCATTCTTTAGTCAGCCTTTGTGCCGCGGAGGTGGTCAGTGACCACAGCTCGTCGCCCTGTTGGCTCCAGTGGATCCCCAGAGAACTGTACAGACCGCTGCTGGAGGCCTCTTTCACCAGCAACAGACCGCTTGCTGTGGGGGAACTCGTCCAGAGATGGCCCGAGCGGACTTTGCGAGTGGGACGAAGAAAACGTGGAGTGGCTTCCCCAAACAGACTGTGCATACAAGCTCTTTTACTGGCTGTGGTCAGGGGACTCACAGATCAAAGGTAAACCACACGTTTCAATCCATACATTTTTGTCTCTTATTTATTTGTGTACGCTGATATTTTTCCTGCCACAGAAGTATTCTACAGCTGCTGGATCTGTGTGGACAGCAAGGCGATGAGGGCAGTCTGGGAGACCCAATGGGAGGCTGGTCCCTGACCGTGGCATTGTGTACTATGATTGTTCAGGCAGGAGCTAAAAGAGCCCAGAGAAAAGACGGAGAACGTGAAAGAAAGAGGTTCTCAGCTCTGCAAAGACACGCAGATGTAAAGAGAGAGAGAGCAGATATAGTGGAAAACAATAGCAGTGCATCATCAGAGATAAGGTCTGAGGAAGAGCTGACTAAAGGAGTGAGAAGGAGGATGGAGCTCAAGAGGAAGGGCGAGGGTCCATCTACAGATGAAGCAGACTCGAGAATGGAGAGTATTGAAAACGACATAGTTTTGGTCCACGTGAGAGCTGATCTTTTTGTCAATGCCCGATCCTGGGATCGTGTTCGCGCAGCTTTAAGTTCTCAAGGGCCGCTTAAACTTCAGTGTAGATATCTCCGCATTGAAGAAATCTCAGTTTCAAGCATCAAGATCCTACTAAATCTGCTGCCCCATCAGTTTCTTCTTGGGTTAGACGTGAGATACAGTAGTCTTGGAGTGGCTGGATTAGCAGAGCTGTTACCTCTTCTTTCCACCTTTCCTGCTCTTGAATCTCTCCGCTTGCACTACTGTAATTTAGACATTCGGAGAGACCTTCATGGTCAAGAGGAAGCACTTCGAGACCTTTCACAGGGACTGACTCAGCTCCATCACCTCAAAAGTCTTAGCCTCACTGCCTTGAGGCTGCCTGGTCAACTGCGGGTGATGCTCAGGTACGTGCTGGTATTGAAAGTGCTTACAGTAAACACTAGAGCCATTGTGTGGCAGAATTGTGTTGCTTTCCACAATGTACAACAAAGTAACGTTCTATTCGTTTTTGTTGTTTCTTGCAGTTCTTTGCCTCAACCTTTAGAGACTCTAGAACTTCCATATTTGAGCCTGAGCCCTGCAGACCTGGCCTATCTATCCATTAGCCATCATGCATCGACTCTTCAGCAGCTAGACTTGAGTGAGAACCGACTGGATGAAGCCACACTGCCCTCGGTGCGGCGCCTCCTCTCCCAGGCCTCCAGCAGCTTGCAGCATCTTTCTTTAAGTGGCTGTGGCCTTACTGACCACCTGCTGGGCCTGTTGCTGCCCTCCCTGGGATGTTGCATTGCTCTGAAAAGCTTGGCATTTGCCCTGAACCCACTCTCTATGTCTGGTCTCATGGACTTGGTCAAGATGGCTGTGAGGATGGGCAGTCTTCGTCAGTTGTTGTACCCAAACCCACTGGAGGATTACCAGCCAGGACTCCCAGACCTTCCCTCCAGTGCTCAGCTTTTAGACTGGCCTCTGGATGATACGATAGAGATCAGCGCTACAAGTACACTGCTCAATAGAGTGCTGATAGAAAATGGGCGCTCCAACCTCCATCTCACATGTGACCTTCTAAATTATCACAAAAACTTAAAAGACGAATGACACTAAATACAGGAATGAGATGACGACTATGTCTTTGTTGCGGTTACAGAAACGGAAAGAGTCTGTCTCTTCATGTGCCTTAAATATGTCACGTACAAATCTTAATGTTCATCACGTTTTTTGCTTCACTGAATACTGCATTATTCTTGATATTTGCACACAATTAGTGCTATCTTACTGCATTGTTTACCAAATGTTGTTTCATGTATGTAAGCTTCTAACTCCATAAAAACTTTTTGAATTCTATTTCATATGCAATTACAGAAAAGGAAACAATTACAACATTATCTATTTGCATATTTAATTATCTGTAGTAATCCACATGTGACTTCTCCAAAATGTAGTACCGATGGTTTAGAAAGTTCAGATGATATTTTTCTGAGTCTGGGTTGAAGAGGGAAAGCCTAATAAGAGGTAATGGAAAAGACATGTAGTTTGGGAAGTGCAATAGGCATGGGCGGTCTCGAAGAGGTGGCAGAATGAAGCCTAAAATAAGGGAAAAACTCAATATGAATTAAAAGCTACTGTTGACCAATAAGGTTAAACACGTACCTTTTGGTTTACGTCTTCTTGTCATACAATACGTTTCTCCAAGGCGATAGATTGGACCAGACACACTAAATTTGGATAAAAGAACATTTGAAAATATAAAGAAACCATTCAAGTACCGGTAATATGGGTAATAATACCAGTCACGTGGCAAAATCACTGAATTATTGACACTTGGAGCCGCCTGTTTGGCTTTAAGGTATCCCTCTTTTTGCACACAGCAGAAGTGATTGACAACATCCACAGCTGTAAATGCAGAGGGTTTCCATTTGTGTGCACTGCTGTGGAATAGATCTCTGGTGTGATCCTGCAGGAGAAAGCCAAGAGGAATCAGCCACACATGTCAACAACAGTCTGGTTCAGGTCACGGCAAAGGACATGGGGTGGTTGTCAATAGCACATTCATAAACATGTCTCAGTTTTCAGTCTGCTTCCCCGGTTTTTTGGCACGCGTATACTCTTATGAAGACTATATTCATCCTGTATGCTAGGGTTATTTGATACTGCGGTGTTTAATATGATTGACATGCAAATGATGCCTACTTTATATTTGGCGGTCCACAGATTTAGCAGGCAGTGTGCAGAGGTATGAAGACTTTTCCACACGTTGGTCTTGCTGTGTAGCTCTGACTCCCAGGTCTCCAACTGTGGCCACAACCACTCCTCGGCTTCATCCACACCTAAGGATTTCAGCACACGCAGCATCTTTTCTCTATCAAAAACAAATCAAAAATGATGAAAGAGCGACTACTATCCCACACGGTAACGACATATACTACTAATACTGACCGTAAGCCCAGTTCTTTGTAGGCTGTGAGTGTGAGAAGAGTTTTCATGAATTCTTGGTTTACTGATTTCAGAGACAACAATAGATTCAACAGCTGACCAAGCACCGCCTGCTCACCGGCACTCTGAGGGAAACAACTTATTAAAAGTGGGGAAAATGACTAAGATGTCGAATATGCTCATCAAAATACATAACAATGACATTTTTAAATCATAATTAACAACAAATTTCGAATTGTGCATATATATGTTTATATGTTTCTTCTTTTTTTTTTTTTGTATTGCGCAAGTAATTCGAAATAAACACACTACTACTACTACTACTACTATAATAATGCGGTTAATTATGCGCACACTTCACATTATTATTCATTCACTTCATACACAGCAGTTATAAACTACTGTAGCCACAGCTGCCCTAAAGCACACAGAAGTGAGGCAACCAGTATGTGCCCTCTGACTACCACCAACCATTCACACACACACACACACACACCAGACTCATACTAGCTAATGTGGGTTAAGTGTCTTGCCTAAGGTAAGTAGTAGTAGGTAATCTTATTTATATACCACCTTGCACAGGCCTGAGTCACAAAGCGGTTTACAATTGTTATATTTTGGGCATTTGTCCTCTCCACAGAGAGATGGGAGCGGGGGGTCAGACATGCAAACGCCACTCAGGAAAGCCCTGTTCCGACCGGGATATGAACCCAGGACCTTGCTGAGAAGTGAGAGTGCTATCCACTCAGCCACCGTGCTGCCTAAGGACACAACAGTTTGGCCCTCCTGTGGCACCTGGTGTTCCCAGGGATCTCCCATCACAGTACTAACCAGGCCCTGTCCTGCATAGTTTCAGAGGTTTGACAGGATCTGACACATGCAAGTATGGCATCATGACTGATTTAGTGTCTCTCCCTGTTCTTGCGAGGTGGCTTTTTATAAAAGCGGTAAATCTGTCAGAGCTTTTTTGAGGTGTGATAGATTGTACGGTGTCCCCATGCTCATTCGTCTGTGGCCATAATGTTATGCCTTTTTGTGTTGATACCATGTTTGGTGACACCATTTTTGGCACAGTGTCGAGGAGTTTTTGGTACAGCTGATCTTCGTTTTGCAGTTGCTTCTGTCTGTGCAGTGTTTCCATGACTGAAAGGATCTTAGGCTTAATGGGAGCGCTGCATGTGCACAAGAAGTTGAGGAGTAGTAGGTAAAAGGAATCAGGACTGCTGGGAATATTCTGCACACAGACATGGGAAAATATAGATATAGGAGTATAGAAGACAGACAGTACACTGCAAAAAGTGATACAAAATAAGTCATGACATGCTCGAGTTTGGCAAAATTAATTTGAACACATTTGGACTACCACAAAACAAGATTTGCCGATGGGACAAAGCAAAATGATCTTGCTTTAAAAGGATACAAGAAATGTCTGGTTTTAAGACAGTCACAATGAACTCAAATAAAGATAAAAACCACTCAATTCAAGCAATTATTACCTCATATTTTATCGTTTTTTTCAGTGTAAGAGTTTGCATATTTACCGTCTTGTCAGGGAAGAACTGCTGAAACCACTCAGCGTTTGTGAATTCTTGGAGGAAGGATGGGAGCTCTGGAGATGGGACCAGTGGAGGCAGAGGTTTTGAGGCAGGTTTTTTAGCGGGAGAAGATGGAAGTGTTGGCAGTGGAAGAGGCGGAGGTAGTGATGGGATTTCTGGAACACTCTTCTGTAGGAAAAACAAACGTATATAGTAATTTGATCCAAAAACAAACTAAGTACGACATATCTGAGGCTTCTAGGGCAATGTTTTGTGTTGTGACCTTTTTCAAAACTGGCTTTTCAGGGATAACTGGTGCAGATGGAACAAGAGGTGCTGGCTCCTCTTCTGATTCTTCATCCGCGGTAACAGCCTTTTTCTTCTGTGGTGCAAAAGCTAATATTTATTTTGAACAAACACTAAAACAAAAGTAAAAATGAAAAAAACCACCTTGCGTTTCCTTTTCTTTTTCTTTTCTTCAACAACTGGAATAATTGTAGGGGTCGGCACTGGAGGTGGTTCTTCAACTGGAGGAAGTTCTTCAACCACAGGAGGAATATATGATGTGGCTTTCACTTTAAAGTCCGACTCAAAGGAAATGTCAAAATCCTCATCCAAGTCCACCTAGAAAAAAAAAATCTACTTATTAGAGCACTCAAAAAGTACTAAATAATTGATTATATAAACCAAAACCTGTATATTATGAGGAATTCTGTATATTATTTGCATGTATCGACCAAAGGCTTCTTTCCTGGTTTTCTTTGTACTAAGAGGTTTTGACTTAGTGCATTTTGTTGGTCCTTCTAGAAGAAATGCAAGGTCTGACTTTTCATTCAGAGGAAGTCTCACATCCCCCTAATGACCACACAGACACACACTTGTTAATGATATAGCTAAATAAATATAATAATAACCACCAGGTGACACAGTACTGACCTGCTGACCCCTCTCTTCCTCCTGTGCAGTCCTGATGACGCCTGAAGCTGAAGTCGTGTTGCTTTGGTGCAGCGCCCTCTGTTCTCCTCTGGTCATCATTCTGACCATTTCACAGGAGCGTTCACAGAATCATTGGATCATTTCTGCCGCGATAGAAACGCATAATAAAACGCGCGTTATGCGATGGATTCAGGCGTAATTATATAAGCTCTACTTACCAAACTGCAAAACTCTTTTGTTTGTAAAGTGCCCAAGTATCAACCACAACGCGGGGGTTTTCTTCACTGCAGCCGTAACCAAGTAACAGCACGGGTCAATAAGGAAATTGTCAGCCTTTTTTATTTAATTTTAATTTAATTTTTATTCACTCAACGTTTGCAAAAAACGTATGTATTACAGTTATTTTATGTTTTTTAAATCGATGTGATTTTTTTTGTATTATACTTTCACAGAATTTTTAACTTTTTTATAATGTATATTTCATCCAAGAAGAATTTTGGATCATTATGTATTTCTAAAATGTGGATGTTCTGACATGTTTCCTGATTAATCCAGTCACACGTTGTTGCAGAATGGTCCAAAATCTAATTATTATTGAAGGAAATTGTCATGTCAATCATTGCAAGTTGCTAATTACATGCTATTTATTATGTTTCTCAGCTTCCTGTAACATCTTGGCAACTATTTATTCATTCAAGGGTTTTTTAATGTTTTATCTCCATGGCAATGATCACAAATTCTAGAATGCACAGATAATGTATTAATTTAATGCCTTATTTGTATAGTTATAGTGCTTGCATAGTCACATGAAATGAATCACATACTCATATTGTTTTTATTAAATACAAATATATACATGTAGCCCATTATACCAACAGCTGCGTCATGTTTGGCTCCTACTATTTACAAATAATTTACACTGGGTATATACTTTGTTTATGTCGTTATCATCAAATCTCGTATGTAACCAAGTACCTAAAATATTTCATGACAGAACATTATCACATATATTAAAACGATTTGTTCAATAAACTGTTTAGCTGATCTATTTCTGAATGGCTAGACATTGTAAAGTTATTAGTGAAATACTGAACGTCTATTTTCCCCGACTCATACGCCAGTGCTACCCCTGAGTATGTCTTTTGTTGTCCTGCGTCTCCAAACAAAGCCACGGTTGTCACTCTGAAAATAAAAACAGTATTACAAGCGAGGACAAAGTGTGAAACATGTATCACTGATGTAATCCTGGTCACCTGTCTTTTCCTTGGCTTTCAGTAACGACAGGTTCGGCCTCATTTCTCAGCAGATCCCAAAGGTAGATGTTTGAATTTGAATCAAGTACACAGAATACGGCAGGCCTGGTTTGAGACCACTGCACGGAGACCACCGAATGTCCAGCACAGCAATCCCTCCACTCAAGCAAGGGTTTTTCTTGTTTAACAGCATGTAACCGGACACAGCCATCCCCACAACCCACCTGAGACACACAAAGTACATCTTTTGAAAACACAGCCCTCACTAATAAACAGCTAACAAAGCATTTTTCTTTTTACTTTGGACTAGACCAGAGAAAATGGTCTGAACCAAGCGGCTACTCCACCTCTGCAGCTGTGACCTGTCCTGCTCCACCCAGAGGCTACTCCACCTCTGCAGCTGTGACCCATCCTGCTCCACCCAGAGGCTACTCCATCTCTGCTTCTGTGACCTGTCCTGCTCCACCCAGAGGCTACTCCATCTCTGCTTCTGTGATCTGTCCTGCTCCACCCAGAGGCTACTCCACCTCTGCTGCTGTGACCTGTCCTACTCCACCCAGAGGCTACTCCATCTCTGCTGCTGCGACCTGAAGGGCTGTTGTTGATTGCTACTATTTTTAGCTTTTTAGAATGATCAATATTATTTTTCATTTTTGCTGCTACTGGACACCTGAATTTCTCCTACGGGAGATCAATAAAGTATTTATCTGGGTGGATAGCACTCTCGCCTCTCAGCAAGAGGTCCTAGGTTCGAATCCTGGTCGGAACAGGGTCTTTCTGAGTGGAGTTTGCATGTTCTCCTCGTGCCTGCGTAGGTTTCCACCGGGTGTTCTGGTTTCCCCTACCACTATAAACATGTTCACTAGGTTAAATCCTCCAGCTCTGGTAGTCCTGACCAAGCCAAGCATCAACATCTGGAGATGGGAAGCCTTCGCAGCATCAGGATGGGTCAAATGCAGAGGATTGAATTGCCCTACGGGGATTAATAAAGTGCACTTTTTCCTTTACCTTTAGCCCTAACCCATGTGCGAAAGTGTCAGAGGTTAGTTAGATTTTGAATAAGGGCATGTAGAATAAGGACTTATGAGTGCTTGATAAATACCAATTAACCATACATTATACACAAATCAGCATTTAATTTGCTGTTAATTCTTGAGGACTGAACTAAAGTGTGACCCAACTTGGTACACAAACATTTTAGACCTTACAATGAAACAAATTACCAAGAACAAATCGTGTCTGAAGGGTGAAAAGCTAATGGAGTTGATATCAAAGAGTCGGTCTTCTCCCTCCTGACATCTGTAGCACCTCGGATGAGCTTTTAAACCGTGAGTTGTGCCATGATGGACAATTCCCTACAGAAAAATAAATGAATTCATTGAAATGTGCAGTTGTCTAGTGCATTATACCACCTCTATGCATACCATATTAGTGCCAATGTAGAAATGGTTGGAGTCTGTTGGAAGAAATTGTAGCTGGAGCGTCTGCAAGGGTGCCGTCTTTAGTTTGTGAGACATTCTGAGAGCAGAGGAGACGGTGGAAGGCCGTGTCAAAAAAGTTGCTACTTACGCAGGCAAGAACAAGTTAGCACATAGTTTCTTTCAACAAGTGAAGTGGCACAATAACAAATGCCCACAGAGCATCACAAACAAGATCAGAATTCTGTTACTCAACCACTGTGATCCACTGAAGTATAATATTGGTGGTATTTTGGGCCGGGTTGATGGCATGATGCATGGTCCTTACAAGCCATTTGTCTTTCTTACCTGTCAGAAACGGAGAGAGAGGAGCTGTGGAGAAGCTTGACTTTACTCCCAGGTCGCAGGCCTGCAATAAGAGTAATGAGAAACCTTGGCTCAAACATGCATGTGAAAGCTTTGGAGTACAAGAAAAGATTGAAGTGGCAACCTGAATCTGTTTGGGAGCCGGCCTCGTCTGCTCTAGGAAGCTCCACCACCACCTGTTGAGAAACATAAACATTTGGCTATGAAGTGATACTAATAAACTTGAAGTGTTTACGTCAATCAGTTTTTATTACTTTCACTTGTTACCCAAATATCTGGACGTTCTACTTCTAACTTTTTTAAAAGATTTGTTACTTTGGAGAAGGAGACTCTGCATAAAAACATGTTTTAAGTGCTTAGCCTAGCTTTTAAGTGTCATTCATGCATTGTGCTTAGCCACGCTTCAGAAAACTACAAATCTTGAGTTTTAAATTGCTTGTTTATGGTCATCTTCTCTGCCTTCTCTGTCAATATTTAGTATCAAAAACATAGACCCAAAAGTTCTTTCCTTTCATATTACTTAACCAACAATGTAATCTTCTCTGCCAGTATGACACATTTCTGCTACGATATAATGGTCTTTAAGTGTTCCAAGGGTAGCGTTAAAAATGTCTCAATTCTGTACCGTCTTTCTTTTCTCAGTCTGTCAATATTCAGTATTGAAACAAATGGACCCAAACGTTGCATTAAAAACATTATAAAGAGTGGGACTTTCCACCTCTGTTAAATACACCCCTGTGCTTAGCCTGTCATGTTTTACTGTCTATTATTCAATCATTAATGGTTGATTAATGCTAAAGTTCATACAGTGGCTTGTACTTGTATGATATCTATAATCTGACTGTAAAAACTAAAGCCAGTCCTTGCTGTTACTGTTTCTGTTCTGTTCCCAACTCTGTTCAAATCAATACACATTTCACAACTCACCCAGAACTTTAAAATGCCACATTCATCCAGAGATGCCAATTGAAAAGACAAACCAGTGGCTTCTGAAAAAATATAAATTATGAATGAATAAATCTGCGAATCCACATTATGATGCACATGTTTTTACCCCTTACCGTCCTCAGTCCCCAAACGAGAGCCCTCGGACCTCAGATCTCTGGCTGCAGCAGAGGGCACCACTTCCACAGCCATGACGCTGGAGAAATATTCAGAGGTCGACATGGCTGCGTCTGCGATGACAAGACAGATATCAGCACACTCGGAATCAGCCGGGCTTGTTACAAAACCAAACAGACTGTAAACATAGATTGATTGATTGATAGATTGATAGATACTGTAGACCAGGCATGTCAACCTCAGTGGCCCCTAAAATTATTTTCAATTATTATTATTAACTGGCAACATTGATGGTTATGGGCTACCAAGGCATGCTATACATCATCTATTCTACATTATAAAAACCCAAATTGAATTTATTCTAAAATGTAAATCCACATCATTAGAAGTGAAATAATTCAATATAACTTTATAACGTTATATTTGGTTCAGTCTGAACAATAAACACGTTTTGTTTTCAGAAATATCTACCAGAAAATAACAGTGAAACTCATGTGACATAAAACCTAAGAGAAAATACCATCATAATGTAAAAAACAATGAGAAAAGAAACAATAACAATAAGAATCAATAAAAAAGGCAATCCCTTCTATTCTTTCAACCCCCAAGCAGTTTGATTTTTTTTTTTTTTTTTACTCGGCCCCTGACCCTGCTGTATATTAGATAGATAGATACCTTATTGATCCCATATACAAGAAATTCTACTGCTTGTGAAATATGCACAAGCAAATTATTGTTATTATATAAATACATTAAATTGTGTTACCTTTCGATAAGCAAGTATAATTCTTTGACAAACCAGTGGAGAAGGAGGGGTGCCAGAATGTCCATCGATCCTCTCCAAAGTCCATGCGGTAATTGTTGCTTGTGTGTTCCCTCAGGTCCCACATCACCACGGACCCCACTGTGGTTCCAGCGAATACTAATGTAGCCTTCCCTGGACTAAAGCAACAGCACTGCACCTGAATAACACGCACAATTTTATTTCACAGCACGACATCATACACAACATGAGGAGAAATGTTGGTATCACAACTCACCTCAGATTCATGCATAAGAATCCTCTGTGGTCTCGATGGCTCCCAAATGTTCCATATGCAGAGGAGAGAATGCATGTCTAAAGGCCCTGAGCTTGGTTTTGTGGTTGAAGTGTGGACGGATATCATGGTGTGTTTTTGGACTTGGGAGAAATGAACCAGGCTTATGCAGCGACCTTAAAGAAGAAATATGATGCATTATTTTTGATTGTTAGACACAATAGCGAGACTATTCGCTTTGTCATGCTTTAGAATTTGAAATGGAATGGTTTCTCATTTTTTCCCACTGTTTCTCTCTTTTTTTTAGTAATTCCTTGGTGTTCCTTGGTTAAATCCTGGACATTTATCAACATTTATGGACATTGGTCATTCACCCCTTATGGACAAATGGCTCTATATGTCTATCATTGTATTTCCTATGTTCGAACTATTTGATTCTCTGATCTGTGTTGGTCAATCGACAACTTTGTAAAGTTCCAAGATAACTACTAAAGTGATTTAGGACTATACAAAAATATTTGCATTGAATTTAGATAATATCCTAAGTAAAAATATATGGTAAAACAAGCATGAAGGGGAAAAACGCTGTAATCCCCTGTGCCACCACCAGAGGGAGGAGGGAAGATTTTTTTACAAATTTTTACTATCTGCTAAAATAATATAAACTTGAAATACAGCAAAAAGCCGTTAAAATCCTTGCAGAAACTATTGTGATATTTAATGAATCAAAAACAAATACCATGAAGAAAAGGCAAGTTTGTGTTGAGCTGTACACTTCCATCGCTGAAAGATAAAACTTCTGTTTGCGTCTTCATCTTGCTCAAGGATCTTCCCCCGGCTTGGACTTCCTCCAACAACATGACCATAACCTTGTTTGTAGTAAAAAGTAAGTTAGGACGGTAATCAGAGCAACTCAAAAGAATAATAAGGAATAAAACCTGGGAAGCAGACTGCAAAAATGTTGTAAGGCGTTTGGAATCGATATTGAGTTCGCTGGCGTCTTGAGATTTTGGGGAAATGCTTGGATCTGAAAAATAGTGGCAGCATTACACACTGTAATTCAAGCAAAAGAACATTTTATTAGATTTTCGTAAATTAATTCTTACCACCACAAGCTCCACTGTTCTCTGGAGGATGTTGAGTCCATTTCTCACTCAGCTCTATCTCCTCTGTCTGGATGTCCCGCTCCACATTGTCTTCATTACATTGAACATAGGCCTGCCAGAATTTAATTTAAATTTAATTTAAATTTATTTTTTTACACATTCTTGTTCATATTTATCTAAGAGTGTATTTCTGCACAGCGTTTGCACCTGCTTGGTATTTGCAGTTCCAAAGTTCCTGATGTACATTTCATATTCATTCACTGGGGGCAAATCCAAGAGGGAGTATGTCAAAGTGAAATCCAGATCAATCAGACGGAGTAACTCTGTGCTGCGTTTCCTACGTGAAGAATAAGCATCAAAATAAACAGGAATGTGGCAAATATCACAACAAAATAACAAATGTTTCAGTAAACATTTTTACATACTTTTGTTTTGTTGCAACCTGTTTGTTTACTTCTCGTTGTTTGGCTGCTACAAAGTCCATAAATTTGCCACGTTGCGATGTCTTGCTTTCGGTCTTTTCAGATTCTGAGAAATACATATACAAATGTGTTGTTAACCATTAAGATACTACAATTCAAACATGAAATTACATTAATCCAACAAGGTTAATCTGGTGTTCTGATAAACTAATACAAATTCATTATTTTTGCACACGGGCTGGACTCCTTGTGGTGTCCAGAGTCAGGACTAAACATTGGGAGGCAGAATTTCTGATTTATTTCCTTTAGAGACAGGCTTCTACTTTGACAATATTCAAATCCAGGTAAAAAACAGTTCTGTTTAGCTTCATGATTTTAATTCCTTGTGTGGCTATTTCTAACTTTTTTCCAGAATGTACCAGAAATGTGCCTGAAGGTTACCCATAGGTCTTTCTTCCTCGGTTTCAGTGGGGTTCTGCCTGGATAGCGCTCCAACCCTTTTGTTTTCCTCGTCCATGGCTTTCTGAATGGCTTGTATCTCTTCTTTCTTCTCTGCTGATAGCTCTTGTTTAGGTACTGACTCTTGTTCCTGCACATCTTCATCTTCACTTTCATCTGCGTCTTCAAAGTCATCCTCATATTCCTAAGAATTGTTCAAAATTGATATAGATAAAATACAGTGAGAAACAAGTATAATATGATCTAGATTATAAAGTGAAATATGTTCATGGATCACTCACCGCTTTCTTCAATAATGAAAAGTATGAGCATGCATAGTAAGTATATGACAAATGGTTATAGACAATAAAACTAAAATGCTTCTATTTAAACATATTATATCAACTCACCTCAAAGTCATCTTCATACTCTTGTTCTTGATAATCGTCTGCCGCCATCTGTAAAAATCGGGCTGTCAAAATTCTGATAATTCAAATTATCTAACTTAAAAATCAAGAAATGAGAAAATATGGAGGAAAATGTTGGTATATCTTTATGTTTAAATGTATTTAGCATATTTCACCCCCGTTTTTAGTTGACTAATAACAGAAAGGACATACATTTTGTTGACCAAGATTACAGCCCTAGCAAAAAGTATAAACCCTTTCTCACACTACAGTGGAGCAGATGTAATACACAATATGTACAGTAGGTGGCACTAAACTCACAATAGTGACGTAAAACATAATCACCAAACCACATCTAACAGTATCTCCATCGGATCATCAGGGATATTATTGTATGTAATTACATTTATATATTGCCACACATGCATTATATTTTGAAGTCTTTCTTAGCAGAGATGAAAGGACGTAAACACTGTATTAAGTGTCTTTAATGGATTGCAAACCAACCTGTGCTTCTCCAGCTTTCGCCGTGTCACTCGAGTTGCTTTGCTGTGATCTTTTGTCCTTCTCCTGTGCTCTTTCTTTCATATTTTCCTCTGTGTCTTCCTCCTCTTTGTGTCGCCTCTCTCTGTGTTTGTCTCGCTCGGTTTCTGCCTCTCTGTCTCTGTGATGACGCCTGTTCTCTTCCTCCTTTTTCCTCTGATCTCGATGCTCTCTGGACTCACCATGATGCTTCTGTTTCTCATCCTTAGCACAAGAAGAAATTGTAGTGATAAGGAATTGTGCATTTTCAACAACAAGACATTATTCCAGAACGATTACATGTTGTCGCGGTTCTTTATGTCTTCTTTCTCTGTCATCTTTATCCTTCCTTCGATCTTCGTCTTGAAACTCTGAAACAAAATGACAAATATTACCCTGGCTGAATCTTTTACTAGATATAATAATAATAATAATAATACACATACCTTTCCTTTCCTTGCGTTCAGAGTGCTTTCTCTCAGCGTGTCTTTCCCTCCGCTCTTTTTCACTTCTGCCGATTTCAGCCTCGTCCTTGTGTTTTTCTCTTTCTCTATGTCGTTCTCGTCGCTCATTATTAGACTTATTAATGCTTTCAGACCCACCTTTGTCAACAGTTACATGCCCACGTGATTCTCTGTTGTATCCTTGCTCTCGTTCGTGTCTTCTTATTTCTTTATCTCTTTCCTGCCTCATTTTCAGCCTCTCTTCATCCGTGTACTTGTCCTTGTCACTGTGGCGGTGTTTATCCCTCTCTCTGTCCCGGGTGTGGTCACGATCTCTCCTCCGGTCAGTTTTTTCTGTGAAATTGGCAGCTCCTCTTCCTCGTTCACTCCTGTCCTTATCTCTCTCCCTGTCCTCTCTTATTCTGTCCCTTTCTCTGTCACCTCTTCTATCTCTTGAGCCCTCTTTTCTTCTTACATCTTGTTTTTTCAGTTCTTCTTCTCTGTAGTTTTCTACTTCCCTTCTGGACTCCTTATAGTATTTATCAACAGAGTCCCCCCGATGTCGTCTGCTTTCTCCTCTCGCACCATCTTCCTGCAACAAAATAACATTTTCAATGCAACATTCATCCTTGACCTAAATCATCAAAACCTACTGCTATGTATCTTCTTAGATCTGCTGGCTTCCATGTGTCTTCTTTGGATTTTTTCTACGAATAAAGTGATATATTTAAGCGTTGGGAATACAGTTATCCAAAGAAACATTCCAGAGTCGAACAGTAGACGAGTTAACCATGAGAATGTTTTACAATAATAGCAGAATAGATTTTATTTAGTTCACGTCTAGAAACCGTAAATAAAGAGTTACCTTGTCGGTGTGCATGTTAAAACCCGTGTTCTTGCTTTGATACTTTCGTCAGTTGCTGAAAACAGGCTCATATTTGTGTTATGACGCCGCCATGACAGGATTCCCAGTGTACGCGTGCGCACTGCGGTGAATCCCAGACTACCGCGTCTTAACAACAGGATAGCCAATCAAACCAGAGCTGCGTGCGCAACAGATCGTTGTTATAGCAACCAGGCCAGATAAATCATCGCAACAATCATCTAACATCACATTCGACACATTCTCCAGGGTTAAACTGCCCACAAGTGTTTATTATCTGCTAAAAGTGAAACAAAACATGTCTATGCCATTGATAAAGACATGCCACGCGAAAGTGGGGAACTGGTACGAGGATCGGCGCTTGGAAGAGGATACTTTAAAGGAGTATTTGGAGAAAAAGGAGCGAGGTGAGCTCACTACCCAGAAAATGGACTTTCTGAGGCAGAACATTCTCAAACCGGTGTCTCTGTCCGTGTCTGAGGACGGCAGTGTGCATTTCGGGGACACGGTAATGTTGCTCAACATGGGCCCTCAGAAAGACCCCACCGCGCTGAGTATCAATGCAGAGCTGTCCAGCCTGAGCCGAGAGCCCAGTCTGGGGATCCGGGCCCCCTGTGCGGTCAGTGCAGGTCCTACCCCGCAGGCCAACACACGCACCGCCTTTATCATCACCAGCGTTGATGGAAGCTGTGACGGCACAACTCTTCTATACGACCAAAGTTTTGCCTTGAGAACAATTGATGGTTTTGCCAGAGGGCTTTTCCTAAACAGTGACACGCGCAGCTTCCAAAAGTGTGCAAAGAAGTCCTGCCTTCAAGAAGTGAGCCTGGAGACGGAAAAGACGTTTCTATCATGGTGGAAGGTTTTGCATGCTGACCCCAAGGAGCGGATGGAGCATGAGGGCCTGCCTGTCCCTGCTAATGCCAAGGTGCTCATTGTCAACTGCAAGACAAACCAGGCCTTGGCTGTTCTCAGGGACTACGTGCTGCGGACCATGTACGGGCCAGAGTTTGAGCTGACTGCGCATACGTTCCTGGACTCTCACAAAGCGGAGGAAGACAAGAACCACTGGTGGATGTGCACCTCGGCCCTGGGACGGGAGCAGGCCCGTCCCAAGGGGGGTGCGAGGCCCTGTGCGAACTCGAAACGCGAGGCCCTGCCCTGACACTTTTTTCCCAGATCTGAGGAAAGTTTTTCCTGTTATAATCTTTGACATGAATTCAGCACCACCTCGCGCGGTGCTTGACGAGATCAGCACGCGTGTAACCGAGTGTCTTCGCTCCTATGCAGCGTTTGGCGCGCGCACGTACACACGCACACACACTCTACGTGCAATATTGGTCGCGGTCTTTTTAGCTGACATGTCTCTTTCGTCCTGTGGCAAAATGGTAGAGCAACTCAAAAGATTGAACCAAAAGGAGTCTTTTTCTTCTAATAGTTAGATTTTGGCAAAATGCGCCAAAATGGCTATGAGGCGGAGTCAATATTATTTTTTTCTCATCAAATAACGTTTTTGCCATGCCTCCACACACTCTGACAACATACGCTCCTCCTCCTCCACACTGACAACAACAAAATACTCTTCACCTCCTCCTCCACACACTCTGACCACAACAAAAACACTCCAGCTAGCTAAAGCTAGACATACAGTGTGTTTGCTAATGCTTTTAAAAATATGTTTTTGATGTGGATATTCGGACTAAACATTGGCAATAGCAGCGCTCACACACCTGTCACACCGCTGATCCTCCTCCTCCTCCTCTGCTCACACAAAGGGGTCTGCTCCTCTGCTCACACCTGTCTCACTGCTCCTCCTCCGCGAGTATCCATCTCTCCTACACTGCGATCATTCCCGTTACTTTCTTTGTATCTCACTCAGACACTGCTAAAGTTATCTGACAGTTTTTTCGGAGGACCCGTTGCATACATAGCTGCCCGCGCGCCTGCCTGTTTACAAATCGCTTTTGGTGAAAATTTGACTTTACTTGTAAAAATGTTCTTTTGATCAAACGAAATCAAAGAGGTCCAGAGAAAGGGGTTTAGGGTTCCAAATTTGGAGTGCAGTCTGCCCTTTGGGGACCCTTGAACTAGTGTATTTATAAAATAAAATAAAAGGAAGGAAGATTGCGAGGCCCCTGTGTGGTGCGAGGCCCTGTGCGACGGCACAGGTCGCACAGCCCTTAGGACGGGCCTGGACGGGAGGGACTTTTGACACTCCCGACTGTCCCGACTGAGCAAGAGGAAGTGGCCAAGAGTCCTGCCAGCACCTCTGAGTGACCATCTGCCCTGCGACTAAACGAGCTCTGCACAAAACAGCTGCAAATATTAAAGTTTTGAATAACAACAAGTAGTAATAGTATTTTTTATTTATATACCGCCTTTTCACTGCACATTTTTGGGAGTGGGGGTGCCAGTACAGGAGGCACATGCCATACCTATTGTACATATTTTTAGTGGTAGGTGAAACCGGAGCACTCGGAGGAAACCTATGCAGACACGAGGAGAACATGCAAACTCCACTCAGAAAGGCCCTGGTCCAACCAGGATTCGAACCAAGGACCTTCTTGCTGAGAGGCGAGAGTGCTATCCACTCAGCCACTGATGAAGTAATAGTTGTAGTAATGATATTAATATGAATATAATACTAATAATGTTATAGTGATATTAATAATGATAATTATGATGACAATATCAATACAAATACAAATAATATTACGAATCAAACATTGAAATAAATAATAATAGGAATAACATTTTCAGCATTCAGGGTCTGAGCAGAGGTAGTGCTGTTTATGAGTATTAGTATTATAAAGAATTGCTGTTCTTGTTCATCTTATTAAATTTCATTCATTGTCTTCCTGGTGAAAACGGTTGAAGATGTGTTTTAAGTATTCTTTGTCTCTTGTGTTTATGTGGATTGCGTTTACATGTTACAAACAGCAGGTGGCGGTATTTAAAGACTTTACTGTCTGCCGCGGGGAGCGCACCAAACAGAATCCCGTGTGCGCTTTTGAAAAGCAGTATTGAGCCCGTGGAGGTAGAGGAGGCAAAGGAGGCAGAGAGGCAGAGGAGGCAGAGGAGGCAGAGGCGATGGCAGAGACAGGGAGGACAGTACCGCGGAGACGAGAGCTCAACAGAAGCCGTCCCAGAGAATGAAGATGCATTCACCTGAACATTACCCCGGATATAATGCAAGTAGTGGACATTAGCCTGGTCAATGCTTTCTTTTTGTACGACGGTCATGGGCTGACGTGGTACAGGTGAGCCAACGTGAGAGCCACAAGAACCGCGTTGGAGAGCTCGCACATGGGATCCTGGTCCTCTGAACCAAACCCACTTTGGTCTCACTAAACAGAAATGTCTAGAGATAGCATGACTGCGGTGCGGGGAGCCCAGTCACACAATGCCAGCCCCACATCTCAGAAGGAGAATGGGACCACCTCACCGAACCCCGTCCCAACCAGCTCCAACTTCCCTGAGCCATCAGCCAGGGACATACCGGGACTCAGCCACATGTCTTCAGCCAGCGACATCTCACAGTCCTGGGTTCAATTCGTCAAGACATTTGTTTTGATCTTTCCCATTTACGCTTTGGGCTACTTTGAGTTTAGCTTCAGCTGGCTGCTGATTGGACTTGTTATATTTTTCTGGTGGAGAAGAAACATTGGGGGGAAATACAGCAGATTGTACCATGCACTGTCTTTCTTTGAGCAAGAGGAGAGTGGTCCAAAGAGCCTTACAACGTTAGACCTGCCATCATGGGTAAGGTGTCACTGTTCAATTCTTCCTCTGAAATGCTCATGCTATTCAGATCAGATGATGAATAATATTTTGGAGGTTCCTGGAATATAACAACAACCGAATGTCAGGGAACACGAGGAGCTGAGTTGAGCTGCAAAGCTGTGATGGAGCAGCTGTGCCTCCCACAGTGACTTTAGACTGAGCCCCAGTCTAAATACAGTGTGGTACAATGGTAAACCAGACACCCCACTGCAGAGGGAACATGCCTCCAGCTACTCTCGTTGTTATTTTTGACTATCTAGTAACTCCCTGTGCATGACCACTGCACTTATCTGTCTTTATCTTGAACAGGTTGGCCATAGGTCATAGTGCATACTTTCCTTTGCTTGATTAAATCAAAGCAAAAGGACAGAACTCTGTGTATATAGAATGAAAATGAAACTTACTACATACTGTTTAAGTCATAGGAAGCCTCTACACATAATGCCATGTTATTATTAAGTAGTGGCAAAGCTCTGAGCCTGGACCCTGCAGACTGACTGACAGATGTAAACAACGTCTTCATCATCTAAATTGCTCACCATGCATCTTCATTTTCATCGGAATAGCTCACCATGCCTGTGTTCATGATGTCCAGCACCACCTCATGTTCCAGGCACATTCTGCTGACACATGACTCATGATGCATTGTGCTTGTTAAAGGGGGATGTAGGGGCTATGGCTGGTGCTTATAGACTTTAGAGTGGGTTCTATGTCCACTGCTGAATGGCCTGGGTTATCGATGCATGGCATTTCACCCACTGCTCTGTATGGTCATTTATCACCCTGCTCAGCATCGATAGTGCCTGGCCATCATCAATGTGGATTTCTACCACTTAGACTTTTAAATCCTGGTCTGTGACAGGTTCAACCCGGCAGCAGCCATTATCTTTAAATGAGATTGCATTTTCTCACTACCCCGTATCCAATTTGTTGAATTAGTGTTCTGTTTTAGCTGATGACTTGATTAATTAACAGTGTCCCCGGTGACTATAAAGTATTAAGGTTAAGATAACCAAATCCCAACAGCATAGAATAATGGAATGAGTAAAGGTTGACTGACAATGCTAAACTTTAATCCTTCTTGTTTGTTCATGTATAACAAAGTTTGAGGGGGGAATAATCTATGCAGACAAACTTGTAGACACAAAGCTAATAAGATTTCCCTCAGGGCTGTCTATGTTGTGTTTTTTTCAGCTGCTGAATATGGCTCTTCCTTTTTTCCAGACCAAAGAGCTTATTTAATAAAACTTGAACAGGGGCTGCCATGATGTTTTAACACTGTAGCCTTTAGGTTGTGGCACAGCACTTAGATTGATAGATACATTGTCTGTAACAAGAAAGGGAAAGCAAATATGTATGGTTTCCCTTTGTTATTATGCATAGTAAAGCAAATACCCTTTTTATCATTGCTAAATTCTTTTAAAAAACAAAATAATAGTACATCACTATGTCCACTCTTGAAAAAGCCCTTGTTTTTAGCTGGGAATACGCTGCTCTCAACTCAAATCTGTCATAACAAAAATATAACCATTTAGTAAGGGATGGAGAGATTCAATAACAGGAATGAAAATAAAAAAAACATTTAGATAATGAGTGTATTCCAGTATTTTAAAAATGTGTTATTATGCAATGTGAATTTATTGCGTTGGGAAACACATGTGTGCAGTACGTGATACATTTGGGTATTCTCTCTGTGAAATTTTAATGAACTGGAAAGTCTTAAAACCAAACTGTTTGATGAGCAAACAGTCTTTTGAAGAACATAAACACAGACCTAATGGCCCTGACAAGAACTGCTTTCATAAATCAGGCGGCTTTAATTGAGTACAAGTACATTTCATAATTGGCCTGTGTGGGTTGGTTTCCATCAACAACCCAAGTCAATATTTTTTTGTAATCACCAACTATTTTTTATCTAAATGTAAATCACAGACTCCAGCAACACAGACAGAGCAGCATCCAAAATCTTTCTATTTAAAACTAGAGTTTGTTTTAACATCCATATAAAAAGTTCCTCTCAAACCTCTTCTTTCATCAGATTTTTAGGGAAATAGAAATCCCCCCTCACTCAGCCAATCAGCTCTCAGTATGTGAAAGATAGCATGTTTTAAGATAAGAAGTTGTGGTCTGACCTTTTCTGTTGGGACAGACATAATATATCTATGAAACAACAAAGATGAAGTTACACCAGCTGTGATGTTAGAATAGTTTTGTATGAAATTAGTATCAATTAGAATGTTGTCAGGCTGCTTCTCTTTTTCTGCAATAAATGTAGATAACATAGTGTTTTCTTCTGTTCAGACACTGAGTTTATTCACTAAGAAGCCATAATGAATTTTAGAAAATTGCGACATAAAATGATAAATTATCAAAACTAATTATAAGTTACAGCTCTCATGTCAATATGAGCAATGCTACTATCGGTTGAATGTTATTATTATCTTATATTTATGCTATTTCGTCCATTTACATACATTTAATAAGAATTTGAATAAATGTGTCCGGCAGACTACAGGATTTGTGTGCTCTCTGTAGATAAAAGCTTTGATCCTTTGACATAACAAACAACACCAAATCAATACTATCTTTACTCAGGTCCAAACGAAAGGACCTTTACCAAACATGATCTCCTTTGCCCTTTTGTGTCAGCCTGACAAACTGAACGACATCTACAGAAGAATACACATTTACCTCTTCAGTATTACAGCGTGTGGGACATACTTATATTTATTATACGTGGCTTGAATCATCTTGACAGTGTTGTGTGTTGGGAGCTCAATGGTGCAGTGGTTCATAACAACAAGGTCCTGGGTTTGATTCCTCCCTCCAAATAGGACCTTTTTGCGTAGAATTCTATAGGTTTCTGCGTAGGTTTCCTCCAGGTGCTCCAGTTTCCTCCAAGTGCTCAGTCTTTCCCTACAACTAAAAACATATCTAACAATTCAGGGTGAATGAATGTGTTTGTGAGTGTTGCTGTGAGACGACAGATGCAAATTACCCTGCAAGTCTACAACCCAGAGAGATGTGTTCATTAACATGCACTGTTCCAACCAAAGAGACAATAAATAAGTCTGTATATATTTTAATTTTGCCACTGCAAGAATTTACAAAATTAAGGACAGACATTGCAGCTTTGAGATATTATACTTGACTATTTATTATCCCTATAATTGAATACATTAAAGACAATATCATATCTAACTTTTATGATTGTATGAATTACCTATGTCATTTGTCATGTTTTCTGTTTGCTAGGTCCACTTCCCAGATGTGGAGCGAGTGGAATGGATCAACAAGGTAATGGAGTGCAGTTTGTGAGTCCCCCTTTGTGGTAAACTGCAGTGAATTTAACGTTTGTCACTCCTCCCGCCAGTCTTCTCCCCTGGGCTGGTGTTATTGAGCTGCCACTGTGAACCCATAACGTTTCTTCATCTGCTCTGAGAATGCATTAACTTCATCTCCATAGCAACTGCCCTGAAAATTCCTATTTGTTTTTTGGATTTGAAGCAGATTTGATGCAATGACGCTTTTATCAAAGTTTGATTTGATGGTTTGATTAAGTTAAAACAAGAGTATCTTGTAGCCACGCAGAGTCTAAACACTAGTATAAGTAAGTATGTGAGGATTTAAGGCAAAATAAGACTTTCCCTGAGGAGGACTGTTCAGGATGCAATACAGAACCCTTAATCAGAATAGAAATCCCTTTGTCTTAGCCCTAAATCATCAGCCTTCACAAGCATACTGAAATGCATTGTTTATTTTGTTTCTATCTCTTCCATCCCTTCCAGACTGTCAAGCAGATGTGGCCATACATCTCACAGTTTGTGGAGAAGTTGTTCCACGAGACGATTGAGCCCGCTGTGAAGGCCTCCAACTCTCATCTGAGCACTTTCCGCTTCAGCAAAGTGGACATAGGGGACAAAGTAAGGCTCCCGCTGTGGCCCTGGGCAGGCTGCATTTACACCGGTCATGTGACAGTGAGAGCAGGTGCCTCTGAGACAGCTGCACTGGAGGGTGTGTGGAGTATAGAGCGTGAACCTACACTGGCCAGCACAGCCACGGAGGCATGCTTGTTTCTTAAATAGTTTCCATGTGGAGTTATTAACAGAAGGGTCAACCTTGTGCTCAGCCACGTGGGCCAATGGTATCAGAGCTGTGCTGTGGACTCTTGTACTGAAGCGCAGCTAACGATTTGTTCTGTTGTAGCCCCTGCGGGTCAACGGGGTCAAGGTTTACTCTGAAAATGTGGACAAACGACAGATCATTATGGATCTACAAATTAGGTGGGTGTGACTAGAAATGCACAAACATGAATAATTAAAGGGACTATATCTACGTAATATCTATTATTTTCATTATCTAAGTTACATCTACAGTACATCTTTTATGTCCCCATACATGTCAACACATACAAATCCTATTTCGCCTTTTCTGAGCAAAAGTTTAAAATTGAGTTATTATTCATTTAAAATACAATCGGCATAATGTCCATAGTATATATGTTTACAGTTTTCAAGCAGATTATCCAATCAGAGAGCAGAACGATGAAATGAAGTTGTTTGTGGCTGCAGTATTATTATTTTATTATTATGAACACAATTCACAAAGAAAACATAACACCGAACAATTCCTTAAATTGCAGCAGGTACATAAGTAATCATGTGTATTACCATTTCTAGCTAAACCCTGTCATTAATCAGGGTTTTGGAGCTACATGTGTCACAGGCAGCAAGATTCTAACAACAGAAGTTGGATTATAATTCTTTGACAGAGCATGGCCCTTTAAATCCAATAATTTTTTGTGCATTTAAAGTGTGAATTCAGAACGGGAAAGCTTCATAGAAATCCCCATGAAAAGCTTTTTGACGTTTACATGTTTCCTTTTGCCTCAGCTTTGTCGGAAACACAGAGATTGACGTGGACATCAAACGGTACTACTGCAAAGCCGGCATTAAAAGCATTCAGGTGAGAAACTTCCTTTGTATTGGTGCTTCTTCAAGAGTGCTTTTTTCTTTCAGCAGATGTTTTTCCCTTAACAGAAGAAGATAGAAAGTGACATTGACTTTAGCTAAAGGTCTTTTCTGTCTGTATTCATCTAAGAGAGCTAAAGTCTCTGATTTAGAGGTGTCTGAGTCTGATATAATAGATTAGAAGCAAGAACAAAGTCAAGCGTTTTAAAGGCGACCTCTGCAGACACCACGTTGCCGGGTGTTTATGTTTACCATGGCAGGCAGAGCTGTCAGAAGTTGTGTAATCATAAGACTCTGTTCTCTGAGTATTTTGGTCCTTGGCTCCTTCACCGTGTTGCGGAAGAAAATGAAAACAATCAGAGCTGCTCCTTGGAGACCGGCTGATGTTAGGCCTGCCCCTCAGAGACTTTAGTCTCATCTTTATTATATAATTTGTCCTGTGCCTATTAACCAGTAACACAATGGTCCAGCCAGAGCAGGTGCATCAGGCTTCGGCAAGTTTAGGTTACTCCTGGCTTTGTGGAGAGTAAGTAAGGTCAGATTGTTATTTATTATCTCTGACAGCCTTTTGATGTATCCACCCGATAGATCAATTCCAGCTTCACACTATTTCAAGGTGTCTTATAAACATAAAACAAACAATCCAATCAATTTCTCCCTGAAGTTCAGTAGGTAATCTTTAGCTATCTTTTTTCGACTACATCCATTATTTATTCCCAGGTTTCTTCCTTTGATGCTCGGCTGTTCTCAGGGATTTGTCTAGTGCTTGATGTATTTGCACTACTATTGCCCTAAGCAGAGTATAAACAAATGATGGAGTGCTCATCTTGACATTTATCACTGAAACATTTGAATGGACTTTTTTAATTAGAAAAATATTTACAGACCAATTCCACTGATTTTCTTCTCATTAAAGGGGACATAACTTGGAGAAAATGGACTTTTCTCAGCTTTTGGTCACGTGATAGTGGTTTTCCCTTGTCATTTACACTTAAAGCTGTTTTTCGCGCAATTCATGCATTATTTATTTATTGACCTTTTTTAACCAGGAAAGTCCCATTGAGATTAGAGAGATTCTCTTTTTCAGGGAAGTCTTGGCTTAGAGGGGGAGGGAGTCGGGACTATTGTATATGTTTGTAGTGGTATAGGGGAAACTAGAGCACCCGGAGGAAGCTGGAACAGAACATTCAAACTCTGCGCAGAAAGGCCTGGAGGCAGAATCAAACCCAGGACCTTCTTGCTGTGAAGCATAAGCACTAACCACTGTGCCACTGTGCCGCCCCCTAGCATGTTTAAATTATGTATATCCCATGGATCTATAATAATAACTGGATAGGGTATTACTAGCTTACAGCTGTCCCACCCATGGGCACCTGCCCGTGGTACTACGGGCAGGTGTGTTTCCTGCTCTGGACAGAGCAGTCGCATTCTCTTGCTGCTCCTCGCTTGCTGCTTTTTTATCTCCTTTAATCATTTTTGCTTACATTTTTATTCCACAAAACACGGATTACTCCTTTTTACAAACTTCAACACAAGACTTGTGGAATTTACCTAACTTACAGCATGTCGGGAGGACGGGAAAAAAGAACAAAACTTTGCGACGGCTGTTTTTCACTCAAACAGGAGCTAAAACTTCTTCAAGACCGAATGTTTGTGCTTGAATCAGAATTGGGGCTGAACACAACAATACCAGTGAAAGGAAATGGACCAAATGGACAGAACGTAAGTTATGATGACGCTATTTTCATTTCCCAAAATCAACAGAGACAATTGTTGGAACACATATGGTGCCAAGCCCAAACAAGGCAAAGCTAATGATAACAAGAGTGTCATAATGCCACAGCAAAAATCTTTAATTACAAGAAACCGCTTTTCACCACTTTTGGAAGATGAATCAGCAGTAGTCTCTCAGTCCCAGTCTCAGTCTCAGTCAAGGTCAAATGCAGCTGAGTCGCTCTTTATCGGGGATTCGGCGATTAGAAATGTAAACATGTGTAATCTCAAGGTTCACTCAGTACACTCTGCCAAAGTGGATGAGATAAGGCGGTTGGCTCCAAGGCTTCTGTCTGAGACCGGCGGGGTAAAAAGATTGTTGATCCACGTGGGGGCAGTAGACGTCTATGACAACACAAGTGAAAAGTTGAAACGGGATTACTCTCTCTTATTGGACGACCTTGCTAAAATGGACGCAACAATCGTTATCAGTGGCCCACTACCAACTGTGGACGGGAAGCAAATGAAATTCAGTCGTCTGTATCAGCTAAATACTTTCCTACTCAACGAATGTTCACGCAGAGGACTTGCCTTCATTGAGAATTTTAATCTGTTCTGGAATAGGCATGAGCTTTTTGAAGGGAAAGGGCCACATCTGAACACTTACGGAGTAAAAGTGTTGATGGATAACCTTTCTTTTGCCCTGAGACCTCAGCCTGCGCAGCGCGTGCAGCCATCGAAAACCACCTAGGGTTTCCAATTCACCTACAAAAACCACCTCAGCCAGTCCCTCCCCTAACCTCATGACCATTCCACCCCCACTTCCCCCTCGTTCAACACCCAAAACCTCTGCCTCAGCCCACCCGGCCCTAACCCATCACCAAAAACCCCTCCACCTCCCTGCCCCCCTCGTTCAACACCCAAAAGCCACCCACCTCTCCATCCTCCTCCCCCGCCTTCCCCTTCCCCTCTTTTCTCTAAACACTAGGATGCACAGGGTCTCTGCTTCGCAGCCACTGGCAGTCTAGTTAGAGGAGAGACCCGGCTGGGGCCCTGTCATGAAGCCACCTGTGCCATTCCCTTAGTGATAACACAAAGAATACATTACAGAAAAACATCTGGAGTTAATCAGTCTAATCTGGAAAATCTAATTCTTGTTCCGTGTAAGAATCAGCCGACCACAACCGCTGATACGGAAACTTTGAAACTTGCTACGCTTAATGTCAGATCTCTTTGTAACAAGTCTTTTTTAATCAATAATTTTATTTGTTCTCATAATCTTGATCTTATGTTCATGGCTGAAACTTGGCTTGACCAAAATTCAGGAAATGCAGTTTTAATAGAAGCATCACCACCAAATTTCAAGTTTGAATCTGAAATACGGGAAAACAAAAAAGGAGGAGGCTTAGCTGCCATTTTTAGAGACCACTTTGTCTCCCATAGAATGTCTCTTGGGAAGTTTTCATCATTTGAATATGTGTCTTTTAAAATACAACAAAAACAATCTCCTCCAATACTCTTCATTGTCCTATACAAGCCACCGCAGTCATGTCACAGTTTTATTGATAATTTTACCGAGTTGCTTTCAGTTGTATGCACAGATTTTGATAGTTTGGTTATTACAGGTGATTTTAATATTCATGTGGATAATGTTGATGACAGAAATGCAAATGAGCTGAGTTCTGTACTTGAATCCTTTGATCTCACTCAGCACGTAAGTGGCCCCACCCACAGCAGAGGGCACACTCTAGATCTGTTAGTCACTAAGGGGGTGAATATTTCAAATGTAAACGTGGTCGATGTTGCTCTTTCGGATCATTTTCTGTGTTTTTTTTGACATGTGTTTCACTAACAAACCACCAGTGGACTCTGCAACTGTTCGAAGAAGACACATAAATGAAAATACGAGTGAACTATTTATGGGAATGATAAACTTTGAGAATGCATCGTATTCTACTGTAGATGAACTGTTTAACTCTGTCACCTCTAGTGTTTTGAATGTTCTGGATACCGTTGCCCCTGTGAAGGTTAAAATAGTGAAAAATAAGCAGAAGGCGCCGTGGGCTAAAGCAGACTCGGTCAGGGCACAAAAGAGAGAGTGCCGGAGGGCCGAGCGGAAGTGGCGCAAGTCCAACCTCCAGGTTGATTACGAGATCTTCAAAGATAAGTTGTGCGAGTCTAACCAGGTGCTACGTAGTACGAGAGAAAGGTATTTTTCTGAAATGATTGAAGGCTGCAGCAACAATCTGCGTGTTCTGTTCTCAACAGTTAATAGATTAACAAACCCCCCTGTTCAAATGCCATTAGAGCTTACTTCCAAACGTAAATGCAATGAGTTTGCTAATTTTTTCAATGACAAGGTTCAAGGCATCAAAAACACCATTGTCTCCAATCCACAGATAACCATCCAACAGCCAGAAAGGCTCTTTGAGCTAACTCACTTTGCACCTGTAAATGATCAAACTGTCCAAGAGATAATCTCCAGTTTGAGCTCCTCCACATGCAGCCTGGATGTACTACCCACTAGATTTCTGAAGTCTGTTCTGAGCAGTCTGTTACCTTCACTCACACAGATAGTAAACATGTCCTTTCATTCTGGAATATTCCCAAAGGCCCTGAAAACTGCAGTCATCAGGCCCCTGCTAGACCCCACCACAGCACTGAGACTGCTCTCGTTAAGGTTACAAACGATATCCGGCTGAACACTGACGCAGGCAAAGTCTCAATCTTAATTTGTTGATCTTACCTTGAGGACAGGGATGTTGCGTCAACCGTACTTTGTGGAGATTGGAAACTGTGTCTCAGATCATATGGCCCTGACCTGTGGAGTACCACAGGAGTCGATCCTGGGACCTCTTCTGTTCAATCTCTACATGCTGCCGTTAGGTCAGTTAATACGCAGAAACGAAGTTTCCTATCACTATGCAGACGACACTCAGATCTATGTCTCACTGACTGCAGGAGAACATGGACCAGTGGACTCACTCCTACACTGTATCCAACAGATCAGTGAGTGGATGCAAAACAACTTCCTTCAGCTAAACGCAGACAAAACTGAAATGATTGTCTTTGGTCCCCAGAAACAAAGAGAGAGCGTCATCTGTCACCTACAGTCTCTCTCCCTAAAACCTTCAAACAAGGTCAGAAATCTAGGGGTAATACTGGACTCAGACTTAAATTTTAATAGCCACATCAAATCAGTAACATCAGCAGCTTTTTACCATCTAAAAAACATTGCCAGGATCAAAAACATAGTGTCTAAAGCAGACCTGGAGATTCTTATCCATGCATTTGTCTCCAGTAGGTTAGACTACTGCAATGGCCTGCTCACAGGTCTGTCCAAACAGGCTGTAAAACAGCTGCAGTACATTCAAAATGCAGGAGCTGGAGTCCTGACAAGAACCAGGAAGTACGACCACATTAGTCCAGTCCTCAGGTCTCTGCACTGGCTTCCTGTGGCTCAGAGAATAGACTTTAAAACAGCTCTGCTTGTGTACAAGTCTCTCCATGGCCTCGCACCAAAATATATTAGTGACATGTTAGTACCATACGAATCAGCCCGGACTCTGAGGAGCACAGGGACTGGACTCCTGTTAGTGCCCAGAGTCAGAACTAAACATGGGGAGGCTGCTTTTCAGATTCATGCTGCTAAAATCTGGAACAGTCTTCCTGAAGATGTGAGACAGGCCTCCTCTCTGACAATGTTTAAAACCAGGTTAAAGACAGTTCTGTTTAGCTGTGCATACAACTGAGGGATTTTATATTTGTATCTTTCTTTTTAATGTTCTGTGATTATTTATGATTTTAATGCTTTCTTGTTTTGTTCAGCACTTTGAATTGCCTTGTGTATGAATTGTGCTATATAAATAAACTTGCCTTGCCTTGCCTTGCCTTGCCTTGCCTTACTACAAACTAAATTCACGTGGGCTACCCAGAAAGAGCTCCTCCACTGCGCAGAACCGGGAGGACCTGTATGACCAAATACAGGCGAGTTCTGCTAATCTCCCGGTCTCCGTGAAGTTCCATGCGCTACTGAGCACAAGCCATTCACTTGAATAGGGCGCGATCTTGGATCACCGGGGCTTGGTATACACACGCACCGCCATTGCTCTCCCCTCAGTCCTCTCACTGTCAGCACCTAGCCCCTCCCCCAACCTTTACTACAGTTTTTTTCTGAATCTAAGGTATACAAAGGATTCACCCGCTTTGTGCAGTCATTCTTGCTCAAAGGGTAAAAATATAATCAGGTTGTATGTCTGTGGAGGATTGGAAATTGATGAACGGGTGGAACGTGACATTATGTTACAAAAATCCACAGAGGTCATAGATTATCATATTAGAGAAGAGCATTTAGTTATCTCCCCTTTTTAAGTTAACTTTCCTTGGTTTAATTTGCAATTCACGTGGAAATAGAGAAAAAATAGTTTCCCCTCCCTACAGATACAAACAGCTGTGTCGAGAGAGCCGCATGACTTGCCTTGACACCATAAGCCGTGTAATTGCTGTAATACGTGAGGGGGGGAAGGAGGGGGACAGTTGGGCAGCTGTGTGAGAGCGGCGTTCATGTTTCACTGTTGTCATACATTAGTGAAGATATGTCAAGTTGAAAATGGTGTCAGCCTCTCCCCGCTCGTGCTTGTAATGCCTAATGCCTCCCTCCTGTATCTCCATAGATCCACGGCGTGCTGAGAGTGGTGATGGAGCCACTGCTGGGGGATATCCCACTTGTCGGAGCGCTGTCTTTGTTCTTCATCAAGAAACCAGTGAGTCCTGATGCGCAGAATCGCTAATTATCTCGGGTTAGGAATGAGAACTCATAAAGCTCGCCAACAAGATTAGGGAGTATCAGGATGGGATTTGAAGCGGAAATTACTGTACTGAATATGCCTCGTGTTTAATGAACAAGATGCAGACGCAGAAGCACGTAGCATTCAAGGTTTAGTTTAGAGTAATCGTATACCTGCCCACGTACAAACATTCTCCTCCAACACCTCACTTACATTTCAATTTGCTCATTATCTCCCAAAACTGCTGCTCAGAGTCACTCTACTGAACATCTTGGCAATGTCTGATCGATTTATACCAAACAGCAGGACTCACAGCTTTAAATAGCAGCAGATCAAGACAGACCTAGTTTGGCAGATTTCTCATCCACCCGGCTCTAAGAGAAAACTGGGAATTAAAGTTTTATCTCCCGGGAAATGTCCTCTGTGATTCATGCTGTAATCCAGTATACAGTATATATACCATAGCCTTCATCACATTTGTGGAATGGTAGAATAACTTCCTAAAAACAAAATTAACTTAATGCAACTAATACCGTATCGCCCATTAAGATTTCCCCAGACATTGGGATCGTTTTCTCAGCTTTAAGTACAGACTCTTAGACCCTTGGCTGCATCTGTGTGATGTCAGAGCTGCAATCCGCTGCAATATAATTAAAAGGTTGTCATGGAAGCTCAGCAGACGTGACTGCTTTAAACAAACACTTGACATTTCCCTTTTGACTGATGCAGAGTCATGCAGGATGTTTGTGTGAAATAATTCTATTAGATTGATTGTATTGATTCCCTTTGCTATTCATTCATCACTCCTATTCACAATTATTGGTTAGCTAAAAACCATTCATTAGACGTTTTAGGTGCAATCATTTTTGATATTCATTTGGCTGCAACACATGTGCCTTCTGCTGCATGCAAGTAATGAATAAATAAGATTAAATATAACCCCATCGGATATGTTCATTAAGGTTTGGCGTGTGTGTAAAAGTGTAACTCCAGTAACTCTGGAGCAAACTGATTTACGATGTGTACATGTACAAATGATTATCTTTGCACATGCAGTCAGGTGATTAAACCCTCCTGACAATACATTATCACTGTAGGAGGCATTTATTACAGGGTCAAACGGGTCGAACAATCATGCAGTTTTATGTATTATTGTCTATCACCTTCTCCTATGGAAGTGTGTGTAGCTCTATGTGAGCGCTGTGTCCCATGCAGCAGTCTCCAGATGCATCGCTGCCCGTGGGCATCAGTCATGTCTGCAGTGTTCCCTACTTCCCTGTGCTTCTAGTGTCTGCTGCAGTGTAAGCAACTTTGCCTGAAAGTAGGCTGAGGAGAGCTGATTTTGAAAGCAGTGCTCCTGAGCTCGTGGGCAGGAGCAGAAAATGATCAAAGCTGTGTAAAAAACATCTGTGGAGAACTAGCCCCCACAATATGGCACTTCTAAGTGAATCATTATTACTCTCTGCTTTTGCAGTGGTGGCGTGTATTTGTGGTATTAGGGTTAATTTGAGTCACTACTACTGTTTACTTTTACAACACAAGATATATTTGGTCACTTAATGCTGTAAGTGATACAAAGTTGTGACCACATTGCAGCAAACAAAGAGAGCACACCTCTGCATTTCCGTACTGCACCGACTTTTGATTTATCTTCATTCTCCATCACTTGGAGCAGGCCACTGTCCCGGATGATATTATTCAAGTGTATCTACTGGCAGAGAAACAATGGCACGATTTAACTGCAGAGCAGAGGCAAATGCTAATGCTAAGTGTGCAGGTCAATACACTTATTTACACCTGCATTTCCTTTGCCTCAGCTCCTGGACATCGGCTGGACTGGCCTCACTAACATACTGGACATTCCTGGGCTCAAGTAAGTACAGCAGTAACACTGGCAGTATTAATGAGTCGCTAGTGATTCATTTATTAATGAACATGAACTCCTCATGAACTCATCATGAGTCATGAATAAGTGAATGAGTTCATCATGGCATCATCATGACTGGATGGATCATGATGAAATAATGCATTCATTCTTGTCTAGTTATGTTAAAGCGTTACGGTTTAGAGTGAGATTATTGTGAACAGGCTGTGCCATAATCTTTTAATTTGAAAAACATCTTTCATTTGATTTGAAGATAATAAATAATGGATGCAGAACACCTGCGTTGACAGTTTCCTCATTCTTGCTAATCCTGTCTGGCTTATGTTGAGTGTCTGAGGAGAGACGTAAGGGCAGTATTTCAAGTTTGTTGCTTTCACCCAGCACATGACTCTAGTAGTGCATGTATGTATGCTATATATGTTATATATGCTGTATATGCTGTGTCATGTGGCCGTCTGGTGATAGCGGACAGGAGCAGTTAGTTCTGACGACAAACGGACCAGTAATGTCCTTAACTGACAGAAGGAGTGTTAGACTGTGTGTGTTCCTGTATGACTAGGCTACAGCAACACTGCACTAATAGCTGACGAAGCCAGTCTGTTAACAGCCTTGTTCCTCAGCTTGAGAAAAGCCCTTGGCCACCAGAGAATAAAAGGCTCTTTAAATTGTTTGAACTGGAGCAGTGGCCTGCCACAGTAACGGCAGATAAACCCGGGACTCATCAAATTAATGTTTGAGGCGGCTTCAGAGGCACCAAGCTCGTGCTCTGTTTGTGATTCAAATTGTTTTTGGAGGCAAATCTCTACTGTGCTTCCTTACTGAGCAATAACAATCACACCAGAATAATGGAGAAAATGGTTTCACTTCTGGGAAACTTAAAACGCTCTGTGAAGTTGATTACTAACGTTTGTCACAGCTCATTCTTATTATAAATGTGTTTGATCAGTGGGGAATATAATACAGCTTCTGAGTATCAGTAAGGACTTCAAGGAGGCTCCTGAGGATGCAGGCTTCAGTTTATAAAAACAATCAAATACAGTTAGGCCAACGCTTCTGTGAGTGGTCTGAGTTCTAATATTGACATATTTATCAAGCACAAGCACAATAACACTCACCCTTGCTCAGCTCTAGTTTATTGGAAATCATCAAGTTTTAGTTTTGTCAGATACGTTTTTGACAAACTATTGAACAATTAAACGCACAAACGACATAAACATATGACATAAAATAACAGGACACACAACACTTACAGATCGTACCACATCTATTCATCTAATTATATCAATTCATGATTTTACTTTCCATTTTTTATGCTGTTGTTTTGTTCAACATACATCTTCCAGATGTATTTTTTGTCTCAGCACATATTTCTCAAAGAGGACATTTAAAGATGTAAAAATAACCTCCTAATCAAGTTTCCTTAAACCCCACAGTCTCTCTCTGATATTTCAGCTGTTCTTCATCCTTCATCCTGTTTCTATGTTTCTTCTTTCGTTCAGTCATCAGTCTTTGACATCAAAGTTCACAATCGCTCTTCTCCTCTCTCAAACCTCTGTTCCTCCCACATCTTTACATTTACATTAGGTAAAAATAGGGCGTCCTTTAATCTGTAAATTCTCACGTTTTTTGCTTGTTTTTGGAGCCAAGTTTACAAGTCATCATAGACTTTCTCCAGAGAAGTATTTTGGGGAATCCTTTTATCCCGTCCCTTAAATACATAATATTAAACAATGAGCTATTTTTATCTAGATTATAATAATTCACTTTATCTCAATCTCTGTTTTTACAAATGACTTTTCCAATGTTTCTTTTTTAAAATTACTTTTTACAGATTGTTCAATATTTTTCTAAATCCTATGTATTCTTCACAACACTACGATTTAAGGAAATAATGGTCTTCAAAACATCACGGAATAAGGAAATTCAATTATTCACAACACAATTGTTTAAGGAAATAATCATCTTCTTCATATCACTACAGATCAAGTGACTCTTTCACCAGAGTCACACACACCTTCTTTTACTTTCCATTTCAAAAAGAAATACAAGGAAGATATTGTTGTGCAATATTTGAAAGACTCATAGTAAATTGTGTTGCTTACATGTGTACAGATGTGGTTGTGTTGCTTACATGTGTACAGAAGTGGTTGTGTTGCTTACATGTGTACAGATGTGGTTGTGTTGCTTACATGTGTGCAGATGTGGTTGTGTTGCTTACATGTGTACAGATGTGGTTGTGTTGCTTACATGTGTGCAGATGTGGTTGTGTTGCTTACATGTGTACAGATGTGGTTGTGTTGCTTACATGTGTGCAGATGTGGTTGTGTTGCTTACATGTGTACAGATGTGGTTGTGTTGCTTACATGTGTGCAGATGTGGTTGTGTTGCTTTCTACATGTGTGCAGATGTGGTTGTGTTGCTTACATGTGTGCAGATGTGATTGTGTTGCTTACATGTGTGCAGATGTGGTTGTGTTGCTTACATGTGTACAGATGTGGTTGTGTTGCTTACATGTGTGCAGATGTGGTTGTGTTGCTTACATGTGTGCAGATGTGGTTGTGTTGCTTACATGTGTACAGATGTGGTTGTGTTGCTTACATGTGTGCAGATGTTGTTGTGTTGCTTTCTACATGTGTGCAGATGTGGTTGTGTTGCTTACAAGTGTACAGATGTGGTTGTGTTGCTTACATGTGTGCAGATGTTGTGTTGCTTTCTACATGTGTGCAGATGTGGTTGTGTTGCTTTCTACATGTGTGCAGATGTGGTTGTGTTGCTTACATGTGTACAGATGTGGTTGTGTTGCTTACATGTGTACATATGTGGTTGTGTTGCTTACATGTGTGCAGATGTGGTTGTGTTGCTTACATGTGTACAGATGTGGTTGTGTTGCTTACATGTGTACAGATGTGGTTGTGTTGCTTACATATGTGCAGATGTGGTTGTGTTGCTTACATGTGTGCAGATGTGGTTGTGTTGCTTACATGTGTACAGATGTGGTTGTGTTGCTTACATGTGTGCAGATGTGGTTGTGTTGCTTACATGTGTACAGATGTGGTTGTGTTGCTTACATGTGTGCAGATGTTGTTGTGTTGCTTTCTACATGTGTGCAGATGTGGTTGTGTTGCTTACAGGTGTACAGATGTGGTTGTGTTGCTTACATGTGTGCAGATGTTGTGTTGCTTTCTACATGTGTGCAGATGTGGTTGTGTTGCTTTCTACATGTGTGCAGATGTGGTTGTGTTGCTTACATGTGTACAGATGTGGTTGTGTTGCTTACATGTGTACATATGTGGTTGTGTTGCTTACATGTGTGCAGATGTGGTTGTGTTGCTTACATGTGTACAGATGTGGTTGTGTTGCTTACATGTGTACAGATGTGGTTGTGTTGCTTACATATGTGCAGATGTGGTTGTGTTGCTTACATGTGTGCAGATGTGGTTGTGTTGCTTACATGTGTACAGATGTGGTTGTGTTGCTTACATGTGTGCAGATGTTGTTGTGTTGCTTTCTACATGTGTGCAGATGTGGTTGTGTTGCTTACAGGTGTACAGATGTGGTTGTGTTGCTTACATGTGTGCAGATGTTGTTGTGTTGCTTTCTACATGTGTGCAGATGTGGTTGTGTTGCTTTCTACATGTGTGCAGATGTGGTTGTGTTGCTTTCTACATGTGTGCAGATGTGGTTGTGTTGCTTACATGTGTACAGATGTGGTTGTGTTGCTTTCTACATGTGTGCAGATGTGGTTGTGTTGCTTTCTACATGTGTGCAGATGTGGTTGTGTTGCTTACATGTGTGCAGATGTGGTTGTGTTGCTTACATGTGTACAGATGTGGTTGTGTTGCTTACATGTGTGCAGATGTGGTTGTGTTGCTTACATGTGTACAGATGTGGTTGTGTTGCTTTCTACATGTACATTATCATAGATGTACATCAATCAATCAATGAGAGAACATCTGATAGATTGATGTAGATTAAGATGGACAGGCAGAGAGAGAGACAGAGAGTCTCCCAATCTTGATTTAGCAGCTGTGATGTCATACAACACTAATCATCTGATTGGCCAATTCATATTTATGCTAAACCTGGAGCCAGGACACAGAAGGAGTCCATCAGGGAGAGAATAACAGGAAATTCAGGAGCATTTGAAGTACATCTATAAAAATGCTCACAAACAGTTTGTGAGCAGCAGCAATGTACTTCAGCAGAAGCCTACCATCTCAAGATGAGATTAAAAGGTGAATATTAATCACCCAAGGGCGCCCAAACTGAAAATAATTCATCACTGCTTTGTTTTTGTCTTCCCTCTCTCCCTCTTGTATCGCAGTTCCTTCTCTGAAAGCCTCATTCAAGATATAATCTATAATTATCTGGTGTTGCCCAATCGCATCACTATCCCACTGGTGGGAGATGTGGAGCTGGACCAGCTACGTTTCCCGATGCCAAAGGTATCAGTACAAATCAGAGCCCTTATCACACACTGTAGCGGCCTTCTCCAGAGAGCGTGTTCCTCGGCTCTATCCTTATTCACAGCTTTACATGAAGGTCTTGTGCCAAATTAGAACTATCTCTTCTACAAAAATCAAATCTGCTATTTCAATTGATTGGTCCAATCAAACCTGCTCAAAACCTGGCACAGTGGCACATGTCATATTTCATTTCAAAGAAGAAACCTGAACCGATGAGTGACATGAAGTGTAACCATGGCAATAGGGCCACATACTAATGATGACTGATGCCTTGGTGTAGTCTTAAATCAGCTCACAAACGGTTTCTTCTCCTTGGATTATTGCAAATGAAAAAGTAATGAATATTCCCCACAGTATATTCTCCCCTCTGTGCTTTATTATAAAGTTTTCAGTGCTGATTGTTTATGCTGTGAGGCAATAACAAAAAATGTCTTCATCCCTCGACTAGGGAGTGCTACGGATTCACTTCCTGGAGGCCCAAGACCTCGAAATCAAGGACACGTTTTTTGGCGGACTGATAAAGGGCAAGTCTGACCCTTATGGCATTCTGCAAGTGGGAAACCAGTTGTTCCACAGCAAAACCATAAAGGAGACTCTGGATCCAAAGTGGAACGAGGTCTACGAAGTGAGTCAAACAAGGCCAGCACTAAATAGCTGTAGATTTGCTTATCATGCACTAGCCTGTCTTGCTTGACTCATTTGGTTTAGCTTTGTTTGACCGGACGTGCGTGTCTAAACTAACATCAATATCTCATGCAGGCGCTGGTGTACGAGCACTCGGGGCAGCACCTGGAAATCGAGCTGTTTGATGAAGACCCAGACAAGGATGATTTTCTCGGGAGGTGGGTTTTCTCATATCCTCCTCCACTTTCATCTTATCACACACTTCACTGGAATCAAGACGCAGTGCACCTGACAGAAAGAGAGACGTCCCCAGAAGCAGCTGAGCATGAAACAACAAAGAAAGAATCTCTGAGAAAGCGACCGTGTATCGAGGGATGTACTGTATTAGTTTGTTTCTGCTCCCACTTCAGTTCATTGAGCGGGTTTTCAGATTCATTCAAGTAAATAATACTTTGTTTAAACGCGGCAATTACTGTAAAAGGGATGCAAACTTAAAATCCATGGGTAATTAGAAGTGTTGGCCTTTGCTCGAGGACATTTAAGATTGATTTTCCCCATGCACCTCCCCTTCTCCTTTACACTTGACACCAATTTCTCCAATCAATATCTTGACTCCATTTCATTCTCTATAGTTATTAGTATATTTTTCACACTGTACAAACAAGGAAGTGTAATGCTGTGCTTCTGTCATAGCCTGATGATTGATTTGACCGAGCTGTTCAAGGAGCAAAAGGTTGATGAGGTAAAACGCCTTCATGATTACATTCTGTATTTTATATACCGCATTCTTACTGTGTCCTGACGTTGTTCCAGTGGTTTGATTTAGAGGAGACCCCCACAGGAAAGCTCCATTTAAAACTGGAGTGGCTTTCTTTGCTCAACACTCCAGAGAAATTAGACCAGGTACTTGCTCCAAATTGCCTTTCTATGTAGGATGATGTTTCTGGTACGACATTTAATCTTGTTCATTTGTTTGCATGTCAGGTGCTGCGAAGCGTTCGTGCAGATTCCAGCCTGGCCAACGATGGGCTCGCCTCAGCTCTGCTTGTGGTCTATCTGGACTCAGCCAAAAGCTTACCTGTAAGAAACGGCACGACTTAATTCTATTCACATCTTCTTTGATAATCTGTGACCTCCAACCACATGAATCACAATCAAACCAGTTGTGTGACATCTTGACCTTTTGCTCAAGACATAAGTAGCAATGAAAACAATATTTGGCTGCAAATTAAGGCTGCTTTTGTGTTTTTACATAATTTTCTCTTTGCTAAGACACTTCTATCAGTGAAACCACATGTTACTTTGGAGCCATCCCTGATTATATAAACGTTAAAACCTTGAGTCGAAGAAAAAAGTATCTTCATTTCATGCAAGTCTGGTTTTATAAATCATTTGAACCATTATAATTCCACCTTCTCCTCTCCATGGCTTCACCCAAGAGCGTCTTCACTGGCAGCTTAGGCTGTGGGAACTTAAGTGAGAGAAGAGCCTCTGGCCTGATTTTTTGTGAGAGCAATACTGCAGAGTACAGAGCAAGATTTGTGAGTCCGCCACTCTTGATAGTGCTACCATTTAGGAGTGTGCTATGTCCTTGAAAATGTTTCTCAGAGCATGTATTAGCTGCACGCTTTTACTATTGTCTAATGGAAATGGGTACATTCTGAGTGCCAAATAACCATTAACAAGAAGCATTCACTTGAAACAAAAGCAAGGCGCATTCAAACAACATATATTTCAATTAAGTGTCCAATTCACAGCTTAAATTTCAGCACTGCAGTTTTCTCCCATAACTGAGTAATCTCCTTTACTATTTGTAAGCCAATTAGTGCATAGTTGTAGCTATGTAGAAACAGCAGTGAGGCTTGTTATGAGTGTCGCACAGCACTTCTGTATTTCCAGGAGAAAACCCCTCATTATTCTGTAGCCCGCTCGCTCCCTAGAGCCAACCACCTCCGGCTCATCTCCAGCCATTATTTACATTCACAACCCATTCTTGTTTGCAGCGCCATCCAACTATTTCTTTCCTATTTCTCTTAGACTTTTTAAAGCTATTGAATCTGCCAGGCCAACTAACTATGGGTGTGCTTTTCTCCCAAATATCTCCTTGTTTGGCTTAAAGAGCAACCTGTCAGATTTCCCCCATGACGGGTTGAAGCAAGTCTCAGTCTTTAAAGCCTTGAAGGTAATGTGGGAAAAATGGCCTGCATGCATCACACCCTACGCTACATTAGTAATCTCACTGTGCATGCTGATGGATACTGTGTACAGCCTGCCTGAGCTTCACCAAGGCGTAATGGCCCTGCATGTAAATAAATGTGTATATATTTTGTTTTATGGTTTCATTTGACGTTGTGTTATGTAGGCACCATGTGTTTACAGCTTCAGATATTTCTATTCCGAGTCAGGGGAATAAGTGTGTCGTGTTTTTTTTATAGCCGGTGTCATTTTATACAACATCAAGGCAGATGTATCCAAATGATGTCTTGAGATGCAAACTTCACTGCCGCGTCATGAGGCCACTGTAATAGACGTAGCTTTGTATCCACAGCCAGCCACCGCAAGCTGTATTTGTTGCTAGATATAAAAGATGAATGTTGCTATAGGTGCAGCGTCGCATACCTGAAGTCAACGGTGGCTTTGATCATCTGTTGAATCTGAATTTGGTGCCGGCTCCTTGAAGTTTGAGGCGCTGTAGTTCTTTCATTATGAGACAGAGTTGAAGATAATTCATGTATAAAGTGTATTTTTAAATCTAGCTTTACAGTCCATAGAAAAAGAAAAGCTGAAGAACCTACACAAGAAAGCACATTTTATCCACATAAAAGCCACATGTGGTGTTAACCATGGATTTATATCACATGGTTCAATGACAAGGTGTTTTAACTGTTAACTTGTGATGCGCAGCGCTAAAGATAAATAACAAAATTAACACAGAGGAGGCAAAAATTAGCTCACATTAGTCGTCAGCTTCTATGTCCAACTCATTTACTCATCTATTTTGATAACAAACCTGCGTCCTATCCTATAGCTACTAAAACTCAGCTCAATTAATAAATCCATAAAGTCAGCTTTGACGAAAGCCTAACTTTACAACAATAAAATACATACTTAATAAAAGTGGCTTATAGTGCAGCAAGTAGGGTTTTTGTTTCCTGTTTTACATCAGAAAGAGTCTTGTTTAAGTAACATTTTGTGAACAATTCAGACCACAACATGCAGTCTTTATCTTCTTACAATTAATGTTATATTTGTCATACTTATTCTTCATACTTCATACTAAGAAAGAGTTCAGGAAAGTATCATTTGACTGAGAGTTGATTGTCTGGGTGACGCTGGTCCCCTCTTTTTCACTTTTCTGCATGAAAGCTGATCTAAAGATGGCCACCAGTACATGCATGTGAATCATGGATGTATTATATTAACTGGATAGGGTATTACTAGCTTGTAGCTGAATAACTCATGTGCTCGGGGGATTCTCGCGGTACTGCAGACTGAACCAGACTAAATTCACGTGGGCTACCCAGAAATTTTCCCCATAGGACTCAATGCATATTAAAACAGCTCGACCTCAGCTGACAGAGAACCTACAGCTTTAATAAAGATAGGATTTAGTGGGGATTTTAGTGTCCCTTGTCATCCTGAACATTTTTTCTTCTTAAATCCTTCGGTTTTGTTTAAATCCACACTTTAGTGCCACAAACTCTACTCCTCTGGCTCTCGCTCTAACTCCCGCTCTGATGAACTGCTCTGATTGGTCAGAGCGCGGCCGAGCCCCTCTGTGCACGTGCGTGAGACCCGGTGTGAGACCCACACACGCGTGTTTGACGCAACGCATTATGGGAGAACATCCACTGCACAGAACCGGGAGGACCCAAGCCCCGGCGATTCAAGATGGCGCCCTATTCAAATGAATGGTTGTGTTCAGTGGCCAGGGTTGCCAGGTCTAAGAAAAATTTCCAGCCCAATGACCTCTCAAAACTCGACCAAAAAGTATGAAAACTAGCCCAATAATTAATTTCAGTTCAATTTAAATTTATTTATCAAATAAACATTCTGTTTGCCAAACAACATTGGCTGGTTTATTCTCCTTTCATCAGCTGCTGTATTGACACACAAAGACATAGGTGTCAGTCAAAAGTTTGTTTAAAAGAGTGTGTGTTTCATTACCTAGTACCTACCTAGATTAGTTAATTATCTTACATTTTCACTCTTACTCTTAACCAGTTCTGCTGCAGCTCTGTTGATAGACAAGCGTCCCAAATGGTCAACAGTCAAAATGCTCGAGTGACAAGCAACATGAGCGGCCAAAGTGAGCTCTGCCTCCTTCACAGCAGCATGTGTAGTTTGAACAGAACAGCCAGTGTCAAATAAAGTCCGCGCGTTTGAAAAAGGAGTCGCATTTTTCTTGTGCTTAACAGTAGCAGCGTGCATTAGCAAGTCGTTGTGATGTGCTCGCATTTCACTCTTACAGAACTTGCAGAAAGCCTTTCTGTCATCATTTGGGACACTGCGTATCCACTCTTTTATGCCCCTTTCTGACTCCCATTCCTTCCTATATCGTTTTTGGTACTTCCCCCATTTACCTGACATCGCACTGTTAGCTTCTTTTTTCCGCGTGCCTAAAATGACCAAAATGACGGTCTTGATAGCTGACTGACTGGCTTCTTTGCCGCTGCACGTGCGGCCTCTGTCTTGCGTAGGGGGGCGTGCCGCGGCACCACTCAAAGGCTTGCGTGTGAGTGAGAGAGAGAGAGCGAGAGAGAGCGAGAGAGACGGGGAGGGTGGGGGTGGGGGTGGGGAAGGGGGGTGGGGAAGAAGGGGGGTGAGGGACAGTGCTGAGCTTTGAATGTGACGAATCTGATTGGGAAAAATAGATAAAATGACAGATAAAGTTGTGGCCGCGGACAGTTTAAAATCAGCCCAAGAAAACCGCAACCCGCAGCACAAGATTTTTTCCCGCAACGGCCAATTTAAAGTAGCCCAATTGTGCGGGAAAACCGCGGACCTGGCAACTCTGTCAGTGGCGCTTTGTGACGGCATGGGGGCTGAAAGATTAGCGGAAGTTGCCTGAAACTCGCAAAGATCTATGGGAAACTCGCCTGTATTTGGGCATCGTCTGGTCCTCCCGGTTCTGCGCAGTGGATGATCTCCCATAATGCGTTGCGCCAAACACGCGTGTGTGGGTCTCACACCGGGTCTCACGCACGTGCACAGAGGGGCTCGGCCGCGCTCTGACCAATCAGAGCAGTTCATCGGAGCGGGAGTTAGAGCCAGTGTTGCCAACTTAGCGACTTTGTCGCCAGATTTAGCGACTTTTCAGACCCCTATAGCGACTTTTTTTCAAAAAAGCGACTAGCGACAAATCTAGCGACTTTTTCTGGTGTTATTGGCGACTTATCTGGTGTTTTGGCGACTTATCTGGTGTTTTGGAGACTCGTGAAGCACGTATTGTTCTGCTGTCCTCAACGTGAGCCCCTCCCCCGTCCCAAAGCACTTACAGGCGGCCAGTCTCACAGTAGCCTTGCGCAGCAGTCCCAGCTACAGTCTATGGGCGGAGCAGAGAGAGAGAGAGGAGACTCAAAAGCACAGGAAGTTTTCAGGCTGCTGCAGACTGAACTTCAGCTCCACCACCACCACACATCCAAAGCTCCCCGGCCACTCCTACCACCGCCACCCCCCACTACCCCCCACTCCATCCGCGGCAGCTCTGTCCGTGACTCTGTTTTCTCTCAGTAGTGAATCAGAATCAGAATCAGAATCAGAATCATTTTTATTGCCAACGTAAGTAACGGGAGGTCACAGACTTGGAAATTGCTTTGGCTCAGTGCAACAGTCAAAAAGAGATAATAAAAATAAGAATAAAAAACACTTCTAAAGAATAAATTTAAATTTAAAATAGAGTTACAGTTACTATTTACAATATACAAGTGCACATGGTGCACACAATGTAAGGTGACAGCAGTACAGTGAAGTAAAGTGACGTATGAGGGTCACGTATGTGGGTCACATTAAATCATTTGTTATGCCAAACTATGAAAAAAAAAAAAACTTACAAAAATAAACCTAAGTAACTCTGCCAGAGTGTGTCTTTTGGGTCACTTTGCCGGTCCCAAGCCCGGATAAAGGAGGAGGGTTGGTTGTAGAGCTAGCAATTTCACCCTACATAACAATCTTTTGATTACATTTGCTGTTATAACATTTAACAATACAGGACAAAACTGATGTGTGTAATGAGGATCTAGACAAAGCATTAAAATCATTAAATGTTGTTAATGTTGAAATTATTTGTAGTTTCTAAACATATTTAGGGTGTTTTTACTCACTTTTGTCTCTCCCACGACCTTATTCCTCTCTCCTACAGCGTCCGTTACAGTTATTTGCAAATGGCAAATTATGCAAATTAGGCGATGACGTCATTTAGCGACTTCTAGCGACTTTTGGGACAGCCAATAGCTACTTTCCTTACTGAGGAGTTGGCAACACTGGTTAGAGCGAGAGCCAGACGAGCAGAGTTTGTGGCACTAAAGTGTGGATTTAAACAAAACCGAAGGATTTAAGAAGAAAAAAAGTTCAGGATGACAAGGGACACTAAAATCCCCACAAAATCCGACCTTTATGAAAGCTGTAGGTTCTCTGTCAGCTGAGGTTGAGCTGTTTTAATTTGCATTGAGTTCTATGGGGAAAATTTCTGGGTGGCCCACGTGAATTTAGTCTGGTTCAGTCTGCAGCACCGCGAGAATCCCCTGAGCACATGAGTTATTCAGCTACAAGCTAGTAATACCCTATCCAGTTAATATAATACATCCATGGGAGGACCAGACGATGCCCAAATACAGGCGAGTTTCCCAAAGTTCTTTGCGAGTTCCAGGCGACTTCCGCTAATCTTTTCAGCCCCCATGCCGTCACAAAGCGCCACTGAGCACAACCATTCATTTGAATAGGGCGCCATCTTGGATCGCCGGGGCTTGATGTGAATAGATTGAACCAACCAGTTTTAAGAGCCAGGAACTAATTACGTGGAGTCTATTAAATTTAGATAGGTACTCCAGCTTCAACAATATTTAATAAGAGGTTAGAGCTCAAGAAGCAGCGTTAATAATTGAAATATGTCCTTTCCCCTGTCTGTTTGGAATATTGCATTTATGCCTCTGAAGGATTGGAGGGGTTAACAAAGGTTACTGCCACAATAAGTCGGCCTGATGCTGGGGCATATTTTACTATGCTGTAAGGAGACACAGCAATATATGGCTTCCAAACTACGGCATGCTAAAATTAGAATGCAGGGAAGACAAAGCTCGTCTCCCTGGTAGCCCGTGCCTGCAGCCCGCTTGTCAAAACTGATCCTAATGCTACTCCCGTTTCCACTAAACACTCCTGCCCCACTGTGCGCATGTCACTCTGTCTCTGAGAAAAACTAATGTTGAAGCTGTACTTTGTTCCTCTTTGGATTTGGTGTTATAATTGACGTGTGTTTTGCCCTTTTCTAACCCATCATAGTCTGCGAAGAAGAGCAGCAGTGAGCCCAGCCCCTATGTTCAATTCACAGTAGGACACAAAACACTGGAGAGCAAGGTGAGTCATAAAAGGTAAAGCCATTTTATAAACAGGAAATGCATTCACTTATTTTACGCCTATGTCTGCAAAATACACGTTCTCGCACTGGTTTTAAAAGCACCATTAATTAAACATATTTGGAAAGCTTTTTTTGGTGGCTGTTTGAATCCATGAGCTGTTTGTGCTGGCTGTCTATATTGACGAACCGGTCTCACACTTTCAATCTTTTCACATTAATATTTTATAACAAAGGGACTGTAAATGTAAACATTGAGCTAGCGAAATGTGCGCTGTGACTAATAGTAGCTTTTGGGCGCTTTCAAGATTCGATACAAGACCAAGGAGCCCATGTGGGAAGACTGCTTTTCGTTTCTTGTTCATAATCCGCGGCGACAGGAGTTGGAAGTGGAGGTAATGGCTCGTTCGTAATTCTAATATTGATATGAGTAAGAGCACGGTGCATAAGCTTCTCATCACTGACTTCACTGAACTCCTCTGATGTATTTCTCCACAGGTGAAAGATGACAAGCACAACAAGTGCACCCTGGGTAACTTGACGGTGCCTTTGAGCTGCCTGTTGGGGGAGGAGGACATGACGCTGACTCAGTGCTTCTCTCTCAAAAACTCTGGGCCAAACTCCACCATCAAACTAAAGATGGCCCTCAGGGTAAGAAAGGAGTGCCCCTCATCTCTCTGGACCAGCATGCATCTCTCTGGACCAGCATGCATAAGTGATGCTCTGAAGCGGGGAATGGCAGCTGTTCCAATATGCTGATGCCAAATATGCTTAATGCTGAATGTAGTTAGTGAAGTATCGCAGTGCAGATCGCAGAGTTAACTGTATTAAGTTAGATTACTCAGTACACTATAGTGCTTTGTTTTGCATTTTGTTTTGCACCAATAACAGGCTAATTCATTTATTAAAAACACCTGAATGACCACACAACAGGGAAATCAATAGGTCACAAAGCCATCTGCTAAAATCTATGAGGTCACTTCGACACTTGCTAATACAAACAAGTCATGACAGCACAGTGACTCAGCAAGAAGGTCCTAGGTTTCAATTCCATCTCCAGAGTGGAGTGGAGTTTGCTTGTTCTCCCCATGTCTCGGTAGGTTTCCTCTGGGTGTTCCGGTTTTTCCCATCACTAAAAGCATGCACAAAGCTCCCCTCTCTCTGGAGCCAGGACTCCCACTGAAAAAAAGAGATTCTGAAATGTCAGTGGGACGTTCCTGGTTTGATAAAAGTCAATAATAATATGCTCATAAACACACTGGAGATAAGAAAAGTCAAAGACAATATTATGCTGTAGGAACATAATGACATACTGGTCACTGTCGGAAAAGATATATAATTAATGGTGCTAATTAGTTTATATTTAGTTTCACATTTCTTGTTTATTGATGATATTATTTTCTGTGCTTCAGATTCTGTCATTGGAGAAGCAGGGGTGCTCAGACCAGCCGTCTTGTGTCACAGTCAGAAAGTCCAGTTCGGCACAGCCAATTTTAGCCTCTACCCAAAGACTGTCGGCCTCCTCTGACTCCCCCCTGCCTCCCCCCACTCCTCCAGGCATGGCCGTGTCTTCTCTCAGCCTCCACTACCGGGACGGGGAGCCTTACTCTGCCAGTCCTCTGCGAAGTACCTCCAACCTCAGCTGCTGCATTTCCAGCTCCCAGAAGCACCTTCCACATAAGGAGTCCACACCGAGCCTGGCCTCGGATGTCTCTCTACCCTTCGCTACACTTGAGCTCCAGCAGAGACTCCGTCATCTACAGAAGTAAACAGACCGTGTTTGGTGCATAATTCTAGGGCAGAATGACACATTAATTTCCCCATGAATATATTTAATCTGCATTCTTGTCAGGCTAGCCATCTATTTCCAAAAAGGTCTGCACACACATTAGCTGTAGCTAGTCTCGCTGCAGCCACTAAAACTGACAGTGGCCTGACTGAATGTTGTGATTTTAGTGGCTCGGCCCCTGGCCAGTGTCCCCTGGGTGAAGTCCAGCTGACTGTTCGACACAGCTCTCAGAGGAATAAACTCATTGTGGTGGTGCACTCCTGTCGGTAAGATTAATATCCCTCTTGATGCACAATTTATGGCTCAGGGTTTTAATCAAATCCAGGATTTTGGGAAGGTAGATCCCAATGTCTATTCTGAACATATTTAAAGGAGGAGTTTTTGTCTATTCGTCCCCAGAAATGTAATTGCCTTCACCAAAGACGGCTCCAATCCTTTTGTTCGTCTGTATTTGCTGCCGGATAAAAGCCGGACGGGTAGAAGGAAGACTGGCACTGTGAAGAGAACTGTGAATCCTGTTTTTGATCAAACGTAAGTATCAGAGAACGATCCATAGGAAAGACTTGTTACTTTACTGTTACTAATACAATATTCATGGGTCGGCCAGGTTTGAGTTTAGCGTGTCTATGGTGGAGCTACACAGAAGGACACTGGACGTAGCTGTAAAGAACGGTGGAAGCCTACTCTCGAAACACAGAGGGCTTTTAGGCAAGGTAACCGTCTAATCAATACCATAATAACATTAGCGGTTCCATAAATCTCTATGTCCTGTTCATGCCACCGTATTGTTTACATTTGCAGGCACTTGTTGATCTGAGCGGTGAAGACATATCTAAAGGATGGACAAATTGGTACATGTCTTTTTTTTAGTATTTGATGTTGGATTTTTCTTGTAATGTTGATGATATTTGCTCAAAAAATGCATTATTTTGTCTAGGTATGAACTAAGTGAAGATGGTTTTTCTCAGAGTGTTAGAAGTATTCAAGACCCGCTCCTCACGTGAACACTCTACCACATCTGTAGCATACCCGTTGGATTTATGGACCCATTATTTTTGTTTCCTTTGATTTGAAGCATGAAAAACATTTCTTAAATTGAAAGAAATATTCATGTTATTGCAATGAAGGTGTTGTAACATACTGTGTTGAGAGACACGCACTGCTTTTAATTTCAGTGTTTTGTGTAAATAGTACACATTGTTATTTATAAAGGTTTCTTCCTAAAATTATTATTTATTATAATTGTATTAATTTCTGTATAATGTCCAATTTTGTTCAAACGTGAGTTGATTACATAATGTTTCGAAACCTTTACCAAAGGATCCAATACAATCATGTACGTTGGCGAGCGCCTTCATGTGATATGCAGGTCGTTGTTGTTTATGCTCGAATAGCACTGAAGAATGCACAATATGCAAATGGGAACTGCTCGAAAATGTGATGATGACTGCGATGCTGGATCTGTGAATGTTGTCTTGGACGCTGAGAAGAGTCACTTAGGGCTACATGCATTTCAGAGTTTACACCAAGTTGAACAAAATATAATATTTTTCATTTTTCTTGGCTGTCAGACGGAATTGTACATGTTTGCAATGCAGTAACTGTCTGAGCTTTTAAACGTCTTTATTTATTGTTATATCCTGTGCCTTAAAACTATATCATTTTGCCTTGTTATAATTTTGATTGGTATGATGCCTCACAAACTTTTGAAAATAAATGTTTTCTTTTTGTGAACTATTGTACAACCTCTTAGAAGGGCTTCTAATGTGAGAGTGTTGTGTTATGAAAGCCTGATGTTATCTCAGCTTGGATTCTAAGCAGGACAAGGCCTGGTTAGTACTGTGATGGGAGACCTGTGTGAACACCAGATGCCACAGTGTGTCGGCTTTAACATTTAAACGTTGTGTCCGTAGGCCAGACACTTAACCCACATTGCCTAGTAAGTAGAAGTGAGTTGCTTGCGTCAGTCTGTCTTAGGGCAGTTGTGGCTACGGTGACGTAAGAGTGAAAAAATAATGCTGCGTCCACAAAGCGTTATAACCAAGCCCCGGCGATCCAAGATGGCGCCCTATTCAAATGAATGGTTGTGCTCAGTGGCGCTTTGTGACGGCATGGGGGCTGAAAGATTAGCGGAAGTTGCCTGAAACTCGCAAAGATCTATGGGAAACTCGCCTGTATTTGGGCATCGTCTGGTCCTCCCGGTTCTGCGCAGTGGATGATCTCCCATAATGCGTTGCGCCAAACACGCGTGTGTGGGTCTCACACCGGGTCTCACGCACGTGCACAGAGGGGCTCGGCCGCGCTCTGACCAATCAGAGCAGTTCATCAGAGCGGGAGTTAGAGCGAGAGCCAGAGGAGCAGAGTTTGTGGCACTAAAGTGTGGATTTAAACAAAACCGAAGGATTTAAGAAGAAAAAAAGTTCAGGATGACAAGGGACACTAAAATCCCCACAAAATCCGATCTTTATTAAAGCTGTAGGTTCTCTGTCAGCTGAGGTCGAGCTGTTTTAATATGCATTGAGTTCTATGGGGAAAATTTCTGGGTAGCCCACGTGAATTTAGTCTGGTTCAGTCTGCAGTACCGCGAGAATCCCCTGAGCACATGAGTTATTCAGCTACAAGCTAGTAATACCCTATCCAGTTATTATAATACATCCATGGTTATAACACCGATGCATTGTGATCGTGATCGTCACATAGACAAATATCACCATTTTGCCTCGTTTGAAAACTAGGTAAACGTCGGCAGTACTCTTACGCCATCTCGTGGCTAAAAGAGCTAACTGCAAGTTACTCTTACGTGCACTGTGACGTCATGACGCACACATGTTGAATTTGCGCGGGTCTCTGTTGTTGTGAAGTGGACTATTTCCCGATTCAAAGGTATTTCTGTTTACATCCACAGATCCATATTAACCGCGACTATAGTATAATACTGTTACAGTGCTCCGTCCTGTGTCTTCTGTGGCCACATGGACCTGAATAGTTCGCTCGTAAACAGAAAGCTCTGAATTGTTGTTGTTTTGACGTCATTATTGACATTGTTTTCAGAAAGAGCACAGTTTGGTTGATCATGTCGAAGCGAGAGGCGTTTTTAGCAGCTGCTTGTGTGGAAAACGCAGAGGACTTTCTGCGCTTTATCCAGCTCCATGTGAGTAACACACTGTCATTATCTAGGCAATGTACATTCTGCTGTTTTAGACATTTAACATCCCTCCCAGCATTGTTTACATATTATTAAACATATACATTACTATAACGTTGTAAACCCTGTTTACTGTGTACTGTGTACAGAATGATAAAACGGAGCCCTTTGACGTTGAGGAGGTGGTGCAGGAGCTGCCCCGGGACCAGAGGCTCTCTCTGTGGAGCAGACTGTCTGCACTTCTGCAACATGTCCTGTCCACAGTGCCCCCTGAGCTCTGGCACCAGCAGAAGGCACAAGAGGAGGAGAACATGGAAGTGGACACGTCTATAGATCCTGTAGGATTTTATAAAGTCCAGGGCACTATCGCTGAGGATCCATTGATGATGTTGGGTTTCCTTTTTAGACACATGTCATGGCGGTTGTGGAAGGAGTGACACTTGTAGCTACACAGTCTGTGAAAGCCCTTCAGGATGGGGATGCATACACTGCCCTCTTGGGAATTGCCAATAGGCTCCATGGTATATTTGCTTTTTTTAACTTTATATTGTTTGTCATCTTTGTACATAACGCTCATTGTCTTGGTTGCAGATGTGCTGATCCTGCTGCCCATTTTAGAAGCACCACTGCTGTCTGCTTTACAGGTTCTGTGTGAGCTCTGGTGGAAAAAAGGATTGAAAGATAAAGACAAATTTGGCCGCACAGCTTTGTACGTGTCCCTGCAAAAGTGCTTTGTTCTGAAAAGGCCGGTATGTTCTTTATTTTTTGTTTTTTTTAAACTTTTTTTATGTACCGAGGAAAATTCCATTTAAATATCACTTTTCAAAGGGTGTCCTATTCACAAAGCGTGTATAAAACATCAATACAATCAGTTACAAAAAAAAACATTCAAAAAATTATACAATTATAAAAAGCAGGTCATTGATTGCATTTCCAGGTCTTTCAGGAGTGCCATAATGTTCTATTGACTTCAGAGTTGAATAGTTTTCTGTAATAAATTCCAGTCTGTAGGAGAGCCAAACTCCAATTCAATTCAAAACATTTTTGTTGTTGTATAGCTCTGAATCACAGCAGTCGTCTTGGATGACTTTCCAAGACTGAGTAAAGTGGCTGTAGTGCTCAGACTGGGAAATGCATATAAAAAAGACCTCCATGTCCAACTGGTGATGCAACACTGACATTTCCCCACTGGGACGAATAAAGGCTCTCTTAATCTTAATGTGTAGCAGTGATTTTAATGGTCAAGTTTGTAATGTTTGTGTTTTCAGAGTGTTGAAATCCAGCGGTTATGGAGTCTTCATGAAGTACTTCTGACTATCGACTGTGCGTCCGATGAGAACCAGGCCATATCAGACTTGCTACTTCAGTGCTTTGTTCGACCGGACATCATAAAGAATGATGATGTGAGCGGAGAAATATTGATTCATTTTTAGGAATGTTCTGCTTCTGCATCTTCAACTCAAATGTCTTTCTCAGGGGAAGAGACTGTTGGTGTTTCTTTTTAGCTGGACTCTCAACTTAATCGGTCTCATTCACAGCACCATCAAGAACCAGCTGGAGTTTTTTAACAAGTATGACGCTTGTTTGTTTGTATATTAGCTCATTTATAAAAGCCATTTTGTTCCATTCACGCTTAACCTTGTTTCAGGAAAACTCTGGCTCACATCACAGAGATCTACTTCAGAGCTTGGAGGAAAGCCAGTGGGGACTTTCAGAAGGAGATTGAAAGCGTTTGCGTTCAGGACTTAATGCAGAACGCCATATTACTGCATCGCACCTCTCCTGTGTACAGCAAAGTCAGACAGGTTTGGGTTCTTCAATTTATTCTTTTATGGCCCTAAATCACAACAGTAGAATTCGCCAACACAGATCAGAGAATCAAAACCAAAACACAAGAAATAAAACAGAAAACACATTGGTCATCTGCCCCTTATGGACCATTACCCATGTCCATAAATGTTAATAATAACAATAATAATACATTTTATTTAAACGCGCCTTTCACAACACCCAAGGACACTGAAAAAAACATGGTCAAAAACGGAGTGCAATTTAAAAGCGTTATTAAAAACAGAAGACAACAGAGCTGGACGAAGGTGTTGGGACTGGTCATGTGGAGAAAGAACATCTGAAAAGGTGAGTTTTGAGTCTGGATTTGAACAGGGGAAGAGAGCCGGTGTTGCGGAGGTCAGGGGGGAGTGAGATGCTCTTCCCCCCCATGGTGCTGTTGAATGTAGAGTGTCCTGGATCATCACCACTGTCCTTTTAGTTTAGACCCTCACAAAACTCTAACAGATCCTCCTGCATCGGCGAGGAAAACCTATAAACTCTATTCTCTATTTTATGTCGTGACTGTGTCCTGGATATGCTGTTTATTACTCCCCCTCCCCTCATGCTTTTCTGTTCTCTCTCACAGATTGTAAGTTACTTCCATTTGAGAAACGGCATTCAGCAGGTGGGAAAGATGCTCTTCAATCTGTACAAGCCCATTCTCTGGAAGGCACTGAATGTACGTACATGATCATTTGATAAATCAGGAATAAAGGCAGCAATCATACATTTCATTAGATGTTTATTTGAGCAGGCACCAAACTGTGAGGTCAGAGCAAATGCCACTCTGATCTTCACTGAGGCCTTTCCCATTCACGATCCAGACGATGCGAAAACTCTTGATGCAGCTGTGCAAAAGCAGATTGATACAGCCATGGTCGGTGCAATCCTCTGAATGTGTTTTTAATGTCTGAGCTGGATGTATTAAAGTCAAATTCCTTGGACAGACTCTCCTCGAGGACCCTCATCCACTTGTGCGCTCCAATGCAATCTTAGGAGTGTGTAAGATTCTGGGCAGATGTTGGGAGCTGTTCCCTCCCATCATAATCACAGACTTCCTGAAGAAGATGCTGGAACTGGCCACTGACACCAGTTCAGCCGATGTCCGCTGTTCAGTCTTTAAGGTCTTTCAGCGTTCACAGAAATGTTTAAGTGTCATAGATGTAAGCTTTTGTAAATGTTCTTATTGTTGCTGTTCTCTTTCTAGTGCATGACCATTGTCCTGGACAATGCTCTGAGTCATCCTGTGTTAGAAAAACTCCTGCCTAATATGAAGAACAGTCTTCATGACACCTCTGAAAAAGTCCGCACTGCGTTTGTGGACATGTTGATCAAAGTGAAGGCAGTGCGTGCAGCCAAGGTATAGGAGATAGTATTTCATGTTTTAAAAAGGTTTTATTTCTTCTAATGAGCTTTTATCATTTTACTTTAACTTATATCCAGTTTTGGGATGTGTGCCATATGGACCACCTGCTGGCACGCCTGGCAACTGACACCCTGTGTGTGTCTAAGCGTATTGTCAATCTGCTCTTTAAGTCCTTCTTCCCTGTGAACGAGTCTGACAAAGAGTGGTGCTGTCGCTGCATCACTCTCATCCAGATGAACCCAATGGCAGCTCGCAGGTTTTACCAGTACGCCATCAAACATACAGCTCCCACCAACTTAGGTAAGTGCTCACACTCATGCTTTTACTTTGGGATTCAGGATGATCAATGTCTATGTCTTTTTCCAGTTAAACTGATGCTGGCCATTCGCCGTGTCCTGAATAACTATGTTAAGGCTGACGATGACGTCTCTCAAATTAATGACGGCAACAAAGAGAACAGCAATGTGAGCCAGGCTCAGTAATCTCCCATGATGCAACTATTTCACTTTTACTGGAACGGTTTGCATCTTCCAGATTGACCGTGAAGTTCCGGATAAAGACATGGGTGTTGTGTCGAGCCTGCTGGAGATTGTGGTCATTCTTTGGAAGAGTGTTGAGAAAACTCTGAAGCAAAATGAAGAGGCCCTGAAATTCACGTGTGCCAAGTTTGGCAGTGTCATGGGAAAGTACTTTAGTTCTTTTGAGGTAAATTATAAAAAGTGATCTTGAGGTGTATATGCCAGTAGTATATGATATCAACATCAAAGCTATTTGTTTAGGATGCACGCTGCACTGCTCCACTCGTCCAACTGGCCTCATTTATGCCTCCAGTTGCTGTCCCAACATTCAGGTATGTGATAACTTTTGGAACTATGTGATCATTTATTCCAAGCCAGCGAATGTGTATTTCCTTTATGATGTATGTCCTGTTTCTTACATATGCTCTGTGGTGGCAGCTGTGGAGTCCTGTCAAAGCTGAGGAGGATGGAGACCGGAGCAGTGCCAAAGTATTACACCCAGCTGTTGGACTGTCTGTGTAGCTGGGGCCAGGCTGCAGAGATAGTGGAACTTATTAGTGACTGGCTTTCAGAGCCACTTCCCAACAAAGTGGTGTGTTGCTGCAAAATCCAGTGCAAAAATAAATAAATATATATATATATATATGAAATTAAATTTTTTCCCTTTTTTAGGATAAAGCTGGTCCATGTAGAAAGGTTCGTATTCAGGAAACTGTGGAGGCCAAGCCGGAGCTCGCTCTGGCCTATCTGGACTACCTTCTCACCCACAATCAGACCCGAGAAAAGGTCCTGGGACTCAGCCATGGAGTACTGCAACGGCTTCATTCGCTTTTAGGAGACTGGAAGGTACGTGGACATGTTCTGTATGTGGAAAGCTTTTTACTCCTAGAGTGAAAGTTAAGGTGATTTTTTTTGTCCTCAGCTTGTTGTGTATTCCCACCTGAAGTCCTCAGAGGATCCCAGTAGCGTGAGTGTGCAGACGGCGCTCAGAGCCTTCACGTTCCACGGCCGCTTCGGGGCCCATCTGCAACATCAGGTTCTTTAACATTTACTTAACGCCTCATTATTTGAATATGATGTTTAGACATTATAAAGTGTTTATCTTGTTTTCTAGTCACATGACCAGCAGCGAAACTTCCTTCTCTCATTGGAAGTTGATGCTTCCTGGATTTCTGAGAAAGTTCTGCCGTTTATGGTCCAACCAAACAAAGAGGGAGATGTTTGTGAGGCGCCTCTGTCTCTGGCTCAGCAGGTCGTCGAGGTGAGTCTGACTGATCCACACAAACCTGATGCAGGTGTAGTCAGACCACATGTTTTGCACACATTTATAAACATATGAAAACTGAAGGATTAGATTGAGTTTTTGGGCGGCGCAGTGGTTAGCACTTGTGCTTCACCGCAAAAGGTTCAGAGTTTGATTCCACATCCCATATGCGGCTATTCTGTATGTAACTTGCAAGTTTTTACCGTGACTACCTATTTTTTTCTCCGGGTGCTCCGCTTGTCTTGAGCCTGTGTCTGTGGTTATATCATATTCCGACACAGGTTCTGCTTCTTGATCCTTTGATGTGATGATGAACTTTCGTCCCTAGGGTTTCCTGTCTCTGTGTCGAGATGTTTTACTCGTGGGTTTATCTGACGAGACGTTCAGAGGTCAAATCCTCCACCTGTGCTCCCTCATCCTCCTCACAGGTGAGTGAAACATGTCGAGGCGGACGAATAGAGCTGATGGGGAACGGGAACTGGGTTTAGACCATCGAGAGAGAGGTTAGATTTATCTTTTTAGAAAGTATTTTCATATTTTACATACTAAGAGCTGATTGGCTGGTTGAGGGGGGTCCTTTCTGTTTCCACTTGATTTGACAGCATTCATTTGACATACATGTGAAAACTAGTGACAGAAGCAAACAATAAGCCCTAAGACGGATTTAGTACATGTTAAAATAACATTGTACTTGTTTTTGTTGATGATAGTACCAGATTATTTTTGGATATGAATCTTTTTTTAGAATAAGATTTATACTATTATATTTTCTTTATTCAGAATCCAAGAATGTTAAAGTAAAACAAAAAGCCTCCATGGAAAAAGGTTTTATGATTTATTGTCATATGTAGATACCTGAGATGTTGTTGCTGCTGCTTTCAGAGACTGGCTACAGGTGCATACCAGCAATACTGCCCATTCTGAATGAGGTGGCAGGCAGCTATGTTCCCGAGGATAACGAGGCCCTGGACAACTCGGAACACCCAACCGTCGTCCTCCTCAGCGTGGTGGCAAACATCTTTCAGAAAATCATTGAACTCTTTGCTCGCCGCCTGAGAAAGGATCCAGAGGAGGGACAGCAGGTATGACATCAGTGACATCAGCGCTCGGCTAGAATCTGTAAGAAGTGCATAATGCAAAGTGCGTGTGGAGATTCACTCAATAAACAGTCGTCCTGAGCTCTGTACTCGCCTGTGTCTCATGCACAAAGTAGCTTTAATTGGATGAAAACTGTTCGGCCTGAATACGTATTTTTAGAGGGCAAATAAACAAAATCATTATTATCATCAAAGGTCATTATTGATGGCCTGTTTACGTTTTTATGATGGACAACAAACAAACAAAATCACATTAACATAACATTCGGAATTTCTCCTACGGGGGATCAATAAAGTATCTATCTATCATAATAAACTAAATTAAATGAGAAAATCCTACAGAACATACATGATTGTACATAATGATATATCTTGCACAAAATAGACTATGTTTTAACCTTTTAACATGTTTGCACACCCTGAGTGATCCTATCGATGTGACATGTACATTTCTCCATCGTGAGATCATAAAAGTTTTTCTTATCTCATGACAAGACAAAAAAACAAATAAAAAATGTTACGCTTTCTTCCCGTTTTTTGAAGTGCACTTTTAACTGGATCCAGGGCTCACAGCTGTTCAGGCTCTTTTCACTCTAGTCTAATTGTTTATCAACATCCTGCTCTTTCACAAACCAAACGAGTGGTGTTTTAGGGATCTTTACACAACACTGTCAGGATGGTTTGACATTTATTTATGGACATTTATTGGCATTTATGGGCCGTGGTCATCCGCCCCTATGGACCAATGGCTCTGTGTTTTTCATCATTGCATTGATTCTCTGATCTGCGTCGGCAAATCGACTGTTGTAAAGTCTTCTGAGATAACTACTGTTGTAATTTAGGTCTATACAAAAATGAATTAAATTGAATAGAGTTTGAGCCATACAACTTGTAATACCAATCTATTCTATGTTAAGAGTTGAATAATTTCTGTATTGTCTTTTCCTGATGTAGCTGTGTCAATCAGCTGTCCCCGGCCTCTCGGACTTCCTCCAGACCGCACAGAGCTGGGACAGAGCTCCAATGAACGGGGTCTTCTCCACTCTCGTTGCTGTCATTGTGGTTGAGAAAAGATATAAGCTAAATAAGGTATGTTTTTCACTATAGGTAAATACATAAATTACTTTAATGCCACTCTCTGGTGTATTTTTTTAAAGATTTCCCATCCAGAAGAAGTCATAGTTCCAGAAACATTGGACGATATGCCTCCGTTACCCAGCATCCTGCTTTCTGTTATTCTCAAGTCACAATCTATAACCAGGTAAATATGATATAGACTGATCCTAATATCCCATAAAACTACATCTCATAAACAGTGACTATTACCTATTTGGTTATAATGCTTTCTCATGTTTTTTGTGAAGCACTTTGCCCCGTGTATGAATTGTGCTGTACATGTCCTTTCCTTTTCTTGCCTTGCTTATTCTTTACTCTCTGGATGGACGGACACACATTATTGAACTGTACTTTGGGTGATAATATTGTTCCATTGTTCTCTCCAGGTCGTTTCTGGATGAAATCAGCTCGTCCTTGGACTCAGAGACCATGGAGAATCTGACGGAGCTGGCCGCGGTCCTCCATGTCCTGGCCGTCATCAAGCACAGTGAGAATATCTACGGCCTTTCTGCATTCACACTGTTTCGATGTTAACTGTATATGTGAAAAATGTGTTTGTTGTGCCTTTACAGCTGGGAAGTTTAAATCTGGTCTAAAGAGCGCAGCAGAATGCATCCAGAGACAGCTGGACAGACATGCCGTTGTGGCAGTGGACAGTGGCGACATCCAGAGGTACAAAGGAGGAAGTACATCTTATTCTAATGATTGTACATGTTTCTTATTTACCAATTATTTGTTTTCTCTTCAGAGCAATTTATGAATCTTCTGTCAAGACAATTAACAATATATTAGATTTATAACTTATCATTGTGACTTTGCATTGTATGGGCTATTGTTCTGCAATGGTTTCTGATTATTATTTTTATTAAAGGGTTATTATTCTGTTGTTTTCTCGCTTTAAGAAAAAAATATGCGAATTTGTCATAAATATTTGACATGTTTTTACCATTTATTCAAAATAAACTCTGTACTATAACAATTGTTTTGTATTTTTATGTATTTAACCTTGGAATAAATTGTAATACGTAACTTTGTCATTTCTTTATGCATCGGTTAGGGTTGACTTTTAGTCATATTCATCTTTAAAGCTTAGTCTGTTGGACCTTGTGAATCACTATTTGATGCTTTGGGCAGAGAGCTCATTGGCTGAATGAGGGTGGTCCTCCCTTTCACTTGAAGAAGCTGATCCAGGCTCGTCTTTGACTTGTACTCGTGATGAAAAGCGGGAACCTGGACTTTATTGCATAGTTTCATCTTTTTGATTTGAAAGTTCGGTACCTCAGCTTTAACCCACTTTAAAGGAAAATGCCTCAAGCGAGTGATAAAGTATAATTCACTTAAACATTTGAAAGCCAATGGCAGATGAAGGTGGATGATGAGTCCATGGCCCAGCATGAGGACTGGCCTGAGTTCCTTTGGTCCCAGGGCGGCTGCATGTTGCACGCCTGTGTTTGACGTCAGACTTTAGGAGGGGCTCTTCCTGGTGCTGCTGCTGTTGTGGTGCTGATCCACCGCCTGACGCTTTTGTATCGTGCGCTCTGACCACAGCTCGGTTCGGTCGTTCCCGGAGCAGACATGAGCCTTTAGCCTGAGCCTCGCTGTACGCGGCTAAACTCGCTCTGTTTGCGTCTGTCATGGATTCATAGTCCAGGCGTGAGCGCTATGTCTCCACGATGCTGTCCCGTCCTCCTGCTCCTGGCGCTCAGCCTCTTCCCCGCTGCCATTGCAGACAGGAAATTCGGTAAGGCATTGTTTCGTGTTGTTGTTGTTGCTCTTCTAAAGCCAAGTTTCCTGCGGCTGTGATTGTGTGTCTGCTGTGTGTTGTGTGTTTGTGTGTAACTGCGCACTGACGCTGTCCGTGGTGCTGACGGCTTCAGCTTCCAAACGCACCCATCACAAAAGTTCTGGTGATATTTCCTTCAGCGTATGTGCACATGCAGAGGCTGTGTGCATATCTTAACGTGGCCACTCTCGTTTATTATTGACGTTTATGGATTGGCTGATGTTGGAGTTACATAATCGCCCAGGCCTTAGAGCTGAATGGTGCTCATTGTTTCTCCTTAAAGTTCTTGCATGGCTGCTCTGCTCTGTCCTGCTTGTCCAATAAATTATACAAACCTCACTTAACGTGCTTGGGAAAGAACATATTTTCCCAATGAATGGTATAGTTAATTTGCTTCTCAAAGCTTAGATAACACAGTACATTGAATGTTATTGAAACGGGAGCCATCATAAAAGGACTCCGCTCATATCTATAAGGAGTAATTTCAGGCCCACTTGAATATTTCATTAAAGCCCACACCTGCTCTGAAAAGCCCTGTTCCATCCAGCTTTATATTGGCGGCTGACTTGCCTCTCTCATTACCCTTGATTTGTTCTCCCAGTCCTGCCTCGGGCTGCCCACCTGACATTTTCTGGGATCCATGTGTCCAAAGTGTGATTTACAGTTGAATCCCTTCTTATAATGGAGCTCTTTTGTTATGACGGATGAAGATTACATGGCTTTTGAAACCACCTCACGATCCATCTCTCTCCTGGTGAAGAACAATTCTCCAATCTCAGTCGCCCTTCCAAGATTAGCATTCTGGAGACATGACGGCCCAAACTTTATCTGGAAACAGTTCTACAGATCTCTCAGCTCGTGTGCTCGATGATTCATACAGACAGAGAGGCATCTTTGTCGAGGCTGCTGTCGACTCAAAACCAGCAAGCTAAAAATGAAGACGTCTTGCTCTCTCCTCTCACATTTTTTGATAATTATGCCTAGAATAGTAATGAATGACTCACTGCCTTTCCCCCGGATACATTCTGCATTGACTTCTCGATGTGTTTATTAATGTATAAGTGTAGCTAGGTCACCGAGGGAGCTGGTTGAACTTATTGTTTTAATGAGCCCCCTTGTGTGCTCTGTCACTGGCCGGCAGACGTCTGCTGGGCAATTACATGGTTCTAAATATATACATCGCAGCGGGCTATGTAGGTGCGAGTTGGCGGGTTTGTGGTTACGCAAGAAAAGCAACAAAGAAATCGGAAACAAGGGTAATAATGGGAAAGTCTTTCAGTGATTAAACTTCTATATTTAACTGTCTCTAAATGTCTCCGAGAAAGACTCAACAAAAAATATATTATTGAACTGTAGCCTGCTGTAAAAGACACCCAAAAATACATATCGTGATCATTTCTGGATGTGTTTCAGTTCTATTCACTTGTTCCTTAATGTCTCTGACCATTTTCATTGTAAGAAAACACTAAATTGAATTCATTTATAGATTTATTGATGGAAGGGAATCCTCTTGATGCAAGCTGAGGTTTCTGTCAAACCATATCCTTCTCTATCCCATAGTGACACAATACTTCTGTGTTGGTTCAGTGCTGTGTCTTCTCCTCTTTTTAAGAAGTTCTTGGTCTGGATTCATTGTAATTGTTGCTTTATAGTCCAGAAAAACATCACTGGAGAGAAACTAGTTGTAATAGTATTTTTTTCCACCATACATCAGTTCTAAGTGGCGTCCAGAACAGAACTAAAAGTCGCAAAGAAATTCTAGTTAGAAAAATAGCTTTCATTTACACCAATCTACCAGAGGCCAGTGCCGTTACTCCAATCACAATGACACGGTGCAAGCATTCAGGGGAAGCAACAGTTTCTTGTGATGTGAATATGCCCAAAAATGCCCAAAAAATTTAGCTTATTGTGAATTTTTCTCTTAAATACTTGAATCATTTTGACTTCCATCCATCCATTCCATCCATCCATCCATTTTCTACCCTTTAATCCATTTCTGGGTCAGGGGGGTGGCAATCAGAGATGCCACCCAAATCTCATAGCACCAGCCCCTCACTGATCCTCTGCGGGTGGTGAGTCCACAAGAGCTGAGATCTTCCAGCGGGGGCTTTGGGCAAAGTGGGGTTAAGTGTCTTGCCCAAGGACACAACAACAGCAGTCATCAGTGGGAGTAGGTGGAGAAGGTGTAGAGGTGGGAATTGACCTTCTGGCCTTGACCTTCTGGCCTTAAGGCCAATGCTCTACCAACTGAGCTACTGTCGCCCCCTTCATTTTGACTTGTTGTTCGGATTATCTACTGTATCTCAGGTGTTTTTGGGTGAAGTCTTTTGTTTTGCTTTGTTCATTTTCCAAATACTAAATTCCACCAAATCATTGAATTTTTATTTTTCTATTTTCTGTATGAGGAAACATCTTGAAACTTTTTGCCCAACGAGGATTTGTCAGAACCTTCAGTGTGTTAATCTGGAAACCTCATAGAACTGGTGGGAAAACAGTCACAGTCACAATCATCATTAGCCTTCTTCTTTTTGACCAAAAGCAGATAGTTTAATAACAATGCAGCTAACACACAACACTTCAGTTCTTTTGACTTCTTTATTTACAGCAATAGTTCCATGTACGTGTCTCATTCAACTATCATTATTTGTTGTGCCATGGCTATAATTTATGATGAGTTTATTGCTCAAAAATACAATGATTGGAGTTTGCTTTGATTTACTGTATGTTCTCAAAATGTCACTCTTGTTGCCTTTATGTAAATGTCAAAGTCAAGGCCCGGGAGCCAGATCCGGCCCGCGAGACCCTTTCCAGTGGCCCCTGAGATGATTCTAAATTATTATATTAAATAGCAGCATTGATGGTAAATGGCAATAATGGCATGTTATCCATTACAAATTTTCTCAAGAAAACAACCATAACATTTATAACCATAAGAAATGTTAAGCCGACATGTCATTAGAAGTTTGCATTATTATGTTACGTTTTTCACAAGTCTTCAATTAAATCTCTTCTTAAAGATATGAAGGAAGATTTCCCAATTTGCTTAGGAAAGAACCGCCCTCTCCACTTTTTGAACAAAACTCTCTGGTCTTTTTTGCCGAGCAGGTATCACCAGAATGATTGACAGTTGGGAGGACCAATAGTCTTGATGATCCACCCAGAAGTAGAAAATCTTCCTCTATACCTTCAATATTTGGTCCAGTTTTGGTTCGGTCCACAGTAACTGAACTAATTCTAATCAGAAAAGAATATCCAATCTTATAAAAAAGTATAATAAATGAAACCCACTTATTCTTTCGGCCCCTGACCAGCCCTTTCATTTTTCATTCGGCCCTCAGCCAAAATAAGTTGGACACCCCTGATGTAAATGGTCTTGAAATGATTTAGAAGGCTACGTGTGAAATGGACTCATCAGAGAGAGACTGTGTGCGTGTCTGTGTGTCTCTGTGTGTGTGTCTCTGTGTGTGTGTGTCTGTGTGTGTGTGTCTGTGTCTGTGTCTGTGCGTGTCTGTGTATGTGTGTGTGTGTGTGTCTGATAGGAGGGCACGGCCTGGCTGACATACTGTCCTCTTCCTTTGTCTGGATGACTCATTATCTTTGGCATTGACTCCTTTCATTTTAATCAACACAGAGTGCGTGGGCTCCGTGTAAAAAGAAGAAATCACAGCTTGTTTCCTATAATGATTTCTCAGAACACATCCTATCTCACTGCAGGGACGCACTCTAACACTCCTCTAATGTCAGTGTCGGTGCGGTACAGTTTGTCCTGTGTTTTAACATGACTTTCTCGTACAGGGGTTTCTCGCTCTAACACGGTTCACCTTTCGCAGCCTGTTGCATCGTGTGTGTATTCCCCAAAATCATACACAACATCATGTAACGGCTACTATAACATGACAGTTATCCCTATCTATATTCAGAAGAACACTTTAGTGACTTGTGTGCACTGCTGAGATTAGTTCAGAGGACTAAGACCGCAGTAGGTCTTGTAGCTCCCAAATCCTGATCCTCTCTGGTCTCTGGTCTTTCTCTCTGTTCTCGCTTTCTGGTCTCTCTCTGGTCTCTTCCTAGTCTCTCTCTGGTCCCTTTCTAGTCTCTCTCTGGTCTCTCTGTGGTCTCTCTCTCTCTGTTCTCTCTCTCTTTCTGATCTATCTCTGGTCACTCTCCCTGATCCCTCTCTCTGGTCTCTCTCTGGTCTCTCTCTCTTTGTTCTCTCTCTGGTCTCTCTCTGGTCACTCTCTTTGATCCCTCTCTGGTCTCTTTCTTGTCTTTCTCTCTGGTCCCTCTCTGATATCTCTCTCGTCTATCTCTCATCCATCTCGTCTATCTCTCTCGTCTTTCTCTGTCTCTCTCGTCTCTCTCTGTCTCTCTGGTCTCTCTCAGTCTCTCTAGTATCTCTGGTCTCTCTCTGGTCACTCTCTTTGATCCCTCTCTGGCCTCTCTGGTCTCTCTTTCTGGTCTATCTGTGGTCACTCTCCTTCTCTCTGGTCTCTTTCCTGTCTCTCTCTCTGGTCTCTCTCTGATATCTCTCTCTTTCTGGTCTATCTCTGGTCTCTCTCTGCTCTCTCTCTCTTTCTGGTCTATCTCTGGTCACTCTCCTTCTCTCTGGTCTCTTTCCTGTCTCTCTCTCTGGTCTCTCTCTGATATCTCTCTGGTCTCTCTGGTCTCTCTCTCTGTGTCTATCTTGTCTCTCTAGTCTCTCTCGTCTCTCTCTGGTCACTCTCTTTGATCCCTCTCTGGCCTCTCTGGTCTCTCTTTCTGGTCTATCTCTGGTCACTCTCCTTCTCTCTGGTCTCTTTCCTGTCTCTCTCTCTGGTCTCTCTCTGATATCTCTCTGGTCTCTCTGGTCTCTCTTTCTGGTCTATCTGTGGTCACTCTCTCTGAGCTCTCTCTAATCTCTCTTTGGTCTCTCTCTCTGGTCTCTCTCTTTGGTCTTCCGGTAGCCCTCAGTCCTGCTC